ATGGAAAAAAATTTATATTGATCCTATTTTTTTCTTCTCAAAAAAATTTTAAAAATTAAAAAAAACCAAATGAAAGTGTTGTTCACAATAAGCAAGTCCTTTACGTTCATAATGCTTATGACCAAGAAAAGGTTTTTCACACACAGCACAGACAAAATGCTTTAAATTAAAATTATTTTAAAGCAAATTTAAAAAAAAATAAACCTCAACATGCCATTGTTTTCCTAAAGCAGTAACTACACGTTCTTCAACTGGACGATGACAAGCACCACAAATTGGAATTCCCATCTAAAATTTATAATTTTTTTTAATAAAATAATTTTTTAAATCGTTAAAAACTCAAAAATCGGAAAAAAAGAAAAATGCTCTCTAATATTTTCAAAGATCCGCAAGTTTTGTCCGCAAAAAATTTTTTAAAAATTTTTTTGTTAAGAAATATTTCTCTATTTGAAAATTAATTTAATAGGTACCCAAACCCCTTCGATTTTACCAAAAAAATTATAAAAAAATTTTATTTTCAAAAAAATCCCTTATTTTTCAAAAATCCGCAAGTTTTGTCCGCAAAAAACTTTAAAAAATTTTTCCTTAAGAAATATTTCTATATTTAAAATCATTTTAATAAGTACACAAACCCTTCAATTTCACTCAAAAAAATCAAAAAAATCCCCCGAACTTACCAAATCATGACATCTTAAACAATACAAAGCACCCCCAATTTCTCTAGCATCATCAGTTAATTCAACATCACATCTTTTACAATTAAAATGATAAGGATGGAAAGAATCTCCTCTAAATTTTATATGACGTCCATCTTCTATTATTGAACGACATTTGTGACAAACATATTTTCCTTGTCCAGCAGCTTTTTCAATTTCATTGCATTCACGGCATAATGCTCTTTAAAAAAATGAAGAAAATGATTTTTAAAAAATTAAAAAAAATTTTTAAGTGACAAAAAGTCCTTTAAAATGTTTAAAAAAATATTTGGCGAAATTATTTCAAACAGAAAAATGATAGGAAGCAACAGGGATTGAACCTACAACCTAGAAAGAAAAACACTACCACTTAACTAAAGAAAAATATTCTTTAAAAAATCATAAAAAATTTCTTAAAAATATTTTTAAGTGCCAAAAAGTCTTTAAAAATGTTTAAAAAAATATTTGGCAAAATTATTTCAAACAGAAAAATGATAGGAAGCAACGGGGGTCGAACCTACAACCTAAAACCAAAAACACTACCACTTAACCAAGGAAAAAATTTTTTTCAAAAATCTATAGAAATTTTTTAAAAATATTTTTAGATGCCAAAAGTCTCTAAGAATGCCTAAAATAAATATTTCGCAAAATTATTTCAAACAGAAAAATGAAAGGACGGAAAAGAAGTCGAACCTACAACCTAAAATCAAAAACACTACCACTTAACCAAAGAACAAAATTTTTTTTCAAAAATCATTAGAAAATTTCTTAAAAATATTTTTAAGTGCCGAAAAGTCGTTAAAAATGTCTAAAATAGATATTTGGCAAAATCATTTCAAGCAGAAAAATGACTGAAAGCAATAGAAATCGAACCCACAACCATCAACCACTCAAAACCATAAAACGCTACCACTTAACCAAAAAAAATTTTTTTTCAAAAATTAAAAAAAATTCTTAGAAATATTAACAGCCTATTTAATTTGTAAAAAAATAAATAAAACCTTCCAGCATTACGTAGAAACCCAACATCAGCCAATTGTTTATTGCACATTTCACAAGTAAAACAGTGTGGATGCCAGTTTGCGTTCATTGCTTTAATTACTCGGCCAATAATGAATTCATCTTAATAAAAAATATTAATTATTGACCAAATTTTGAGGGTTGCGTCTGAAAAAATTTTTGAAAAATTTTTCAAATATTTTCGAAAATCCGCAAATTTTGTCCGCAAAAATCGAAAATAAATTTTCGTTAAAAACCCACTAAAAAATTTAAAAAAACTTACTACATTTACTACAGCAAGGAGAATATAAAACATGAAAATCATGTTCACAATATTTACGTCCTTCAAATTCAAAATATATTCCATCCTGGAATGGTTGAAAACATTGAGCACATCTTAAAAGAAGAATAAAATCAGAATTTAAAATAAACTCGTTCAGATAAAATCAGAATTTAAAATAAACATGTTCAAATAAAATCAGAATTTAAAATGAACATGTTCAAATAAAATCAGAATTTAAAATAAACTCGTTCAGATAAAATCAGAATTTAAAATAAACATGTTCAAATAAAATCAGAATTTAAAATAAACATGTTCAGATAAAATCAGAATTTAAAATAAACATGTTCAAATAAAATCAGAATTTAAAATAAACTCGTTCAGATAAAATCAGAATTTAAAATAAACATGTTCAAATAAAATCAGAATTTAAAATAAACATGTTCAGATAAAATCAGAATTTAAAATGAACATGTTCAAATAAAATCAGAATTTAAAATAAACTCGTTCAGATAAAATCAGAATTTAAAATAAACTCGTTCAGATAAAATCAGAATTTAAAATAAACATGTTCAGATAAAATCAGAATTTAAAATGAACATGTTCAAATAAAATCAGAATTTAAAATAAACTCGTTCAGATAAAATCAGAATTTAAAATAAACATGTTCAGATAAAATCAGAATTTAAAATGAACATGTTCAAATAAAATCAGAATTTAAAATAAACATGTTCAGATAAAATCAGAATTTAAAATGAACATGTTCAAATAAAATCAGAATTTAAAATAAACTCGTTCAGATAAAATCAGAATTTAAAATAAACATGTTCAAATAAAATCAGAATTTAAAATAAACATGTTCAGATAAAATCAGAATTTAAAATAAACATGTTCAAAACAACAAAAACACAAAAAACACAATATTTAAACAAAAACACAACAAAAACACAACTTACACAAAACATTCAGCATGCCAAAATTGCCCACCAGAATTAACAACAGTTTCGGAAGGTATAAATCCATCATTACATCTTACACAAATAAAATCATCCAATTTTATTTGTTGATCAAATTGTTGATTTAATAAATTTTCTTCTTGTTGATTTTCTAATATTCCTCCTCCATTAGTGTGATAATTTTGTTGGTATTTTTGTTGTTGTTGTATTCCTCCTATTTTTAAAAAATCAGAAATAAATTCAGAAAAAATCAGAATTCTGGTAAAAAAATCAGAAAAATTCTGAAAAAAATTCTGGTAAAAAAAATCAGAAATTCTGGTCAGAAAAATCAGAATTCTGAAAAATTCTGAAATTAGTTCTGATGAAAAAATCAGAAAAAATTCTGGTCGACAAATCAGAATTTAAAAAATTCTGAAGATAATTCCGAAAAATCAAAAATTCTGAAAAAAAAATTAGAAAAAATTCTAACCTCCTCCACCACCTCCACTACTACTTGTTCCATTAACATAAGTATTATCTATATTATAATCTTTATTTTGTTGTTGTTGTTGATAATTTATTTGATCACTAGTTATTGGATAAACTTTTTCTTGACCAGGTATTTGATAAGTATATTTATGTAAAGGGTGTTGTTCGCTATTATGAAACATTTTAAGAAGAGGAAGAATAAAATAATTAAAAAAAATTAATTAATTAAATGACTAATCTGAAAATTAAAAAAAATTTTTAATTTTTAAAAAATCAGAAAAAATTAAAAAATTAAGAAATACTCAAATGACTGGTAGTGGACGCTTGAAAACCTAATTTATAAAAAGATGCTTCAGTTCTGATTTATTTTATTTTGTAAATTTTGATTTTAAATTGTAAAATATTCGCAAAAGTCCTGATTTTAAAAATTCTGATTTATAAAATTCTGGTTTTAAAAATTCTGATTTTTACAAATTCTGATTCTGAAAAATTCTGATTTTTAGAAATTCTGATTTTTAAAATTCTGGTTGAAAAATTCTAATTCCGAAATTCTGATTTGTAATAAAAACACAAAATTCTGATTTCTTGTATTTTACTGTGTTTTTTTTAATTTCTGAAAAAATACATTTCTTGGTCACAATAAAATACATTTATAATAGAAAAAAGCTTTTAGTGATCTACTTTGATTTGCAAAGGAAAAAATATATAACAGACACATTTTTAACTATACTATTTTAGTTAAACAAGGAGATTAAGGAGCACAATTGGCTTTTTTTTAAAATGGATTGGATAAATAAAAAGAAAAAAAATTTTTTGGCAGGAGAGAAAGGAATGTGCTTAAGGAAAAGGATATGTGTATTAAAATAATAGTAAAATAGTAACAAGGTGGAAATATTTTTTGGCGAGAAAAAAAAAGATTGGTGAAAAAAAGGTGTTTGCTTTTTGCATGTATTTTAAAAAGAAAAAAAATTTTTTAAAAGAATGTGTTAAATTTAAAAAGATAAAATACAAGTCACATGGGAAAGGAACAACTTTGTGTGAAATACAAAGTTTCAGAATTTGTATTTTGTGTGAACATTCCGGAAAATGTTTCTGTATTTTTTTCCGGAAACTTAGATTTAATTTAAAACTTGTTTTTGTATTTTAGAAACATTCCTGTTTGTTTTTTCCGGAAAATGATGTTTTAGAAACACTTTGTGTTTCTAACAACAAACATTGCTTAGTTTTCCGGAAAACTTATAACACTTAAACATGTATTTTACATTTAATTTTTCCGGAAAACATGTATTTTAGAGAAATACATTTTTCATAAACAAAATTTGTTCGGTATTTTCCGGAAAACATTAAAAGAACTTATTTTTGTATTTTCCGGAAAGATGGAAAATATTGAGTGTGTTTTCCGGATTTGAGGGGAAAAATGAGGAAACATGTCTTATTTCTAAAAATTATTAAAACAAATAAAAATGTGTATTTTGCGGGCATTCCGGAAGACAAATAAAAGGCTTAATTAAATAGTTGCAATTTTCATTGCAATCTCCTTTCTTTACAAAGTTTTTAGCCTAATCAGAGAAGTAAAAAGAAAAATAAATATTTGCCATCGATTTATTGAGAAAGCAGTTGGCCAAAAACAGATTTGTTGTGTGTGTTTGGCCTTTCCTAACAAATAAATTGAGGGAAAAAATAAATAAAAATAAAAGGGTGAATTGGATGGAGATTGAGACGGAAGTGAGTAACAAAAAGAAGGTTTTGGTTGTGGTAGTGGGCGTCTGTTTCAAGTTATAAAAATATTTTAGGGAAGAATACGAGGGCAATTAGAAGCAAAAAAATTTTTTAATTGAAAAATAATTTTTTTTAAATTTAATTTGGAAATTTATGAAGAATATAACAAAATTAAATTAATTAACCCCACTAAAGGATTCGAACCTTAAACATCTCAGCACCTCCCGTCTCGAAAAGCATAACGTTATTGCAACAACTACAACATACAATAATGTTTTTGCTTCCGGAAAACATGTTTTTGTATTTGTCAGAAAAACATGTAAAACATGTTTTTAAAACTAATATAAAACGCAACCTCAGAACCTTCCGGAAAAAAATAAAACACAATCCGAAAAAACACAAACAGTTCCGGAAGGAAAATACAAATCAGAATACAATTTAGAACTACAAAAAATACATAAAATAATTTTAAAAAACACATCAGAATAAAAACACAAAAACACAATCTTCCGGAAAAACACAACATTAAAACAAAACAACAAACACAAACATAGAAGAAACACAAACAAGAATTAAATAGCAGAATAAAAACACAACTTCACCAAAAACACATCAGAATAAAAATACAATCTTCCGGAAAAACATAAAAGTAAAACAAACAAAAACACAAACAAACACAAACACAGGAAAAAACACAAACCAGAATTAAATAGCAGAATAAAAACATAACATTTCCAGAAATAATTTACAACAACTAATTAAAAATATCAGAATTAATTAATTATTAAAATGATTTAAAATAATATTTTTTTAATTAAAAAAAAATAAAATTTTTTAAAAATAAAAATTCTTCGCATACCAAAAAATAAAAATTTTTTCAACATTTTTTCCTATTTCTTAAAATAATTATTTTAATTACCACACACAAACAAAACTCAAAATTAATATAATAAAGTTTAATAAAACGGAGAATGGAATGTACATAAATTTTTAATTTTTTTAACGGGAATGCTTTTGTCCTTTCCCAAATAGTTTTGAGGTCATCGAGATTCTAAGGTCATTTAAACAAAAACAGAAGAATAACAGAACAAATAATTTCAGCAAAACATTCTGGAAAAATACAAAAACAATTAGGAAACAACATTCCGGAAAAATACAAAACACAACAAAACATCAAAACAAAACAAACACAACTTTCCGGAAAAACATAAACCAGAATAAAACTTAAAAAACAAGTTTTTAGAAACATTCCGGAAAACATAATTTTCTAAAGCATTAATAAAACACAAAACATTCCGGAAAACATATAAAACACAAAACATTCCGGAAAACATATAAAACACAAAACATTTGGAAAATATATAAAACACAAAACATTCCGGAAAACATATAAAACACAAAACATCCCGGAAAACATATAAAACACAAAACATTCCGGAAAACATATAAACCAGAACAACAACAAACAAAAAATACAAAAACACAAAACATTCCGGAAAACACAAACCAGAAAAACAACAAACAAAAACACAAAACTTTATTTGTAAAACATTTAAAATAAAACACAAATTTATAAGTGTTTTAAAAACATTCCGGAAAACATCATAATTATTTAAAATGAAATACACAAAACACAAATGACCACACACAAATAAATTCTCACACCTTTTTTAAACATATCTCATAAACAAATATTTTTTATTTTAATTTTTATAGACACCTTAAACTAATATTTTTTGGTATTTAACACAAACCCCCTCCCCACTCTTTTATTTTCTCTAATTTATCACATTAATGCGCGCATGCATTTTATACAAAAAAAAATTAAAAAAGGTAAAAATTAAAGAAAAAAAAAGAAAAATTTTTGACGAGAAAAATGCAGAGCAGAATCCTGCTTATAAAAAAACGTGCCCGCACAAAATACCGAATTCTCAAAATCGCGAATAGGCTAAAAAAGCTCAAAATCGCGAATCGGTAAAAATATCTCAAAATATGGAATCGGCCAAAAAAGCTCAAAATATGGAATCTTAAAATATCGAATCTCAAAATCGCGAATCGGCCAAAAAAGCTCAAAATACCGAATCGGCTAAAAAGTAGTTAAAAATGTCGAATTTTTTAAAAACGAAAAGGGCCGTTTGAGTGCCGCTGCAGGTCTTTTTCTGATTATTCAGGGATCTGTAACTCAGTCCAATCAGGTCGGATTTCATTGATTTTGGTATCATTCGATGCAGCTCGACGTGCTCTTTCAGATGAGCTATCATTCGGAAACTCGAAATTCGGTTCGGGATTCGAAATTCGGTTCGGGTCCGGGATTCGACTTTTTCAAAATCCGAGCTGAGATTCGTAATCAGCACATTTTTTTACCTTAGAAAAATACTTTCTCTTATTTTTAAAATTTTTTTACGAAGAAGTTGGTCACAACTTTGTTCAGACTCAACTGGCCTTTGCCGCATTGTCGATATTTTTCGATATTTTGAGCTTTTTTTGCCTATTCCATATTTTGAGATTCGATATTTTGAGATTCCATATTTTGAGCTTTTTTAGCCGATTCGCGATTTTGAGATTCCATATTTTAAGAATTCGGTATTTTGTATGGGAGCCTAAAAAAATATTATTTTATTCAAAGGGCAAATCACGCCGAGAAAAATAAAAATAAAATTTATTTTTAGTTTCTTTAATTAGAGACATTTATTAATTTATTTCTTATTATTTTTTATTAATTTTTAATTTAATAGAGAAAGAAGCAGAAAATCAAAGAAAAAATCACAGAAAATTTTAATGCTGCAACTAAAAATAATAAAAATAATTTTTTCGCGCAGAACAAAACGAGAGACAAGTTGAACTAATATACTATAAACAAATTAATATTTTTTTTAATATTTGCTATTTAAAGCGACACATTTTTGGTCACAACCCCCTCCCCCTTTTCACAATTGACAAACACATAAATACAAAAAAAGAAAACTCGCGTAGTATGTTAATATCACTTTAAAAATGTTGTGTTTTAAAAAATGTAAAAATACAGTGTTTATAAAGCGAGAAAATACAAAAGTTTTGGCACACACAAACATTTTTCTTACAAAAATACACAAATCAGAATAAAACACCTTACGAAAAAACATTTTTACTCCTTCCAAACACATTCCGGAAAACAAAAACACAACCTAAAACAACTTAAAATAAAACACAAATCTTAAAACACAAATCAGATCTTTCCGGGAAGAAATAAGTTTTATTCTGATTTTTACAACTCTCCGAAAAAATACACATAAATTAGCGCCAAACAAAAACACAAACAGAAACACAAAAAATCAGAATGTTTTAATTTACAAAAACATTCACAACTCTTCCCAAAAACATTTCATAAAAACAACAAATTCAGAATTTCCTAAAAACATTCCGGAAAACATTTAAAAACATTCCTTTTTCTTTCTCTCCCTCTATTCCGGAAAAACACAAAAATCAGAATATTTTAATTTACAGAAACATGTTCTTTCCAAACATTCCGGAAAACACATACTCCTTCCAAACACATTCCGGAAAACATTTATAAAATTGAAAAACATGCCCTTTTCTCCCCCACAAACATTTTTAAATTAAAAATTAAATTTTTTAAAACACGTCCAAACAAATTAAATTTCAATTCAACAAAACAATTAAAATATTTTAAAAGAAACACACAAAACAAAAGAAAAATATAAGGAACATCTGCCTTGCGGCGATATTTACTCTCCTCTCTCCCCCTCTTAACTAATTTAAAAAAATTAATCACCCGTTATTTTTGTTCTCAATTTATATTTATTCACAAATTTAATGTTAAAACAATTAAAAAAAATTTTTTTTCTACATTTTTAAACTCCAAAAAAAATTTAATTTTGCTCCATTCATTAATTTCCGTTTTTTAAAATTAAAAAAATTAATCTAAAAAAAATTTTTTTTCCAATTTCTTTTATATTTTTTCCAATTTCTCCTCGTGATTGAAAAAATTGGAAATTTTTAAATTTTAATTAAAAAAGGTAACCAAAAAAAGTTTCATTTTCTCATAAACGCCTAGAAACTGAAGCAACTCCCCTCCCCAAAAAAATAAAAAAAATTATCAAAAAATTAAAATTTCAAAAATTTCCTCTTTTTAAATTAATACTATGTATTATGTAAAATAAAAAAAATACAAGAAAACAATGTCAATAAGCATTAATATTCACGACCCCTCATTCCCAGCTGAATTATATGAAATTTTCTTTGCAAAACGCTTATTCACTTATTACAAACAAAACAACAACAACTTTTTATTTTTTAATCAAAACTTAATTAATAAAATGTTTGGATTCTATTCTGAAAATTATTTTAATACAAAAACACCAACTTGGAAACAACAACAAAACACAAAATTGTAATGTTTTTAGTCATACTTCCGAAAAACACAAAAACCAGAAATTCCGGAAAACTTTGAATAAAACAACGTTTTATAAAAAATTATAATAAAAACACAAACATATAGAAAAACATAGGAAAACACAAACACAACCCAAACAAGTTTTACAACTTTCCTGAAAATACAAAAATTAGAAATTCCGGAAAACTTTAAATGAAACAACGTGTTTTTAAAATAATATTTTATAGGAAAAACACAAACACAAGAACAACCAAACATAAAGCTCAAACTTTTTCTTTTAAACATTTTAAAACTGTTCTGGTTTTTTGTGTTTTCCGGAAAGTTTGTAAACCTCTCTGTTTTTTGTGTTTAATAGGTAACTTATACCAAATATTTTTAAAACATTTTATAGGAAAAATACAAACATAAACAACAACAACAACAAAAACAACAAACACAACATTTTGTCCTTACAAATTGTAAAAGAATTTTTCATTGATTTTTGGTGAAATATTTTTGAAAAATATCAGAAATGATTAAAAATATTTTTTAGCAAAATATTCTTACTTTATATTAAATTTAAAATTTTTATAAAATTTTCTTCATGTCCCAATTAAATTTTTTTAATCTTTACCAAACCAAAGTACAACTACCACATTTATTTTTGGTAAATAATTAAATTAAAAAATTAATCACTCATCGGATTAAACAAAAAAAGAACTAACTGCCTTGAGAGTATTTTTTGTTTTTGTTTATTTATTTCCCTATATGTCCATTGTTTTTGTTTTTATTTGGGTGGTCGATGAACATTAAAAAAATTTTTTTTATATTTTTTGCTGCTTTTCCCCTTACTAATAAAATAAATTTTCAGAATTTCTGATTTTTGTCTTTCTGATTTTTATGTTTTCAATAACTTATACACACATACAAACATGTTTAAATTAACTCAATTTTCCTACACTTTCCCAAACCATAAAAACGTTTTTTTTAATATTTAAAAAAAAATTAAAAAGGTTGCACAAAATTGTGCAAAATACAAAAAAAATATTGAACTAATTTGCAATTTTTAAAATTAAAAAATAAAAATAAAACACGCTGTAAAAATAGTCCCTCACTTACAAATTAACGCGAAACACTTAAAAACACACAAAAACATTTTAAAATCAGAACAAGTTGGGCTGTGTTTTATGTGTTTTTATTAAAACACATTAACAACAAAAAAAATCAGAATTTTTTTAAAACATTCCGGAAAAACATCAGAATGTTTTTAGAACATTCCGGAAAGTATATAATAATCAGAATGTTTTTAAAACATTCCGGAAAAACATCAGAATTATGAAAAACACATTTCCAGAAAAACACAAATTGTTGTAAAAACATTTCTGATTTTTCCGGAAAGTTTTATAAGATATTCTGATTTTTCTTGTTTCTTTTTAATTATATAAACTAGTTTTGCTTTACTTTTTTTTGCTTCAAAAAAATTAAACAATTTAAATTAAAAAAATTTTTTTTCTAATTCTTTCCTCTATTCATTTGACGCTTTTTTGTTTGTTCAGCAAGTATTGAACGCAAAGTTTCAGAAGAATAATCAAGTTTAGAATGTTGATAACAACAACAAAAACAAAAGAAAAATTTTTGTAAAATTGAGCAAAGTTGTAAACGATAAAATGAAACACCAAAAAGACAAAATAATGATTGTAATAGAGGTGAAAGTTGTAATAACCAATGAGAAAGCTTTAAAGAAATTAATAAAATTTGAAAAATAAATTCGGGAGGAACGAGAAAATTAATTTAAGCATGCTTCAAAAAATCTGAAACATATTTTGAAAAAAACTGAAGCATGTTTCAGAAAATCTTAAGCATTTTTTTAACTTGAAGCATGTTTCAGAAAACCTGAAACATTTTTAAAAAAAATCATAAGCATGTTTCAAGCAGCCAGAAAATTATTTGAAGCATGCTTCAAAAAATCTGAAACATTTTTAAAAAAAATCTGAAGCAGATTTCAAAAGGCGTTTGAAGCATGTTTCACCAAGAATATTCCCCCAACCTCAAACAATTTAACAAGAAATGTTTCAATTTTAAAATTAAAATCCTCGGCATCATCACCTTCTCCAAGTACAATTCGAACAGAAAAATTAACATAAAGTAATTCAATAAATATTCCAATTTTTGAAATAAAATCAATCCAAATTATAATAAAAAATATGAAAATAAAAGAATAAAGATCAGAAAAATAATTTTTTCCAAAATTTTGTTTAATTTCTTGTTGTTGTTTTGAAATTGTGAATAAACTGCTGGTTGAGAATACAAGTGAGATTAGCATTGAGAAAAATAGTGAAGCAAGTCTAATGATTTAAAAATTATTTTAAAAAATTATACATATTTCTAAAAATGAAGAAACTAAATTGAAAATTAGACAAAAGTTGAAGCAAGAGTAAAAAATAAAACTGAAACAAAACATGAAGCAACACACAAAGCAGAAAACTGAAGCAAGAATTAAAGCTAAATTGAAACTTATTGAAGCAAAATATGAAGAAACAAAAAGGAAAGACAAAGCTGAAGCAAAAACAAAGTTGTAGCAAAAAATAAATACTGAAGCAAGAAATAAAGATTTAAAACAAAAAAAATTGAAACAAAAAAAAGTTGAAGCAAAAACCCGAAGCAAAAAATTATAAAAATTTTCTCCAACCCACCTGACAACATTAGCAGCATTTTTAGTCAAACAAAACCATTGCTGCAAAACATTCTTGTCAAGCAATACAAAAGAAAATAAATAAGGAGCAACAACAGCTACAATATTGAAGGAAGCATAATAATTTGAAAAATAATAATAATTGTTGTTGCAATTGAAGAAAATTGTAAAATAACAATAAATTGCTGCGAGTAAAATAATAAGTTGTTGCACAGTGAAGAATTGTTCTACAAATTCTGTATGGAATAAAAACTGAAAAAATACAAAGAAATACAAATAAAACACAAAAAACACAAACAAGTAATACAATTATTCTGGTTTTTACAAAACTTTCCGGAAAATGTTTAAATAATATTCTGATTTAAATTCCGGAAAAACAATTAACTATGTTTTTCCGGAATAGTTTAAATGTTTAAAGTTTATTTAATGTTTTCCGGAAAAGTTTAAAACATTCAGGAAATTGTTTAAAATAAATTCTGATTCATGTGTTTTTCCGGAAAGTTATTAAAATAAAATTCTGGTTTATGTATTTTCCGGAAAATGTTTAAAACAATGTTTTGACTTATTTAATTATTCCGGAAAATTAGTAAAACAAATTTTTAATTTTCCGGACAATGTTTAATAATTTAACCAACTTTAGCAACAATCCAAATTTCCTTAGCAAACCGAGGCAGTTTTGAAGAAGCTTGGCCACCATTAATAAGTAAAAGTGTGTCGAACGAATCTACATGGTAATAAACATCAATTAAAAATGTATAAACAAATAATCCCAACGCTAAACAAATGTTGCAGACAGCTAAATTGCCAATGAGAAATTGTGACCTATCTGAAAAAAAATAAGTAAACTTGAAAAATACAAAAGCAAGAAACACATAAACATGAAACACAAAAACAAACTTGAAAAAATACAGAAAATAAACATAAAATACAAAAATCAGAATTTCTAAAATATAAAATCAGAATAACAAGTTTTAAATAAATTCTGATTTAAATGTATTTTTCCGAAAAAGCTAAGAAACTTCTGATTTACTTGCAGAAAAACAAAACATTGATGTTTTAAATAAATTCTGATTTTTAAAAACAAAATCAGAACAAAAACACAACATTAAAAATACAAATAAAAATAAAACTTATTTTTATGTCGTATTTGTCTTTTTCCAAAAAGTGAGAGAATAAGCAACAAAAAGTTTAAAATAATAGCAGCCAAATAAATCAGAAGCCAGCCCAAATAACCACAAAGTTGCTCATAAAATTGATTCAATTCCAGCGGCCTAACAGTAATTAAAGGTTGCCTAATTTTTTTAAAATTCTCAATTTAAAATTAAATTAATAAAAACCCTTACCCATTTTCTGTATAAATTAAAGAACGATTTGAACGTAAAAATAATAAATCTGCTATCCAAATATCAGAAGGTAAAATTGTTTTCATTTTAGTTAAAAATATAATTCATTTGAGCAGAGGGGGAGACACATTTTATTATTTTTATTATTTTCAAAAAATCTGCCCAATTTCAAAAAAATGTTATGATGCGGATTATTATTACTCAAATCCCGCAATTACCTCATTTATTGAAAATATGAAGCAAATGGACCGGAAAAAACTTTTTTACAAAACAAGTTGTGTAAAAAAGTTTTAATAGACAGCAATTTAAATGTTTCAAGTTTTTAGTGTTTATATAAGTTGAATGTTTTTATTAATGTTTTGTATTTCAAGTTTATTTTGTTTGTGTTTTTAAACTAACAAAAATTTTGCTTGTTATTTTTAAAATCAGAATTTAAATAAAACATGAATGTTTTTAAAAATCAGAACTTTCCGGAAAAAATTCTGGTTTTTGTATTTTCCGAAGTTTTTAAACTTTACCAGAATTTAATTAAAACATGCATAATTCTGATTTTATATTATCTAAAAAATTCTGGTTTTTGTATTTCAAGTTTGTTTATTTGTATTTTATTTTTAATTCAAGTTTATTTAAATGTCTTAAGTAAAATACATAAAAATACATCTAAAAAAGTTTGTAAGTAAAATATAGTCTATAAAATATGCACAGTTAGTAAATATATTTGTTTGCTTCAAGTTTAAAAAAAAATAAATTATATATACTTCAGAATAAAGACACTTCAACGGATTGTAGCCACTTTAACGGATTTTTTAGAACCAGAACCAGCATGAGCAATTATACGATTTATACCTTGATACATTTGTTTTTGCCTTTCCTTTTCTAATTTTTGGCGGTGTGGGGACTCCTCAAATTTTCTTTAAAAAAAATTTTTTTTAATTAAAACTTTCTAAAATTGAAAAAAACCGTCTTGAAGCAGCACGCATTTGACGCAACAAATTAGGGAATGCACAAATTGAAGAAGAATCGTTTGAAAGAATTCTTTTTGCTTCATCATCTGTTAAAAAATTAAAAAAATTTTCGAAAAAAATTTTCCTTTAAAAAAAAAACCTAATTGACGCTTTCCTGTTAAAATGTCAGATGCTACAGCACGTCGATTAGCTGCTATTATTGCCTTTAAAAAAAATTAAATTTTAAAATTAATTTTAAAATTTAACTCGTTTGCGAGAAGCTTCTTCAATTGCACGGCAACGTTGTTCAGAACGCTCTCCGAGAATTTGAGCCTTAAAAAAAAGAAATTAAAAATGATAAAATAAAATTAGTCAAAAATATTAGTAAATAACAAGAATGTGCCGAAATAAAAACAGAAATAAAAACGAAATAAAAATTAAAAAAAGGAATATTCAAAAATGACGAAATTCAGGAGAAGACTGAAGCAAAAAAGTCAGAAAAAAATTATATGAAATTTGCCAAAAATATAAGCATCAAAAAAAATCCAAAGTAGAATTTGGGCCTGTGGACACTGGGGTTTGATTTATTGACCTGGGCCGGATCCTAGGCCTGTAGTCCAAAAAAACCAGGAAGGTAAAAAATGCCTGGACCTAAACTCTGGGTACAGGAAAAACCCAGGCCTTGATCCAGGCCCAGCCCGATATCTAGTTGACAACCTATTTCCAATTCTTGGCTTTTTTAGCCCTGACCCCAATTTCAAAAGTTATAGGTCTTTAAAGTTTTTTTTTCAAAAAAGTTCTTTTTCTTCAATTCCAAAAGACCTATGACTTTTGGAGAGGTCGAGTCTCTCCCACATTTCTAGTTTAAAAAATAAAACAAAACCTTTCTATCGTTCAAATGAAAATTCTCATCAAGAGGAATAAAGAATGATAAAGAAGACTTCTTTTGTTGAATATTGTTGAAACCATCAAAATTCTTTTCACGAACTTTAATAACCTTGTTGCTTTGATTTTCAATATTATTATTGTTGTTGTTGTTTTCAACAAAAGGTGTTCGAATACATATTGTTGCTGATCTAGCAATACTGTTAGCCATTCTTTGTCGCCTTTTTCCATTCCTTTCATTGTTGATTAAATCATTACGAATTTGTGGAGTTTCAAAAAGAGGAGGAGGAACTGGAAAAAATTGGAGTTAAAAAATTGGAAAAAGAATTTCAAAATTTTTAAGCTACAGAAGTAAATGTTCAATTAGTATTTTTTAGACTAGTATTTTTTAGACCAATCTTGAGACAAAGACTCGTAAGAGAAAAAAACATTTGAAGTTAATGGCGAGACCCAATAAAAATTTAAAGTAGTAAAAAAACCTTGAGGATTATTATTAAGAAGAGCAGCCCGTCTGTCATCTCGTCCCTTTTCAATTATATCATTACACAGAACAAGTTGTTTACGTCGCAGTTCTTCAATAGTCTTGCAAGCTTCTTGAAGCTTTTTGTCCAAATCAGCTTTATTTGCCAAACATAGATTCTTTAAAGAAATTTCTCGATTAAGTTGAGATTTTAATCGGTCTCTTTCTTCTTTAATGTTTGTACACTTTGAACATAACTGAAAAAAAAATTATCTTGATAAAAAAAAGAAAAAAAGGGAAAAAAGGGCACGTAATACCAAACGCCTTAAAATCTTTAAATCGACAGCGATCAACAATCTGTTGGCAATATTATAATGAAAAATTTTTTGAAATGTCAAGACGTTTCTGGCACAATTTTTATAAGACTAAAATTATGCCTTTACTAGTCTTGAAATTTTTGTTGTAGCCCTGCGCAATAAATAATGCCTAATGTAAAAAGCAATATTTCATGATAACAGGGCGTTAATTTTAAACTATGGCGGTAAATCAAGAATTGTAAAACGATACAAAAAATAAAAATACACAGAAAATCGAAAAATAAACTTGAGAGGGTGAGGGGACGTTTGGTATTACAACGCCGCTACTAATAAAAAAAAGAGAAAACCTTCTTATTATTGTTTGTAAGATGACTTGGTCCTTCTTCCGCTGATCGATTTAAATTTTCAGTAGATGAGAAAGCACTCTTCTGAAGTTGTCGAATGATGATATCCTTGTTTTTGAGCCAATCCCTCAACTTAAAAAAAATTTTAGATTGAAAGTATCCTATTCTTGAATGTCTGAGGGCTTTGATCAAACAAAAAGGTTTCTCCGTGATCCTCCAAAACAATTAACTAGGAGTATTTGGATCTTTGAATAGTGCAAAGGAGCCTTCCCACTGATTGTCAGAGAACCTTGACGAGATCTCCCCTTGACTGTCCGAGAAATTTAATTAGTCAGAGATGTCTTCCCCTTGACTGCAAGAGGACCTATGGTCAGTCAGGGTGTCTGATTGTTTTTATAAACATTAATTAATCAAAGATGTCTCTCCCCTTAAGTGTCAGTGGACCTTGATTAGTGTCCTAACCCCAAATATCTTATATAAAAAAATAACCATGGTATTCTCATTTTCAAGAGCATCAGCAATTGTCCTCAATTCATAAAGCTGTTTTTCACTCTTTTGAGCTTTTTCATTTGCATCAACTTTAAAATGTTGGAATTGTTTGTTAAGATCAGCCATTCGGTCAACTGCTCTTCTATATTTTCCTTTATGTTCCTCCAACTCGTTTAATTTTCCAGTGACCTAAAAAAAATAAATTTTCAAATCCCTAACAAAAAAATAAATAATACAAATTTAGTGCAGTCTTCCCCTTTGTAGTCCTTTAAATGAGGAATTGATCTTCTAAATTCCAAATTTTCGCTTTCCAATATACGCAATTGACGCGTCAAACTTTCTATCAATTCTGCATAGTTTGGAGATTCTGCGCTAGTAGAAGCTTAGAAAAATATTAACAAACATTAACAGTCAAAAAAAAAACTATAAAGTTTACAAGGGAAACTTCCAACCGCTCCAAAATTCAAAAACTTTGAACACCAATAATTTTCGATTTGGGGGTCGGAGCCAAAAAAGCCAAAAATTGGCCATAGGTAATCGACAACGCTCTACACGAAGATATAATTTTTATTCAAAAATTTTTACTGGCGGTTTGGAAGTTTCCCTTGTAAGACACTCACCACTATCCTTTGAACTGTTGATCACGCTGACAAATTTATTAAAATTAATAAAGGTTCAAAAAAATAAACTTAACAAACCTCAAGTTCTGGTTATTATCATCTCCTGTTGAAGTAGCTTCATTCATTGATTTTTTCAAAATAAATTTTTCAATTAAATTAATGTTAAAAAAATGTATAGTTCTAAAAATAAATTGATTAAAAAAAATTTTTTTAAGTAAAAAAAATCGTCAGAGTATTCAAAACTCCTTTAAAAAAACACACAAAAATATAAAATTAAATCAAATTAAATTTTATCTTTAAATGTCTTTAAGTAAAATTCATGAAATTAAAAAAACAAAAAATTTGGGGTGAATTCTATAGTCTATGAAATTATACACAGTTAATGTTAGGGTTGCCGGCACGATCCGGTCCGAAAGATCAAGTCAAGCATCGAATTTTGGCCCGAAAAAGACTCGGTCGGGCCGGCCCAAAAAAGACTTGCCGGCCCGAAAAAAATGAGGACCGAAAAAAATAACTCGAACGTCGGCCCGACTCGAAAACGGCAACACTAGTTAATTTATATTTTTGCTTCAGGTTTTATAAAAAAAAAATAAATTAAACTTTTGAAAAATCAGTTGAGCAAACTTTCAACGGAGTTTGGTATTGGTATATATACTTCAGAATAAAGACACTTCAAAGTTTTTTAGCACCAGAACCAGCATGAACAAGAATTTTATTTATATCCTGATAAATTTGTTTTTGCCTTTCATTTTCCAATTTACGACGAAGTGGAGATTCCATAAATTTTCTTTAGAAAAAAATGAAAAAATTTTTAAGAAAAAAATTTAAAAAAAAACCGTCTTGAAGCAGCACGCATTTGACGCAATAAATTAGGAAATGCACAAATTGAGGAAGAATCTTTTGAAAGAATTCTTTTTGCTTCATCATCTGTTAAAAAATAATTATAAAAAAATTTCCCTTCAAAATAAAAACCTAATTGACGCTTTCCTTTTACAATGTCAGATGCTACAGCACGTCGATTAGCTGCTATTATTGCCTGTAAAAATTAAATTAATTTTAAAATTAATTTTTAATAATTTAACTCGTTTGCGAGAAGCTTCTTCAATTGCACGGCAACGTTGTTCAGAACGTTCTCTGAAAACTTGAGCCTTAAAAAAGTAAAATTAATCGAGGATACGAGTAGAAAATTTGATTAGAACATGGTCGATAACCTATTAACAATCTTTGATTTTTTGGCCCTGACCCCAATTTCAAAAAGTTATTTCAAAGTTTTAGACTTTTGGAGCGGTGAGTCTCCCTTGTTTTTAGTCAAAAAAAATAAATAAAACTAAAATCAAAACCTTTCTATCGTTTAAACGAAAATTCTCATCAAGAGGAATAAAGAATGATAAAGACGACTTCTTTTGTTGGATATTATTAAAACCATCGAAATGTTCGCATTCTTTTTCAATATTCCTATTATAGATGTCAGCTAGAGGAGTCCGAATATTTCGAATTTGTGGAGTCTCAGAAGGAACTGGAAAAATTTTAAAAATTGAATAACCACTAATTTTTTAAAGATCTTATAAGCCTGAAAATGTTAATGGTTTCTATAGACGAGGAGAAAGAAGACAAGTGACAAGGGGAAGCAGTCTTGGCAAAAGCTTGAGGAAAAACAGTTTCTACGCAAATTTCAAAAAACAGTTTCTACGCAAATTTCAAAAAACAGTTCCTACCCTAATTTAAATTAACCCCAGAAAAATAAATATTCATTTAAAAAAACCTTCAGGTCTATCATTGAGAAGAGCAGCCCGTCTGCCATTTTGTCCCTTTTCAATTATATCATTACACAGAACAAGTTGTTTACGTCGCAGTTCTTCAATTGTTTTGCGAGCTTCTTGAAGCTTTTTGTCCAAATCATCTTTACTTGCCAAACATTCATTCTTCAAAGAAATTTCCCGATTAAGTTGAGTTTTTAATCGATCTCTTTCTTCTTTGATGTTTGTACATTTTGGACATGACTGAAAAAAAAATTTTTAATTTTTCAAAAAAAATTTTATGAAAATTTTTTTAATTGTCAAGACGTTTCTGGCATAAATTTTTATGAAATTAAAACTATGCCTTTACTAGTCTTGTATTTTTATTATAGCCCTGCGCATTAAATGCCTATTGTAAAAGGCAATATTTCATGATAACAGGGCGGTAAGTTTAAAGCAGCAAATTCAAATCGTAAAACGATACAAAAAATAAAAACCATAAAGATAAAAAAATAAACTTAAGGGGGGGGGGGAGTTTGGTATTACAACGCTCTATTTAAAAAAAGAGAAAAGAAACCTTATTATTGTTTGTAAGATGACTTGGTCCTTCTTCCGCTGATCGATTTAAATTATCAGTAGATGAGAAGCATATAGCATTCTTGTGAAGTTGTCGAATGATAGAATCCTTGTTTTTGAGACGATCTCTCAACTTACAATTAAACAAAAAAAAATTTTAAATTAAAGAAAATAAAAGTATTCCCTTCTTGAATGTCAGAGGGCTTTGATCAAACAGAAAGGTGTCTCCGCGATCCTCCCAAATTTTTGACTAGGGATCTTTTGGATCCTTGAGTAGTTAAAGGGAGCCTTCCCACTGATTGTCCTAGGGATTTGTCTAGTCACGTGGTCTTCCCCTTAATTTTCAGAGAACTTTAATTAGTCTTTTAACCCAAAATGTCTTTTATAAAAAATAACCTTGGTATTCTCATTTTCAAAAGCATCAGCAATAGTTCTCAATTCAGAAAGCTGTTTTTCACTCTCTTGAGCTCTTTCATTTGCATCAACTTTGAAATGTTGGAATTGCTTGATAAGCTCCTCCATTTGGTCAACTGCTCTTCTATATTTTTCTTTATGTTCCTCCAATTTTCCAGTGACCTAAAAAAATTTTTTTTTGCATTTTATAATGCAATAAAAAATACGGATCGAGTGCGTTGAGGGATCAATTCTATAATTTCCAGATTTTCGCTCTCCAAAATACGCAATTGACGCGTCAATCTTTCTATCAATTCTGCATAGTTTGGAGATTCTGCGCTAGTAGAAGCTTAAATATTGAAATATTAAATCAAAAATACAAACTGCAAGACTCACCACTATCCTTTGAAATGTCGATCACGCTGACAATTAAAAAATAAAAAAAAGGTAAAAAATAAACTAAAAACCTCAAGTTCTGGTCATTATCACCGGTTGAAGTAGCCTCATTCATATTGATTCTAACAAAATAAATTTTACAATTAAATTAAAGCTAAAAAATGTATAGTTCTAAAAAAATAAAAGAAAATTAGCCTAAAAAATTAAATTAAAAAAATATTAAAGAGAATTCAAAACTCCTTCAAAAATAACCCAAAATTATAATTAAAATCAAATTTTTTTTTTAAATTTAACAGAAATTAATTTTTATTATAATCCTCTTCATCTTTTTCCCCATCCATTTCCTCCACCTCCTCCTTATCCTCTTCAATTACCCCAAGATTTTCATGATTATCCACTCTCATATCATTCAATCCGAGATCATCATCTTGTTCAAAAGTTCTTGTATAAAATTCTTTATCCAGTCTTTCATCGTTGAGAGGAGCTGTAAGACTCTTAAAAAAGAAACTTTTATCGAGAATTAAGAAAATTTATATCTCTTGTGGTCTATCTTAAATGATCCTTGATTTCTCCTTAGAGTTTTTCCTAAAAGACTTATTATTGGAGCTCTCCCTGGAAGAAGGGTTCTACCAGGGAAGATTTCTTCGGCTAGGAAAGTTCCCTGGGGTCTCTCTGAAAACCTGTATTCTTTAGTCCCTATCGAAAACCTTCGAATCCCCAAAATACAAACCTGTATATAACTATTCCCAGAAGGGTCATCCAACACAAGTGTACATTCTTCTTCCATTTTAACAAATTTTTTCATTCTTTCAATTAATTCAACAAATTTTTTCTTTTCCTCTTCAGTACAACTATCACCAACAAAAAATGGTGCTTGACGTTCAAGTTGTTCACAAATAGCAATTAATAGACCTTCAACTGTTGTAAATCGTCCACAAAGAATTCCAGCACCAACTTCAGTATCAATTTCAGGTATATGAACGGAACAAGTGTCTGACTTGAGTAAATCACGTTTTAAGTCTACTGGCTTGAAGAAAAATTTTTTTAATTAAAAAAAAATTTTTTAAAGAAGAACCTCTTTTATCCTTAGCGAAAGACGAATTCCTTTATCTTGTGTTACTCCACCACTTTTTACATCATTCGATTTAAATCCACAACGATCACAATCTGTTGACATTATTATTACTGTTTGGAAGTATGGAATATCTGAAAAGAAAATTTTTTCTTAAAAAATACAAAAATTTTTTTGACTCTCCTTCAATGTCAAAACCTTACTAACACGATTTTTTCAAAATTAAAATTATGTCTTTACAAGTCTTGCATTTTAGTTATGCCCTGCACATATAATGCCCATTGTAAAAAAAACAATATTTGATTATAAAAGGGCAATAAATTTATATGAAATTCTGGGGGTAGAAGAGAACGAGTTTAGCAAAAGTTTAGCCACGGGCAGGATTGGAACCTGTGACCTCATGACAGTTATTGCTAGGAGTTTTCGCTCACCATATACATGAGCTCTACATTGAGCTCCCGCGAGGCATTGCCTAATAATTTCACTTTTATCCTTTTAGATCGTTTAACCCCCGCCTAAGCGTTTTAAATGCTCTAGGTGAATCATCCTTAAAAAGTAAAAATTTTATGGTCTATAGAAACAGAAAATTCGCTAGCAAATATTCTAAGCTTTAATTTCAATAGCTTACACGATTACCCTCAGGCAAAACTTGAAAACATCGACAACCATTTTTGGTCTTTTCTAAGGTAAACCAAGTTATAAAATTGTGATTTTCATTTTTAAAGTTTATGACCTCCTCAGTTTTAATTAAAATTAGAAACCTGTTGGTTTCATTCTAGTTTCACAAATAGCTCCACAAGACTGACACGGACCCATAAAATGCATAACTTCATTTTTCACATCCTGGTAAGATTTCCATTCATTTTCTGCTTGTTCTGCCGGGTCAATTTTTTGTTTTAATTCGATTACTTGGTCGTCATCCAAAAATCCCAATAATTTTTCTTCATCAATAGAACGGCAATAATGGCTAGTAATACAATGAGGGTCAACATGGAAAGGATTTGGGTTTTGGATGAAACAATTTCCTGATGGGTCGCGAAGTTTCTATGAAAAAATATTGAGAAGTTTTAAGATTTTTTTTTAGAATTTCAGCGAGTAAAGTTGGACAAATAAAAAAATGAATTTGAAGAATAAAATGCTTCAAGTCTCTCAAAAGATAAATGGGTAAAAGTTGAATCTGTTGGCCCATAGAAAATATCAATGAAGGGCTCATTTGATACACTTAAAGTTTGCCAGTGAGTGATGGGCAATGCCAGTGAGTGTCAGTGAGTTCAAATCTTTTTTACGAATCCTAAACTTGAATTTAGACAGGCTAAATGCGGTTTATAAAACTACTGGCAACTAAAAAGCCCATCTTCCTCAAGTATTTCTAGGAGTCAGTAAAGTCAACATTTACCAATATTCTGATTCAAGTTTACCTATTTCTCTTAAAATTTCTTTAAAAAATAAACTCTTACCAACGTCCATGAATTTTCCAAGGAAAGAAATTTGTCAAGTTTCTCCAAAAATTGATCAATTTTATCGGCCATAGCAGCATCCAGCTGTTTACGTAAAGGCTGGGTTTCGCCCAAATCTTGTTTAACTGATTGAAGTACACCCTCGACCGTTGTTAGGGCTTAAAATTAATTTTGAAAAAATGTTAAAAATAAAAGAAACCTCCAGACGAAGATTTTGGAGGTATTGTAAGTTCAAGCTCGGGGATTTCGAATATTCCATATTCAGACCTCACAACTGTTCTGTTCAGATCAGCAGCATTCTTCACTTTTAAAACAATCTCTGTTCCGTATTCCTGAAAATAATGATAAAGGATAGTTACAAGGAGCTAACAAGGTGGGTTTTGGGAATTGAAAGACTGTCATCAAGCCACTCCAACAGTCTGTCTTTCTGGAACTAGCAGACTCCTCGAAAAGCCCCTTTAGCTCAACTTCCTGGAACCGGCTAAAACCAAGAAAGACAATCCAAAAAATCCCGGGAGGCTAGCATAGGTTTACTTCTCCCCTAGAAACTGGCTGGGCCCATAAATCGAACAACTCACAACTGTCAGAAAGCCACATCAAAAGTGTGTCTTTCTGGAACTAAACTACTCCTCAAAAAGCCATCTAGAGCTCCATGAAGTCTAGCAAAGGTGGACTTCCTAAAACTGGCTAGAATCAAGATAGACAATCCAAAATGTCCGGGAAGGTTACTAGAGGTTTCCTTTCTTCCTATAAACTGGCTCCTCAAAGAAAGCCAATAAAGTCAGTTAACATTCCCAAACACTACTCAGAGCAGAAAAAAATCTCCTGGAATGGATCTCCCAGGCTCTGGCAAGTGACTAAACATGAGAAATAAATAAATTAAAAACCTGAGCCTGTTCTCCCGATTGTAAATTATTGTTTTGAAGTCCACAATGTTCACAAGCAAAGGACATAACAATAACTTGACGATAGAAAGGAATGTTGATAGAAATAATCTTTGTAATTCCATTTTCGTGACAGTTTGGGCAGATGGATTCAATTTCCATAGGTTTTTCAACATCATCAAAATCATGTTGAGAGGTAGAAGGTGAGGTTAAAGTTGGATCAGTTGAATCAGTCATTCGATCTGAAAAAGGCAGTGAATTGATTAGTCATCGTGATTTGGTTGGAAAGCGGGAAAAGTAAACATTCTAAAGTCTCAGAGTCAAAGGTTAACCAAAACGTAATAAGGGAGGGGGGGGGGGGAAGTAGAGAAGACGAAGCTTGGAATTAACTACAGCTCAGAAAAAATGAAACGGAAAACTTCCAGAAAATTTTTCTGTTACTTGAGTATGTGTTTTGAACGAATTAAAACTAGTTGACACTTTGACATTTACCACTTTGGAATTTCCAATTCGATTTTGCGAGCATTTTTTACTCAAATTTTTGAGGCTTAATTTTGGCTTCACTTTTCTTATCTTTTATCTCGAGATCTCGGGTGATTTATGCCGGTTTTTTTCGCGTTTTTTTCGTTTTTTCTCATTTTTTTTAATTTTCATCTGTTTTTTATTTGTTTTATTCGTTATTTATTCGTTTTCCCCTGCTGCGCACGCTTAAATTTAAAAAAAATAAAAATTTTCTAATTTTCTGAAAAATTTTAATTTTCATAAATTTAAAGGTGCAAGCCTCCAGTCAACGTGCAGAACGCTTGGCCTGGTTAAAATTTTGTTTTTTTTTATTTTAAATTTGTTAATTTATAAAAAAATTTGATTTTTTTAATTTGAAGGCCTGTTGCTGCTCTACATGGCCTGATGGTGCTCTACATGGCCTGAAGATGGTGGGTGCTCTACATGGAGCTGCCGATGATTCGGTGGTTTTTTTTTCTTTTTTATTTTTTAAATTAAATTTAAATACCAAAATAATCTTTTTATTTTCATATTTTTTTTTGTGCTGCTGCTGCTCAACATGGATGGCCTGGCTGGTTCCAATGGATGGTGGCTGGTTTTTAATTTTTTAAAAATAAATAAAATAAAAAATAAATTTTTTTTATTATTTTTATAAATTTTTTGCGTGTGGTGGTGGTCAACATGCTCTTGGATGCTTGGTGATGGTGTTCAATATGCTTTTGGCTTCTGGGTGGTGGTCAAAATGCTTTTGGATGGTTTGGTGGTTGAGTGGCTAGTTTTAATTTTTAAAAATTATAAAATAAAAAATTAAATTTTTTAATTTTTTTAAAATTTTTTGCTGATGGTGGTGGTGGTGGCTGCTCATCAATACGGCTGTTTTTTTGTTTTTTAAAAAACCGAAAAAAAATTTATTTATATTTAGTTGTGTCTACGTGCCCTCAACATCCGTGCTCTTCAACATGCTCTTCTTGGTCGCGCTCTTCAACATGCTCTTCATGGTGGCTGGCCTTATGGTTTTCTGGCCAGGTAAAAAATTTTTTGATTAAAAAATCAAAAATTTGCAAAAAATGCGCACGCGGGCCTTATTTCCTCTTTCTTGTTGTCCTTTGTCTTTGTTTTCATTGTTTGTTCAATTTTTAAAAATTTTGTTTTCATCAAAAAAAGGTAAATGGACTGGATGGTGGTGGAGTGGATGTGGAGTTGTGGTGGTGGATGGAATTGGTAATGGAAAAATTTTCAGGTTTTTTGTATAGGTTTCTGATTTTTAAGGGCAATTTTTGTTGTGAAAAAATCTTATGCTAGAGGGGTCATGCCACTTTTTTTCTTAAAATTTAAATTTGGCATTCTGTTTACGAAAAATGACAATTTGTCCCAAAATAGAAAGACTACAGCTAGAGAGAAAAAGTAATTCTTTTCGTAGGGTCATTTGAGTATGAACATGAGAGTTAATTTTTATGAAAATTTTTTTTATTTTTGTGACTATCAAATGAACCTTGAATTGTTCTTTGTTCTTTTAAGGTTCTTTATCGATTTCCCAGTCCTTTTTGTGTATTAATGTTTTGCTCTTTGCACTTTTTGCAACTCTTTTTTGTTTACTATCAGAGACATCCATTAAAAAAATTAATAGTTCTCTGTTGCAATCAATAAAATTGTTGCAATACTTCAAGCCTCTTTTTATTAATGTTTAATTGTGGAACGTTTTAATTTCCGCTTGAATTGAATGCTCGAACCTCTTTTAATTCTGATTTTTGTGTTTCTAGTTTATTGTTATTCGGTTTATTTTTCTTTAAATTTTGTCCCAACGAAGATCTATCCTTCTTTTATTGGGCAATCCCGGAGAATCGTGGTCCCTGCGGAAAAAAATCTTAAAAATAAGAAAAAGGATTTTTCTAGGGTAAAAAAATATGCTGATTACGAATCTGAACTCAGATTTTGAAAAAGTCGAATCCGAACCCGAATATAGGTCCTCGAATATCGAAAAACCATAGGGGGGACCAAGCTGATTTTGGGGTAAAAAATTCGAAAATGCAAATTATACCTCATTCGAAAGAGCTCTTCAAGTTGAGTCGAATCACACCAAAATTATCGTGATTGAACAAGATCGGACGAAGTTATACCACAAAAAACAAACAACGTAAGCCTAAGTTTTTTGTGTTATAGCTATGTCCAAACTTGAACAATCAAGCTGATTTTGATGTCATTCGACTCAGCTCGTCGAGCTCTTTCGAATGAGATATTATTTGACCAATTTGCGCTCTGTTTATTATTCGAAATTTTTCCAAAAATGTCAAATGTTCGAATTTCGGGTTCGGGATTCGACTTTTTCAAAATCCGAGTTCAGATTCGTAATCAGCATAATTTTTTAACCTAGAAAAATCCTTTTTCTTATTTTTAAGATTTTTTTCCGCAGGGACCACGATTCTCCGGGATTGCCTTTTATTGTTCTTATGACTGCTTTTGTGTTCCTCAAATTATTAAAAAAATTTTTCGATTTTTAGATTCCTATTTAATCCAAAACTTATTATTTCAAAACAACGCTACTCTCTCTTTCAATTCCTTCAAAATTTATTTTAAATGTCTACTGTTGAGGAGGAAACTCAAAAATTGGATGCAACCAACGGAGAAGGTTTACCTTTAATTTTGTAAATTTTTAATTTTTTTGGTTTTGTAGATGCTTCAAAATCAAAGAAACCATCCAGAAAGGAGCTCAAAAAACAACAGAAACGTAATGAATATGAAAAGGGTTTGCAGGCGATGGGGTCAAAGCTGCATAATTTAAATGAAGAGGAACAAAAGTCTCCAGTGAAAAAAGGTTTTTTTTTATGAAATTTGAAAGTTTAGGCAAGGAAACTGGTGCCTTTGAGGGGTCGTAAGGCTTGCCATTTCTATTCGAATATTTCCTAACCTTTTTGTAATTTCTCGCCCGTGTGTTTAGTGAAGTTGAGGGGTCGTGGGTTCGACCCCGCTTGAGGAAATTAATTTTTTTAAATATTCAAAAAGTTATGTGAAACGAAAGTTATGTATGGATAAATTGCTTAACCTCAATTTCTCAATTCCCTCAAAATTTTGGCAATAACCGCACCGTTGTTTAGTGAATTTGAGGGGTCGTAGGTTCGACCCCGCTCGGGGAAATTAATTTTTAAAAATACCTGTAATGACTTTTCTGTTAAAAATCATGTCCAAACTACTTGCCGAGAACTAGTCAACCCCTAATAAAATTCCATTTAAATTTTTGAAAATTTTTTTAAAGGTGGAATAGGCTCTGGTGCAGAAGTTGGTGATCAATTTACAGTTTCACAACAAGTCAAAACTGATGCTCAATTAAATTTAATGGAAACTGCTGTTGATATAAAGGTTTTTTATGAATAAATTGGCTTAATTTAAATAATTTTCAAGGTTGAAAATTTTGATATTTCTGCTGATGGAAGGCAATTGTTCAACAAAGCTTGTTTAACTGTTGCAATGGGTAGACGTTATGGATTGGTTGGGCCCAATGGAATGGGTAAAACTACACTTTTGAAACATATTGCTGCTAGAAAACTGGCTATTCCTCCAAATATTGATATTCTGTATTGTGAACAAGGTTTGATTTAGATCTTAAAAGAAATGGGAGGGCAATTTTTAAAAAATATCTACCAAAGATTTATCTTTAAAAATACTGAACGAGGTCTAGTTAAATCAGAGACAGTCCCTCCTCATAATTTGAAACTATACATTTGTAGATAAGAGGCTTGTGAGTGCCTGCCTGCCTTTTTAATGTCCCACAAAAAATCGTTGAAGGAAGTCCCTCACAAAAATTTGGTTTTGTGGTTAAGTGGTCTAAGTCCATGCATGAGAGACGAAGACGGGGTATAGGTTCGAAACCTTTTCAGGTGTCTGCACTCAATAAAAATTATTTTCTTAAAATTTGAAAAAATTTTATTTTTTAATATTTTCAGAAATTGAAGCTGACGAAACTTCAGCAATAGAAACAGTTTTACGTTCAGACAAAATTAGAATGGAATTAATAACAAAAGAAGCAGATTTACTATCAAAATTAGAATTGGGTGATACAAATGTTACAGAAGAATTACAGCAAGTTTCGAATGAATTAAAAAATATTGGGGCAAGTTCTGCTGAATCTAGAGCTAGAAGAATATTGGCTGGGCTAGGATTTAGTAAAGAAATGCAAGAAAAAGCTGTCAAAGATTTTTCTGGTGGATGGAGAATGAGAATATCTTTGGCTAGAGCTCTATTTTTGGAACCAACACTTTTATTATTGGATGAACCTACTAACCATTTGGATTTAAATGCTGTTATTTGGCTTGACAAGTTTGTGAATTTTTTTGTATTTTTTAAATTTTTTTTTAAATTTTTTTGGGCAAAATGCTCACATCCGAAACGTTCAAAAATTGAAAAAACGACAAAATGTCCAGAATTTTGAAAAAAAAATATTTTTTAATTTTTCTGATTTTGTTTATTCTGAAATTTTCAATTTTTTTTTTCGGAAAAATGTCCACTCCCGAAATGTCCATTCTTAAAACGTCCAGAAGTCGAAAAAACGACAAAATGCCCACAAAATTTTTTTTCAAATTTTTTAAATATCAAAAAAAATTTTTAGTTATCTTCAAAATTGGAAGAAAACATTATTAATTGTTTCTCACGATCAATCCTTCCTTGACAACATTTGTACTGATATTATTCACTTGGATAGTCAAAAACTTTTTTATTACAAGGGAAATTATAGTTAAGTGTTTTGAATTTTTATTTAAAATAAACTTGGAATGTTTTGTTCATTTGAAATTCTGATTTTATTTTAAATTCTGTTTCTAAAAATAAACTTTAATTATTTCAAGTTTATTAAAAATTCTGATTTTAAAAATAAACTTGAATTATTTCAAGTTTATTTTAAATTCTGATTTTACTTTGTGTAATTCTGATTTTAAATAAACTTGGAATATATTCAATGTTTATTTAAAATTCTGATTTCAATTTTATTTAATATCAGAATCTTAAACAAACATGTATTTTAGTTATTTTATGTTTGTTTAAAATTCTGATTTTATAATTCTAATTTACTTTAACAATTTTCAGCTTCATTTCGAAAAATGTATGAACAAAAATTGAGAGAACATTTAAAGGCTTACGAAAATCAACAAAAACAATTACATGCATTAAAAAAGGGTGGAAAAAGTGGAAAACAGGCAGAAGAAGAAATTAAAGGAAGAATGAATGCAAAACAACAAAAAGCTGTTGGAAAAAAGAGTGAAAGAGGTTCAGCAACTATGGGGGATGAAGGTTAGTTGGAGGGGGGATTTTTTGAATTTTTTTGTGATTTTTAAAAAATATTTTAAATTTTTTATTATTTCCAGAAGACGCTCCTCCACCCGAATTATTACAAAAAATTAAAGAATATTCTGTTAAATTTGTTTTTCCTGGTACTACAAAATTGGCTCCACCTGTTTTGGGATTGCATGGTTTATATTTTTTCTTTTACCTAAATGATTTTTTAATTTTATATAGATGTTTCATTCGGTTATGCAAATGCTAAATTATTGTTCAAAAATGTCAATTTTGGTATTGATATGGATTCTAGAATTGTGATAGTTGGACCTAATGGTGTTGGAAAATCTACATTGCTAAAATTGTTGAGTGGAAAAATTGCTCCGGTTTCTTTTTGAATTTTTTTTAATTTTAAAGTTTTTTTAAAGACTACAGGTGAATTAGTTAAACATAGACAACTTAGAATTGGGTGGTTTGATCAACATTCAAATGAAGCATTAAATGGTGAACAAACTCCTGTTGAATATTTGATGGTTAAATATAATATTGATCATCAGGTTTGTGAAGTTTTTTTTTGCTTTTATTGTAAGAGGGGTTTGTGGTAATTCTATAAGGTTGCTGGGTGTTTTTTTTTGTGCCTTTTTTGGGGGTCGAAAAATGTGATTCCGGTTTTTCTATTCGATTAATCATTTTTGAAAGAAAAATTATTGAGATGAGTTTCTATCTTATTGTTAGGAGAAGGGAAAGAGAAGTATCCTTGGAGGAGGATGCTTGAGAGGGTTTTGGGGAATTCTTTCTTGATGTGGATGAATAGGGAAATTTGTGTGTTTTTTTTTCTTTGTTTTTTTAAAGGCATGATAGCATTTTAAATAATAAACAAAATATTATTTAAAATTTTAATAATTTTTTTCATTTTCTCTAGAGCGCCAGAAAAAATTTGGGAATGGTTGGATTAATATCGCAAGCACACAATGTAAAAATTAAAAATTTATCTGGTGGTCAAAAAAGTCGTGTTGCTTTAGCTGAATTGTCTTTAACAGCGCCAGATATTTTAATTTTGGTATAGATTTATTTAATTTTATATAAGGAATTTTATCTGGGGGTTAACTCTATGTAATTGGATGTGTGTTGGGATAAGCTGTCACTTTTAAGAAGGAGTTTTTGAGTGATTTTGGGTTTACTAAAATAAGGAACCGAGTGAGAGCATGTTTGGATATGATCTCTAAATTATACAAATCCCAAATCTATATGATCGAGTCATCGATCGAGGTTAATGACCCCTAGATTCAAACCTTATACCAACCTCGTGTTAATTGATCGAGTCATTGATTCCTGGATCCAAATCAGAACCTTGTTGTCATCTTTATAAAGAGTTCTTCGATTCTTATGGGCTCACTGATAAGTTCTTCAAAATAAATTACTCCTGGTTCTTATGGGCTTATTGTTATTGACCTCGAATCAATAATCAGTGATTTTTGGGTTAAACCTAGGACCATTTTGAAAATTTTGGGTCATAAACGGAAGGATTTTTTCTTCTAATAAGGAGCAAAACATATATTAAAAACATTTAAAAAAAAATTTTTTTTAAAGGATGAACCAACAAACAATTTGGATATTGAGTCAATCCAAGCATTAGCAGATGGTATAGAAACATTTGGTGGAGGTGTATTAATGGTTACACACGACGAAAGATTAATTAGAGCAACAAATTGTCGTTTATGGATTGTTGAAGATGAGAATGTATATCAAATTGATGGAGAATTTGATGATTATCGTAAAGAAGTGTTGGAACAAGTTGAAAAGAGGCTAGCTTCTGATGGACTTTAAATGGAATACGGTGTTTTTTTAATTAATTAATTAAAAAAATTTAAAAAATTTTTCGGTTATTTTCTGTTGATATATAACATAATAAAATACACAAAATTCTATTTAAAAAGAAAATTTTTTTCGAACCTTTATGTAAGAGGAGAGAGAAGTTAATTATAATTAGTAGTATATATCCGGTTTTATAACATTTAAATGGGAAGGGGGTAAAATGGTTTTGAAGGGGGGGGGGTAACTGGGAGAGGGATAAAGGAAGGTTGTGGGGATTGTGTAAAGAATTATAAAACACCAAGAAAAAAGATTGGTGTGGAAGGGAAATTTGGGAAAAAATTTTCAAAAATTCGTTTTTTTTTAAATTCATTTTTAAAAACTTCCAAAAAAACCTTTAAAAAATTTTTTTATTTTCAATTATTGAATTTTTAAAAAACATATGCTTCTCTATTTTACATTTTTTTTTCTTCTTTTACTCTCTATTTTTCAATGTAAAAATTTTTTTCTCTCAATATTCGTGGCGCTAACGCGCGCACGTATTTCTCAACCAATTTCTCTTTTAAAAAATTTTAACTGACAGCTGGTGTGCGTGTGCCGGCGCTGTCAGGGGTCTTTTAGAGTATTAAAAATATATTTTACTGTGAATTTTTGAATGATTTTTTTAAAAAGATTTTGAAGGGATTTTTTTAAATATATAAGATGTTGATTGGAGAAAGTATCTAGTGGGTGGGATTGGATTGTGGGGTTGTGATTTGGGGGCTGGGGGAGTATATTGTGATTTGGGAGTAAAATATTTGTATTTAACTGAATATGAAATTAGTTTTCTTTGGGGGTTCTTGGGGGTTTTTCTTTCTTTTTAATAGTTAATTTTTCGAATTTTCTTAATGTTTGTCCCCCCATCCCCTCTCCCTCTAAACAAATTTTCGGCGAGGATTTTATCAAAAGTTATTGAAATTCCTCATATATTTACTAGTTTTTTTGCCATATGATGAAATCCTCCAAATTCTATTTTTGTTTATTATGAAATTCTAAAAAAAGGAAGAATCATATGACTATCATTTTTATTTATGTTTTTCATTTTTTATATTTTTGTCAACAACAACAATTTTTTTAGAAATATATTTCAAAATTTTCTTTTCATCCCTCCATACACTCACCCCACTATTCTTTGCTTTGCTTGCTTTACTGGCTATACAACAACGGCTGTCAATAACGCCCGCTTATTTCCTCATATACACAACTCACCCCACCGTTCTTTGCTTGCTGCACGGCTGTCAGTTAGACGCTATCGCCTGCTTTTCTTTAATGGCTGCTGTTGTTGTATACACACATGAAGGCTGTCAATAACGACCGACTGCTTCATTTATTCTCCTTAAAATATATACTATTTTTCTTTTATTTCTCTAAAAATATTTTTCTAGAAATTTCTCTCTCAATTTTTCTGCGTCGTGTGAGCTGCGCGTCGCTTCTTTCCTCATACAGCCAGCCAGCCCACACTAACTCCGCCCATAAAAATTGTCTTTAAATAGCCCCCCAAGCGCTCCATAGCAAGTCATTCTTTAAACATTTTTATATTTAATTTTAGCCTTTTTACAAATTTTTAAAATATTTTTTTTTAAATTATTTTTTGTCAAGTTTTTGTTCGCGTTTTTATTTTTTTAAATTTTTTAATATTTTTTAGTGAATATTTATTTTTTCCTTTGAATGCGTGGGTATTAAAACATTGTAAAACAACCTCTACTATAATTAATATACATACTCCTCCGTTGTCTTTTGTTAACCAGCACCTGAAAATTTTTTAATCTTCAACACAAATCTACACTCCTTAATACCAGTTTTTTTCTTCAAAATATTTTTTCGTGCTCCAATTTTTCAAATAAAATAATGGCTGCCATTTATTTTTCTTTTAATGCATGACTTCCACTACTCTTGCGCCATTTTATTCTTTTCTCTCAACAATTTTCCATTCAATGCTCGCAACCACTCTGTATCTAACACACAATATTTTTGACCAAATTCTCGACTAGCGGCCTGTTTTATTTTAAATAACATGTGATTTTATAGAGAGTGAAAGGGAAGGAAGGTTCTTTCTACTACACTGCTATAGATGCTTTTTTGCTTTTACCCAACAATGTGACATGCGCGTGTTCGCTACCGTGTTAAAATAAATGAAGAAATCCAAAAGCTATAAGAACTACTATAATAAATCCAACTGAATCCTTTGTCTATTTTACGTCTGTCAAGAAGGGATAAGGCAGAAATTAAATAAATGCCAAATTCATTCTCAAAGTCAATGGATTAGTGGGTGGCTGTCGTTGTATTTTTTTTTAATATTTTAACTCATCGGGATGGGGTGTTTGATGATATTTTTAGATGAGAAATCCAAGTCAATCTCCTTTTTGCGTTATTATGCTTTTGATAAGAAGGAATAGAGTTACACAATAATGAAGATAAAGGCGCCGTTCTCGAATTCAATGCGTGTTTGGTCATTGTATTTTTTCAAAAATATTTACCCTTAATGGGATGGGGCTGGTTCCTTGATGATAAATTTAGATGTGTATTAAAACTTCGTTCAAAACCTGTATAAGAAATCTAAATCTCAATCATTTGCGTGTATCTACCTACCACTACTTTACGTTCTAACTAATAGAAGCGGTTAAAATGTGTGCGGCAATAAGAAGATACGAAAATCGGGAGATCGCGGATCATATTATTACAAAGCCTAATGGATTTTTCGTTCCTTGCGGTATTTGATTAGTTCCTTTAATGATGAATTTAGATGTGTTTTTCAAAACTACGTTAACCTATAAGAAATCCGGATCAATCTCTTTTGCGTGTATTGCTCAATAAAATGAAAATAGAGACTTCATTCTCAAATTCAATTTATTTTCAAACTCTTTGTCATTGTATTATTTTTTAAAATATTTTCCCTTAGTGGGATGGGGGTTTGGTTCCTTGATGATAAATTTAGATGTGTATTTCAAAACTGCTTGCATAAGGAATCGAGATCAATCCTTTACCATACACGTTCTTTCTACATAGAAGGGATAAGAAGATGTATGTATGATACAATAATAAGAGGAAAAAGTGTCTTCAATAGTTGGGAAATTTGCGATCATTCTCTTAAAACCCCAAGTGGATATGTGGTGGTTTTTCATTTTTTTCAAATATTTTTACTTAATGGGATGAGGGCTGGTTCGTTGTTGATTTATTTAGATGTGCCTCAAAATTATGTATCCAAATCACAATTTTTTGTATATCTTACCAATTTTTGTTTGATTGGAAGGGATAAAGCATGCGTCTTTTGTGAAGCCAATTTGAATCTCTTAATTTATTCTCATTAGGATGGGTTGGTTTTTTGATTATAGTATACTTATTTTAGATGTTTCAAAAGTACTTTTTTTCCTACCATATCACTGTTAGGCAGGCTTGTTTGTCTTTCAATGTATATTCTACATTTTTACACTTAAATGGGAAGGGCTGGGAGTTTATTTTTAGATTTTTTTTACAAATCCAAGCCTGTAAACTCACTCTGGCAAAACTATGTTTGTTTAGACAAGCTTTTTGAGACCTTCACGATTTTGATGTTGTCCAGGTCAAATTCAAAATAATTTTTGTTATATTTGGGGGTATATTTTTTGGGGTTATCTAAATTTTAGGTCTATACCTATTTTTCTTGGCAAAAAGGTATTTTTATGTAAAATGAAAGAAATAGATTTTAGTCTGAGGAGTTTTCTTACTTTTTTGCTCGAGGGAGCGCGTTCCTTGTATTACCTTTTTTTCAAACCAACACATAATTTTTTTGTGTCCAAGTGGTACCAGAATTTGCTTCAAATAAATATTTTTGAATATATGTATTAGGGTGTGTGTGTGTGTCAATTTTAACATATTACCTACAACAATATTGTGTATCTTGGTGGGGTTCTTAAATTATTATGGACATTTTTTGGCTAATGTTTCAAGACAATTTTTTTTTTGGATAAGAAAAGGAATTAAATTTTTGAAGAAGCTAGATTAAGATTAGGATTAAAAGAGAAGATGTTTGAAAAAAATATTATTTTTATTATTATCTTTTGGATTAATCTTGATATTTAACATTTAACAATAATAACAACAACAATAATAAAAATTTTTGGCTGCAAAAAAAATTTTTTTTGGGTGTTTGTATTTCTATAACGTGACAATTAATAATAACATATATAACAATTCAAAACTTTTCTTTTGTGGTATGAAATTTTTTAACCCAAAATGAAGCGATTTAAGGAAGAAGAAGAGTGCATGGGGATTAAAAATGCGTGTTTTTATTTTTTATCATGAGTACATGAAAGGAAGTGTGTGTATTTCAATATCATAATCATATAATTTTTGCGAATAAAAATTTTAAAGAAGAAAGAGAGTGTTGCTCATTTGAAAAAAATTTTTGAAATGAAGAAGAGCGCGATTATAATATTTTTAAATGCTTGTCTACAAAAATTCGTTTTTAATCAAAAAATTTAATTTCAAATTCTAAACAACACAAAATTGTGTGTTTATTTTTAAGGAGGAGAGTAATGCATAAAAACCATTGATAAAATATTTTTTTTGATAAAAAGAAGGGGGAGAGAAGATTGTGTCATATGTATGGTCTCTTCAACGCGTTCTTATAAAATTTAAAAAAATCTCAAGTGTTATAAAAAAAAACAAATATTTGTGTAAAAAGGTTAATAATGTGTAAATATATGCGAGGTGTTATTATTGGTACGAAAATTAATATTTTTTCCAAATAATTCTTTTTAGAATGTTCTCAAAAATCTTTGCGCCCACCTATATGGTTAATCTTTGGGTTTATAATTGATTTTAAAAATGAACAAAAAATTATTTTACAATTAAAACAATTTCTAATATTCAAAAAATGCTAAATAGACAACGTATCTTACAAAATTTTATTTTTATTCCAAGTTGGGTTCGAACCTGCAACCATTTTTCTTAAATTAACCAACTTAACCACAATTCTTAAGGCTTCAATTTTTATTTAATTTTTATTTTTCTGAATCTACAATCTCAAATTAATTAAAATTATTTTTTCCGAGCCTTCAAAAATATTTTTAAAAACAACAACAAAAAACAAAAAGATTTTTTCTTAATATTTTTTTTCGAACCCACCACACATACGTTTCCTTTTGTTTTGCGATTAACCAACTTAACTACACAAGTTTAAATTTTAAATCCAAATTATTAAAAAAACTTCAACCAATCTGAAATTTTTTCTAAACATTAAAAAAAAACATTTGAAAACAACAACTAATTAAAAATAGTTTTTTTCTCAAATATGATTCTTACAACATTATTTTTCTTTTCCTACGTTATTAATTTAAAAGAAAAACTTTTTACCAACTTAACCACAATATTTACAAAAGGGGAAAAATCTCGAGTATTTACTACATATGTTTTTTTGGTATACCAAAAAATGAAAGGAAATTTTTAATCAATTTAAATAATTTTTTGAACGAATAAAAACCACATTTAAGAAGAAAATTTAATGTTTTACCTATGAGGGATTCGAACTTTCATCTCTTTTTTACGCGTTTAACCAACTTAACTACAACGTACAAATTTGTTTAATGTGCAATAATTTTACTCTTTCAACTCACAAATTATTTTTAAACAATCAAAAACATCTGTAAAACAACGTTTTTTAATGATTCGATTTATTATTTAATTCATGCGGGATTCGTACTTTTCCCACTCCTATTCCCGCGCTTATATCCAACTTAACTACAAAATACAATATACAAACTTAAAATCCAAAAATTGAAAATTTCTTTACAACCAATCTCCCAAAAAATAATATTTGTGTGTTTTTTCAAACCGGATGCTTGAACCCCTTTTGAAAAATAGCCCCCTAATTTGATGAAAACTTCACAAACTTAACTAAATAAACCATCCAATTAATTCAATGAAAAAAAATTATTAATTTTTAATTTTTCATTATTATTCAATTTGATCTTCTAAATTTAAAAATTTATACAAAATTATTAAACAAATTTTCCGGAAAAAATATTTTTTTACGTGACTGGATTTGACCTTACACAATTTTTTTTACTCGAATAATATTATATTTTAAAATTTGTCCAACTTAACTAAAAAATTACAAAGGCAAACTTTTGTCAAAATTGGAGTTTTTTTGAAGGATTTGTTTATTTTTTTAAATTAATTTATTAAAATTTTTTATTATTTTTTTAAATTTTAATCTTGCGTTGGTGCTTTTTTTGTATTTTTGTGTGTTTTTTGATTTAATAGGGGATTTATTCTTTTTAATTTTTATTCAAACATAACACTTATTTTTTAATTCTTTTTTTGGTTAATCAAGCTATATTTTTTAACAAATTCAATCAGCTTACTTGTTCAGCTTTCTTTATCATTATTTTTTAATCAAATTACTTGGCTAAAATTTTTAAATATTTTACAATTAATTATGGTTTTTGTGCTTGGTTAAATGGCCCAATCTATCTTGTTAATTCTAACAGTTTTATCCCTTCTGGTTTTTTTATTCAATAATTGGATGTTTCTTTTATTTTGGCTAACTTTTTATTTTTTGGATGGATAGTATCCTTAACATATTTACAACATTTTTTTGGTGGTTAAAAATAAGCTTTTTTTTCGATGGGTAACAAGAAGAATTTTTTGATTGGTCAAATTTGTTTAAAAAAATCATGTCTTGGATTATCTGTTTATTTGGAAGGAATCCTTCAATATTATTTATTTTTTTGGTTATTTTTATCTCTTATATCTTCTGGTTTTTTAAATTCAATTCTTGCCGAATGGTTATTCTATTTATTCAATCGTGTTCTAAATTAAATTGTTCATAATGAGGGAAAAAAGGAGATTACTCAATTATTGTGTGCAGCAATATTTTTAACCCTTAGGTAGTTTGGCTAATTTTTTAATTTTAATCTCAAAAAATTTATTTTAATCCTTAGTTTTCTTTAAATTTATTTTAAATTATTTTTTAATAGGAAAAAAACCGTTTTACCACGATTGGATTCGAACTCGCGACCCCTCTCACCTATAGACTACAACACTACCGACTTAACCACATGGGACAATTTTTCTTAAAAATTTCATTTCTTTGTCTCAGATTTTATTTGGAAGGAATCTTTCAATATCTTTTGGGTTCTCTATTCAATTCTTATTTTGCCATTACGAATTTCTATTTGCTATACATTTAAAATGAGTAAAAGTTGCTCGAGTTTGTCCGCAGCAAGATTTTAACTTGTAGGTAAATTGGGTCAATTTTTGGCCTATTTTTTAATTAAAAAAATTTTTTTCATATTTTATCCTTACTTTTCTTTAAAAATATTTTTTAATTTATTTTTCTATAGGAAAACAAAACCATTTTACCACGTTCGGATTCGAACCCGCGACCTCTCTCACACTCATAGATTACAACACTACCAACTTAACCACATGGACTTTTTAAATTTTTTTTGTCTCTGCGGGAGCGTGCGGAACGAGTAAAATATTTTAAATTTATTAGATTTTTTTTAAATTTAAAGGTGTTTTTCCTGGCTTTTTCTGTTCGAAAATTGGTATTTGCCACACTATTTTAACCAGTTTCTTTAGAAAGAAAATTTTTTACCTTGAGGGATTTAAAGTGTCTTTTAAAAATATTTATTTATTTATTTTTTTTACCAACAAAAGAACATTTTTAAAATTTAATTCCATTTTTATAAAAAATAATTATCAAAAAATATTTGCGCGTTTATTTATAAATATAAAAATTTTGTTTTTTTTCTAATTTCTGGGATAAAAATTGTGGTATATATATTTTTTTAAATTTTTATTTTAATTAAAAATATTTAATAAAAAATGCATTTGCCAGGTTAAATAAAAAAAAAGATTTTCCGTGACAGGATTCGAACCCATGACCTCTCTTTCCTGTGTACTTAACACCACTACCGACTTAACCACGTGTGACAATTTAGAATAACTTCCTTTGCGAGAGCTTCAGAATTCCCTCGTCCGGAATTTATTAAAATCGAACTTTTTTTAACCTCTAATACATATTTTCGCGTTCATAATTTGTTTAATTTTTTTCCACCCCTTATTTTTTAAAATAATTTTATGCTCTACGTTTTATATTTTTCACACATTCTTAAATTCAAAAAAAATTTTTTTCCTAAAACTGTGCACAGTTTTTTCTATTTTTTCGCGGTTAAAAAAGAATATGACCGGTTTTAAAGGCCTATTTATTGTGTAAAGAATAATTACGAGAGAGAGAAATTTAAAAAAATTTTAAAATTTGGTGTTGAAAAGCGCTTTTAGAGTTGTACAATATGGGATGGAGTAATAATTAAAAAATGTTTTTGGTACATTATAAAATTTAAGAGGTTTTGAGGTATTGAAAAATGGGTAATGAAGAGTATTTTTGAACGTGTATTTTCGAGTAGAGACACACATAATGTGTTTGTTTTGGTATACTTAAAGGATAAGTTGTGTTGGGTAATCTGTTTAGGTTAAAGTTTGTTTTTAATTTATATAAGTTTTTGAATGTTTTGTTTGTTTGTTTTGGTTTTTTTATTTTTGTTGTGTTTGTTGTGTTTCTGATGTTTTTGATCATGTTTTTGTTTGTTTTATGTTTGTGTTTTTGTTGTGTTTCTAATGTTTTATGTAATTCTGATTAAAAATACAAAAATTTAAACATTTTCAGGCAAACTTTTTTCGGATACTTTTTTGGATACACAACATTTTCGGCAAATAATAATTTTCGGCAATTTTTCGGCAATTAATAATAATTTTTTTCGCTTAATTTTTTCGATTAAAAAAAAGAATAAATATTTTTTCGGCCTATTTGTTGTTTTTTTATTGTTTATTTAGGGGTAGAGAGGCTATTTTTAGGGGTCTTGTTTTAAGGATCATAGGGAAATTTTAGCTAATGTAGGGAATTTTTTATAAGATTAAGAGAATTCATAAGTATTTTTTAGCCTCATTTTAAAAATATTTATAAAATAAAAATTATTTTAAAAAACAGTCAGAATCTCGAATTTTACTTACAATCTAAACATAACTGAATGAGGGGGAAGCTTGTTCAAGAAAGCTTTTATCTCTTTACAATGTTTCACCATCACTTTATATTCCTAAGGGTGTACGTACAATCGAGATTTGACTGTAATATTTTCATGAATTAAAATTATAATTTTTTTTTGTTTGATAAGGCATCTTGAAACGATACAGAACTTGAATTAATCTTGACACAAGTACAAGATTTTTCTCGGATCTTTCTTGGAAGATTCTTCTTGGCCCCTCGACCTCGATCTATTCTTTTCAGCTTCAGTGATCCTTGGTTTCTGATTTTTAAAAAATCTTGACCTTGTCCAACTCTAGTTAAAAGAGACTTGTGTTTGGATTTTTTATTGTTTTTATTCTCAACCAGAATTCATAAGATGATCATGCAAGTTGAGATGGAAGCATCATGGATAAGCCCAAATTTGAAACAAAAGCACAGTGGAGCGTTATATGTTGGGAGTATTTTCTTCAAGGTTGACACAACTACTTCTACAAGATTTTGGCAAATATATTTTTTCGAAAAAATTTTTTTTTATTAATTTGTATTTTAAAATAAAATAAAAAATGTATTTATTCATTTTCTAGTTAACAAAAAATTTTTTTAGATTATTTTTTAGAAAAAAAAATTTTATTTTTTGATTATTCAGCGCTTCATTCTCTTGTAATTTAGATCCATTCCTCCAAACTTCCAATACTTTTCTTATACTTAGTCGAACATTGTTGTTCTCGTTGTTGTTGTTGTTCTTGATGTTGGGTTCTCATTTGTTCTTGTTTTTCTTTTTCCCAAACATTGTCTCTCCCAAACAAATGATGTTTTTCCAAAACATTTGTGTTTTTCCCGAACAAATTGTGTTTTTTTGTGTTTTCCAAAACATTGTTGTTTCTCCCCAACGAATTGTATTTTTTTGTGTTTTCCAAAACATTTGTATTTTTCCCCAACAAATTGTGTTTTTTTGTGTTTTCCAAAACATTGTTGTTTCTCCCCAACGAATTGTATTTTTTTGTGTTTTCCAAAACATTTGTATTTTTCCCCAACAAATTGTGTTTTTTCATGTTTTGTTCAAATCTTTTGTTATAAACTTGTCTCATTATTTTGTGTAAAATAAAGCCTATAATTGAAACAGTAAAAAGAAGAGCGCTAATAAATAACAACGGAAGAAGTGATGCCATTGAAGAAAGGAAAGTTGATGAAGTAGAAATTTGTTCAAATGTTGTTTCTGATACCATTTTTTTGTTAGAAATCAGAATTTTTGTTTTGTTCTGTTTTTAATTAGGGGAATTATTAAGGCAGGGGAAATGTGTGTTGGGAAGGGTCTCATTCCAGACTTGATAACTCTTGATTGGATTAACTTTCTGTAACGGTTTTGGTATCATTCGTTAGAGAATTAAATTTGTTACAAACCAGGGGTTTTTCAGATTTTTGGGTTGTCGAGGAATAAAATTGTGTGATTTTTTGCTGTCATTTTTTAAGGTTTTTGATGGTTTTCAAGGGTTTTTCGACCTTAACTTTTTTAAGTCTACACAAAATTTTGATTTATATCTCAATTTGTAGGAAATTTAATCCTCTTTCGAATGGTATAAGTACCATTCAGAAGAAAAATTTGGTCCCAAAGTTATCAAGCCAGAACTGAGGTCCTTCCAGAACTATGATTTAGTTAAGCTTTTCTTACCAAATTTTTAGAAGTTTTTGTTTTCAATGGCTAGGATTATCTTGTTGTTTTTTAGTTGTTATTTTTTATCCCTTTCGGGTATAAAAGTTTCGACTATCCGTTCTCGTCCAGATTGTCAAGCAATAAAAGTAAAAATATGCGCAACGACGCCAAGTTGAATAATTCGTTAAAGGTGAATGACACCGATTTAAATATTAAGAAAAAAGAATCTGTATTTATCTGAAAAAAGGGGGGTTTGTTAAAAATTCAATTTTTAAAGTGAAAAAAATTTTTTTGATGGAAAAAAATTTTTTTTGACAGAAAAAAATTTTTTTTTGACGAAAAAAAATTTTTTTTGACAGAAAATTATTTAAAAATGAGAACTAAACTGTGTAAAATAAAATATTAAAAATTGATTTTTCTGAGTAAATATTAAACACACACATATAAAATATAAAAAAATATTTGTACAATTATTTTGGTAGTTTTGTTCTTATCAATTTAATTATAAAATTGGGGTCATAGGGTTTTGATTTGTGATTGTAAAAAAATTTAAATTTCTGGTTGGGATTTGTTGGGGGAAATCAGAATTTTGTGTATTTTTGAAATTGTGTTTGTGTTTTTATTATTTGAAAATTCTGATAGTATTTAAAAATCAGAATTTCTAATTTTGTAATTGAAGAGATATCAGAATTTTTAAAAATTTATATCAGAATTTGTAATTGTAATTCTATTAAAAATCAGAATTTTTAAAAAATCTAAAAAATCAGAATTTATTTAAAATCAGAATTAAAAAGAGATCAGAATGTAAATAAATATCGAATTTAAGGAAAATCAGAATTTTTACAAAATCAGAATTTAAAAAATCAGAATTTAGAAGGAAATCAGAATTTTTAGAAAATCAGAATTAAAAAGAAATCAGAATTTTTTCTTTAAAAAATTTCAGAATATTTAAAGAACAGGTTTTTACAATTTGTAATTACAATTTGTATAATTCTGATTATTAAATAAATAAATAAATATTATTATTATTATTTATTTAATTTATCAAGTAATAATTCTGAAATGATAACAACTAATAAATAATATTTTTCTTCTAATATCACACATCATTTTACTATTTATTTTTATTTAAATTCATGTCAGCCTCCTCCAATCTCGTGTTTTTTTTTAATATTTTTAATTTATTCAAATCTTTATTATTGAGAATTTGTGGGGGTGTTAGAGAGAATTTGAGAGATAAATCCCCTATACTAGTAGAAAAAATATTTTTTTTATTTTTTATATGATGTGAGAATTAAATTAGGTAGATAGTGTGGGGGAGATTTAACGAACATGTATATTTTATATTAAGTAAAATAAAAAAAAATTTTTTTATAAATTTTATTTGTATTATGAAATGAGGAGAATTTTTTTAGTTAAGAATTTTTAAAAATTTTTTAGAAAATTTATTTTCATATTTTTTGGGGAAGGATAGAAAATAATATGTAGAAGGGTTTTAAATATTTTTATTTTATTGTTTAGAGTTTGTTGCTCAACTCTAAAAATTGTGTTTCTTCTATAAATAGAAGAAGATTCAATTAAGTTTTTACACAAACATAAAACATTAAAGTTTAAAATGAATCAAAAATCAGAAAAGACTATAAAAACGTGTATGTGTTAATTAATTAATTCTGATTGATTGTTGTAAAGAATTGTTAAAAGTTGTGTTTTAATAAAGTTTCATAAATTAAAATATGACCAGAATTTAGTTTAAAACACAAAATACATTTGAAATAAAAATACAAAAGTTTTCCGGAAAACATTTTTACAAAATGTGTATTTTATTATATACAAAAACTTTCCGGTTATATAACATAACTAGTTAACTGTAAACATTTCCGGAAAATACAATATTTTTTTTGTATTTTAAATAATATTTTAAATAAAATACAATAATAATTTCTGGAAAATACAATAAAACATGTAAAATACAAAACCTTTCCGGAAAACAAATTTATTAGAAAAATACATTTTTAAATCTCGGAAAATACAAATTGTAAAATACAAAACTTTTCCGGAAAACAAGTTCAAAATAAAAATACATTTTTTGAATAAATTGTTTCCGGAAAATACAATAATGATAAATACAACACTTTCCGGAAAACAAGTTTATAAAATAAAAAAACATACTTTTTTGAATATAAATTGTTTAAATAAATGTTGTGGAAAAATAAATTTAAAATTTTTCTTTTACAGGGTGCGGCATAAGTAACCGGACACTTTCTTTCTCTCATAACTTTATTAAAACACAATCAAATAAAATCAAAATACAATCAAATGATAGAGAATTAAATAAGGAACAAAAATAATCAAGAAAATTCGAGATGCCCACCCTTGGCTTTGATACAGAGGCAAAGGCGCGAAGAAAAATTTTCGCAAATAGCACGCACCTCTTTGAGGGTAATTAAGTCCCACTCTCGGGTGATAGAGTGTCGCAGAGACTCCAAACTTTTTTGAGGCTTAGTACAGGCCCTGGACTCCATAATAGACCAAAAAGAATAATCCATCGAATTCAAATCGGGGGAGTAGGGCGGTCATTCCTGAGCGCTGATGAACCCAGAAAAATTGGCCTTGCACCAGTCCTTAACTTCTTTCGCCTTGTGTGCCGGAGCAGAGTCCTGTTGGAAAATCCAGACTCTGCGACTGAAATGGCTCTTGAACCGAGGCTTCACAACACGCTGAAAAAATTCTCGCAAGTAATAGTCTTTATTGACTTTTACCCCAGGATCCACGAAAATAAGGGGTTTTTTGACTGACGCGCAAATACCGGCCCAAACCATGACAGATTGGGGATGTTGTGAATGAGTGATAAGCTTATCGGAAAGAGGAGATTCTGAAGTCCAAATTCTATAATTTTGATGGTTATGAACGGATTTCATTGTAAAAATTTTTTCGTCTGAGTAAAGAATGTCCGGACATGCGTGCCACTGTAGGAGGAGTTTGCATCTTGCAAGCCTAACTTTTTTGGTTTTTTCTGTTAAGAGTTGTGCTTTTTGGATTTTGTAGGGTATTAACCCAGGTTCATTTTTGGCTATTCGTCTGACGGTCATCTCACTTATTCAGGTTTCACGAGCCAATTTTCTTACGTAGGGTCGATAATTGAGATGCACCCACATTTTGATCATTTTAATATTCTTGGAAGTACTGATGGAATGCGGACTTTCACTTTTTTGTAAGTTCTTAGTTGTGCCATCATTACTAAATTAATTTCAAAAAAATTTTCTCCCAAAAAATTTTCACGAGAATTTTTTGATTGTCTATTGTACAGTGCTTCTTGGGACATCCAAAAGAGATGAAATTTTGCGGACTGAATTTTTTTGCAAAAAAAGTGAGATTATAGAATCACGTTGATTAGCATAATAGAGAATTGAATAAGCTAAAAAATAACCCTAAAATCAATTAAAAATATTGACAATAAAAAAAGTTATTAGGAATTTAAAAGTGTCCGGTTACTTATGCCGCACCCTGTATAAAAAATGATGTCAGAAATTAATAAATATAGAAAATGCGAGAATAAAATATTAAAAATATATAGGGGAAATATGGTGAAAGATTTTTTTTTATTTTATTCTTTTATCAGTCTTTTTACGACAACAGGAAATGTACGAGAAAAATACATAATTCGCTAAAAAGTACCCACATATCACACATCTTTTTTTCATATTTTTTCTTAGATAAAAACAAATAATTGATTTCATTATTTTATCGGGGAGATAAAATTAAAATACAATTGTTAATATTTTTTGATTAGTATTTTCTTTTCGGGTTTTCCGGAAAGAAAATAAAACCTAAAACACATTTATAGTGGATGTTTGTTACTACATTTCCGGAAAACACAAAAATTCTTACTGTTACTTTTCTGATTTTATAAACACAACAACTTTTCCTGAAAATACAATAGAAACACATAATTACAATAAAACACATAATTTTTACACGAGGGAATAAATGTGTTTTTCCGGAATTTTTATGTTTCCGGAAAAAGTTTTATAAAAATTCTGATTTTTTTTTGAAATAAACTTTTTCCGGAAAAACATCAATTAAAACATTTCCGGAAAACACAAAAATATAAATTCTGATTTTTGTATTTTTTATTCTGATTATTCTTTACTGTCTCTCTCATTTTATTGTATTCTCTCCTCAATTAATTATTTGTTGGATAGGTAGATTTTTATACGATTCTGGTGGTAATATAACTATAGGCCTTCGTTTATCTCGTATATATTTGCCCATAAAGGTGTTGCAAACAGAGCAGTAATGTTCTGCATCCATAAAACAGCTACAATAATGTGGAATACGCGACAGAACGCAAATAACAAGTCTAAGGGGAAAATAATTTTTTAATTAAAAAAAAATTTATAACTTACCCAGAAGTAACCAAAACAATTGGTAAAATTAAACCAATATTACTATCAATAATACCCAAACCTTTTTTAATATTTCTAATAGCAAAACTGAAAAATGCTATAATACCCAGCGAGCAAATAATAAATCTTTGAAGAAAATTTTATTTTAAATTTAAAATTAAAAGTATAACCCGAGCAATGCTATAATCCAACCTGCCCGAGTTTCGGTAACAAATTTAAGTTTAGTTTTTGTATTTTGGTTACAAGTAGGGCAATAAACCTTTGAAAATTGAGGGTGAAAATTTTTTTTCTTTAATTAAAAATTAATTTTACAAGTTGTGGTTTAGTTCCAAAATATTGAACATTCCCCACATAACTACTTGGTTGAACATAATTCGGTCTTAAATTCCACACGCACATCTTTTCTATTTTTTTTTTATTAAGAATTTTATTTAAGAATAATAAATATAAGAATAAAATAATTGTTTTTTGAGAGAAAAATTCTTTTTTATTTAAGTTTTGTTTTACACGATAGCGTGAATTATTAAAAAATACAAAATTTACACTAAAGACGTGTATTTACATGCCACACACACATTTGTTTTTTTTAAATATTTTTTCTAATTATTTTTGTTTTTCAAAAATGATTATTCTCAGAAAATAACCTCCCCTCTTCCCCCCAAAAAATAAATTTAAACTCTCCCCCTAAAAATTAATACTCGATCCTAAAAATCACATTGTTCCCGCTATGGTTGTTGGCCATTTTTAACACTTTATATCTCGGCCTAAACTTAAACATTCATTGATTCCAATCGTCTCATCTCGACGAGACGAATCGAATGTTATCGCGGGGAGTAATTCCGAAACTTCCACCGGCTAAAGTACAAAACCGAGATTTGTTTTATAAAAATTCTGATTTTTTAAAGAAATAAACTTTTTCCAGAAAAACATTATTAAAAATAAACAATTAAAACATTTCCGGAAAACACAACAAAAACATTTAATTACAACAAAACACAAAATTTTTATAAGAGTGAATAAATGTGTTTTCCGGAATTTTAAAATATTTCCGGAATTTATGTGTTTTATATAAATTCTGATTTTTTAAAGAAATAAACTTTTTCCGGAAAAACATGGAAAAACACACAACATTCCGGAAAACACAACAAAAACATTTAATTACAACAAAACACAAGATTTTTACAAGAGGGAATGTGTTTTTCCGGAAAAACTTGAATTAAAACATTTCCGGAAAACACAATAAACACAACATTCTGATTTTTGTATTTTTTATTCTGATTATTCTTTACTGTCTCTCTTATTTTACTGTATTCTCTCTCTAATTAGTTAGGTTGGTAGATTTTTATATGATTCTGGGGGTAATATAACTATAGGCCTTCGTTTATCTCGTATATATTTGCCAATAAAAGTGTTGCAGACAGAGCAGTGATGTTCTGCATCCTTTAAACATTGAAAATAAAGTGGAATACGCGACAGAACGCAAATAACAAGTCTAAGGGGAAAAAATAATTTTTTTTAATTTTTTAATTAAAATTTTTTAACAAACCCAGAAATAACAAAACCAATTGGTAAAATTAAATTAATCATATTATCAGTAAATCTGTAACCTTTTTTATTATTAATAACATAAATAATAATAAAACTAAAAAATGCTCCCATAATACTTATCAAGCAAATAATAACTCTTTAAGGAAAAAAAATTTATTTTTTTTTTAATATTAAAGTATAACCCAAGCATTGCCATCATCCAAACTTGCCGAGCAACAACAAATTTAATTTTAGTTTTTGTATTTTGGATACAAATAGGGCAATAAACCTTTAAAAATGGGGGGAAAATTTTTTTAATTAAAAAAATTAAGTTTTACAAGTTGTGGTTTAGGTCCAAAATATTGAACATTATTACCCCCATAACTTGGTTGAACATAATTCATTTTATTAGGCATAATAAGAATAATAATAAAATAATTATTTTTTGAGAGAAAAATTATTTTTCAAGTTTTGTTTTAGTGTGAATAATTAAAAAATACAAATTTTACTTAAGACATGCCACACACACATAGACACGCTTTTCTTTTATATTTTTTTCCTAATTAAAAAATAAAATTCATTCTTATTCTTTAAGTTTAAATAAATGAAAAATACAAAAGTACATGTCTGTTTTTTTTTGTTTTTCAAAAATTATTATTTTCAGAAAATAAGGGGAGTAATTCCGAACCGGCTACCGACTAAAATACAGCCCCGAAATTTGTGTTTTATAAAAATTCTGATTTTTTAAAAATAAACTTTTTCCGGAAAAATATTATTAAAATAAACGAATTAAAACATTTCCGGAAAATACAATAAAAACATTTAATTACAACAAAACACAAAATTTTTATGGGGGAATAAATGTGTGTTTTCCGGAATTTTTATATATTTCCGGAATTTATGTGTTTTATATAAATTCTGATTTTACAAAAATAAACTTTTTTCGGAAAAACATGAAAAAACAAAAACACACAAAAACACATTCCGGAAAACACAACATAAACACAACATTCTGATTTTTGTATTTTACTGTTTCTCTCTAATTATTCTCTATTGTCTCTCTTATTTTATTGTATTCTCTCTCTAATTATTATTTTTATTGTTATGCGCTTGTTGATATAATTCTGGCGGTATAATAACTACAGGCCTTCTATTGTCACGAACATATTTACCCATATAAGTATCACAAACATTACAATAATGTTTAGCATCCTTACAATTGTCACATTTAATTGGAATAAGCGAAACACAACAAACTGCAAGTCTAAAAAAAATTTTTTTTAAATTAACTTTTTTATAACTTGCCCAAGAAGAAGAAAAAAAATAGGCATCATCAAAGCATATTTATATTCCGGACCCAAACCATCTTTAATAATTTTAATGACCAGAAAAATACCAATTGCGAAAAGCGAAAACCTTTAGAGAAAAAAAATTTTTAAATTAAAATTTAAAAAATTTTTATTACCCATTAATTGCAATAACAAAACAAATACATATAAATATTTATTCCAGTAGTAATATATTCAAGTTTAGTTTTTGTAATTTTGTTGCAGGTTGGACAATAAACCTTTAAAAATTGGGGAAAAAATTTTTAATTGATGAAAAAAATTTACGCGTTGTGGGTTAGGTCCAAAATATTGGGCACGGCTAGGGCCGGACAACAAATCATATATTGGATGACGATACATTGTGAACAATAGGTAATAATAATTGTTTAGAAAGAAATAGTATTGTTATCTAAAAATAGAGAAAGAAAGAAAATTAAACTTGAAAAAATAAAGTCGCAAAAATACATTTAGAAAAACACAAAAATACAGAAAAATTAAAATGTTTAATACAAAAACACAATAATAAAAACACAATAAAATACAAGGGGAATAAATAAATAAATGTGTTTTTCTGGTTTTTATAGTGTTTCCGGAATTTGTGTTTTATAAAAATTCTGATTTTATAAAAATGAACTTTTTCCGGAAAACTTGAATTAAAACATTTCCGGAAAATACAATAAAAACAATTACAACAAAACAAAAAATTTTTATAAGAAGGAATAAATGTGTTGTTTTTCCGGAATTATTTATATTTCCGGAATTTATGTTTTATAAAAATTCTGATTTTTTAAAATAAACATTTTCCGGAAAAACATGGAAAAACACACATTCCGGAAAACACAATAAATATAAATTCTGATTTCTGTATTTTCTCTCTAATTATTCTCTATTGTCTCTCTTATTTTATTGTATTCTCTCTCTCTAATTGTTTTGTTGATTGGCTCTTTGTTGATATAATTCTGGCGGTATAATAATTATAGGCCTTTGACTGTCATGAAAATATTTGCCAATATAAGTATCACAAACATTACAATAATGCCTAGCATCCTTACAATGGTCACAATAAATTGGAATAAGCGCCAGACAACAAATTATAAGTCTAGAAAAATTTTTATTATTTTTTTTAAATTTCTTATCACCCAATAGGCAGAAGGATAAGCAAAATAAACAAATCTTCAGAACTTTTAGCACCAACTGTAATAATTCCAACCATAGTAAGTAAACTCGACAACCTTTAAAAAAATTTTTTTCGATTAAAAAAAATAAACTTATAACCCCCAAAATGCAATAAGAAAACTACAACATTTAGTTTTTGCATTATTAACATATTCAAGTTTAGTTTTTGTAATTTCGTTGCAGGTTGGACAATAGACCTATAAAAAATAGGGGAAAGATTAAATTAAATTTTAGAAAAAATTTTACGCGTTGTGGGTTAGATCCAAAATATTGGGCATGGCTTGGGCCGGACAACAAATCATACAATGGATGACGAAACATTATGAACAAGAATAATTGTTTAGAGAGAAATAGTATTGTTATCTAAAAATAGAAAAAGAAAGAAAATTAAACTTGAAACACAATTAAAAAATAAACTAGGAAAAATAGACTTTAAAACACAAATACAAAAACACCTATAATAATATTTACCTAATACAAAAACACAATGGTAAAAACACAGTAATAAACAATAAAAGTGTTTTTCTGGTTTTTATAGTTTGTTTCCGGAAATGTTTATGTTGTGTTTTATAAAAATTCTGATTTTACAAGGAAATAAACTTTTTCCGGAAAAACTTGAAAAATAAACTTGAAATAGAACTTTTCCGGAAAATACAATAAATATATTCTATTCATATATTCTGATTTTATAAAAATAAACTTTTTCCGGAAAACTTGAATTAAACACAACATTCCGGAAAACACAAATAAATTCTGATTTTTGTATTTTCTTTATTTATTCTCTATTGTCTCTCTTATTTTATTGTATTCTCTCTCAATTTAATTATTGTTTGATTGGTAGATTTTTATACGATTCTGGTGGCAGTATAACTATAGGCCTTCGACTGTCTTGAACATATTTGCCAATATAGGTGTCACAAACACTACAATAATGTTCAACATTTTTACAGCGATCACAGTAAAATGGAATAGGCAAACAACAACAGCAAATACAAAAGCTAGTGGAAAAAAGATTTTTTAACAGTCACTTTTTGTATAACAAACCTAAGGACAAGAACAGTAAGAGGCCCAGCTGTGTTTAAACCTTTATCAACAGCATTGCTAAGAAATAAAAAACCATATCCGCAAATGGTAAACCTTTGGGGGAAAAAATTATTTTTTTAAATTAAATATTTGAGAAACTAACCCAAACATTCCTATAATAAAACACCACAACCAATTATTTCTTCCAGTAACATATTTAAGCTTAGTTTTTGTATTTTGGTTACAAGTAGGGCAATGGACCTTTAAAAATGGAAGAGAAAAAAAATTTTTTTTAATTAAAAAAATTAATTTTACAAGTTGTGGTTTAGGTCCAAAATATTGAGCATAACCATAGGTTTGAACATGAACATAAACCATTATTAACAATAATAATTGTTTAGAGAAAAATAGGTTATCTAAAAACAAAAGAAATAATAAACTTGAAACACACACAATTAAAAAATAAAGTTGCAAAAATACATTTTAAAAAACACAAAAATACAGAAACAAATATGTATGTATAATAATTAATACAAAAACACAAATAAACAAAAATTAAATGTGTTTTCCGGTTTTTATAGTGTTTCCGGAATTGTTTATGTTGTGTTTTATAAAAATTCTGATTTTTCAGAAACTTATTCCGGAAAAACATTATTATAAATAAACTTGAATTACAACATTCCGGAAATGTGTTTTATAAAAATTCTGATTTTTGAGAAATAAACTTTTTCCGGAAAAATACAATTAAAACATTTCCGGAAAATACAAATAAATTCTGATATTACAAAAATAAACTTTTTCCGGAAAAACATTAAACATTTCCGGAAAACACAAATATAAATTCTGATTTTTGTATTTTCTTCTAATTATTCTCTATTGTCTCTCTTATTTTATTGTACTCTCTCCCTCTTCATTTAATTATTGTTGGGCTGGCAGATTTTTATATAATTCTGGTGGTAGTATAACTATAGGCCTTCGAACGTCACGAAAATGTGTGCCAATATAAGTGTCACAAACACTACAATAATGTTCAACATCCTTAAAGCGATCACAGTAGAATGAACCAAACATACAACAACAGCACATACAAAACCTAAAAAAATTTTTTTAGACAAAATTTCAGTTTATAACAAACCACAAACACAGAAAAATACAAATCAAGACTATACGAGATGCTCGAGAACCTTCTGTAGTTTCAGGCTTAATAATAGCATCGATAAGCGCTATAATACCAATAAAACCATACGAACCCCTTAAGAAAAAAAAATTTTTAAATTAAATTTAATATTTGAAATTAACACAAAAATTCCTATAGAAATACAGCACGACCAACTACCCTTTCCAGTAACAAATTCAAGTTTAGTTGTTTTATTTTGTTTGCATTTTGGACAATAAACCTTTAAAAAATGAGGGAAAAAATTTTTTTAATTAAGAAAAATAAATTTTTACAAGTTGCGGTTTAGGTCCAAAAAATTGAGCATAACCATAACTTGGTTGCTGAACATAAACATAAGACATATTTGATAGTAATAATGATTGTTTAGAGAAAAATAGGTAGTATTGTTACCTAAAAACAAAGAAAGAATAAATAAACTTGAAAATACACAAATTAAAAAATAAAGTTGCAAAAATACATTTTAAGAACTAAAACACAAATTAAAGCGCTTAAAATTAAAATACAAGAAAAATACAATACACAATTTTATATTCAATAAAATACACAGAATTAAAAACACAAAAATACATTAACAACACATCAACAAAGTTTTAGTAAATGGGAGGGAAATAAATGTGTTTTTCCGGTTGTGTGTTTTCCGGTTTTTATATTTCTGTATTTTGTGTTTTATAAAAATTCTGATCTTGGAGAAATAAACTTTTTCCGGAAAAAACACAGATTAGAAATTAACATTACAAAAACATTTCCGGAAAATACAACAAAAACATTTAATTACAACAAAACACAAAATTTTTACAAGAGAGAATAAATGTGTTTTCCGGAATTTGTTTTATAAAAATACTGATTTTTCAAAAATAAACTTTTTCCGGAAAACACAACATTCCGGAAAAATATGAAAACACATTCCGGAAAACACAATAAATATAAATTCTGATTTTTGTATTTTATTATTTTCTCTCTAATTATCTTTATCGTCTCCCCTAATTATTATATTCTCTCTCTAATTATTGTTTGGTTGATTCTGGTTGATTTGGTGTTATTGTTGAGGTGGTAATACAATTGCAGGGCTTCTATTGCCGCGATAATATTTCCCAATATAACTATCGCAACTACCACAGTAATGTTTAACATCCTTACAAATATTTAAGACGAATGGAAAAACCGAACAGAAGCAAATTGGAAACCTGAAGAAAAAAAAGGATTTTTTAGAAAATTATTTTAAGCAAAAACCCGACAAGGACCACCCAAAAACCATAACATATCAAAAGGTCTAAAAGAGTTATTGCACAATATTTAACTGATATCGAAAGAGGAATAAAACATCTGTAAAAAAATATTTAATTTTCATTAAATGAAAGACAAACCCAAAGAATAGCATCCCAATACAACTCCACCAAGTATAACTACCATTAACATACTTAATTTTAGTTATTGTATTTTGATTACATTTTGGACAATGAACCTTTAAAATTGAAATTTTTTGGTTAAAGATTTAAGAAAAAATTTTTTTACCGGTTGACAGTCAGGTCCAAGAGATTGAACAATAGGCGTATACATTATTAACAATAATTGTTGAGAGAAAATTAGGAGGTATTATCTAAAATTAAAGAAAAGAAAAATAAACTTGAAAATATGTACACAATGATAAAATAAATAGTAAAAATACACTTTAAAATAAAATCTAAAATACAGAAACACAAAATATTTAATACAAAAACACCGGTTTTTGTAGTAAAAATAGAATGGGTAATGAATGTGTTTTCCGGTTTTTATATGTTTCCGGAATTTATGTGTTTTATAAAAATTCTGATTTTTCAGAAATACTTTTTATTCCGGAAAAACATGCATTAAATACAACATTCCGGAAAATACAATTAAATTCTGATTTTGTATTTTTTGTGTTTTTCAAAAATTCTGATTTTTCAAAAATAAACTTTTTCCGGAAAAACACATTCCGGAAAACACAATAAATACAAATTCTGATTTTTGTATTTTATTATTTTCTCTCTAATTATCTCTATAGTCTCTCCTAATTATTATATTCTCTCTCTAATTATTGTTTGGTTGATTCTGTTTGACTTGGTGTTGTTATTGAGGTGGTAATACAATTGCAGGGCTTCTATTGCCACGAAAATATTTTCCAATATAATTGTTGCAGCTACCACAGTAATGTTCAACATCCTTACAAATGTGTAAGAGGAATGGAAGAATCGAACAAAAGCAAATTGGAAACCTGAAGAAAAAAAAGAATTTTTAAAAAATTAACAAAAATAACCCAATAATAGAAAAAAAAATAGAACAGAATATAAGGTCGCTAAGACTCTTTGCACATCTGAAGGTTTCAACAACACCAACAAAACAACTTTAAAAAACATATTAATTTATTAAAAGAAAAATACAAACACAAGAATTAGTATCCCAATACAACTACACCAAGTATAACTACCGTTAACATATTTAAGTCTAGTTGCTGTATTTTGATTACAGTTTGGACATTGAACCTTTAAAATTGGAAAATTTTTTTTTAAATTTTCTATCTTTTACCATAATCGGGTCAGGTCCAAGAACAATAGGCATATACATTATTAACAATAATTGTTTAGAGAGAAATAGGAAGTGTTATCTAAAAATAAAAAAAAGAAAAATAAACTTGGAAAATACACAATTAAAAAATACATAGGCAAAAATACAGTTTAAAATAAAAACTAAAATACAGAAACACAAAATATTTAATACAAAAACACAAGGTTTATATAGTAAAAATAGAAGGGAGCAATTAATGTGTTTTTCCGGCTTTTATATGTTTCCGGAATTTGTGTTTTATAAAAATTCTGATTTTGTAAAAATTAAACTTTTTCCGGAAAAACATTATTAAAAATAAACTTGAATTAAAACATTTCCGGAAAGGTGTGTTTTATAATAATTCTGATTTTTTTAAAATAAACTTATTCCGGAAAAAGAATTAAAACATTCCGGAAAATACAACATATTCTGATTTTTGTATTTTTATTATTCTGATTATTCTCTGTTGTCTCTCTTATTTTATTGTATTCTCTAATTAATTAATCATCGTTTGGTTGATTCTGATTGTCATCTTGTTGTTGTTGTTGATTTCCTATTGGTAGTATCATTACAGAATATTTCTCGTCACGAAAATATTTGCCAATATAAGTGTTACAATGGCTACAATAATGTTCAACATCCTTACAACATTTTAACATATATGGAATAAGCGAGATACACCAAAAAGGAAGCCTCAAAAAAATTTTTTTAATAAAAATTTTATTTTTGTAAAACCCAAAAAGAAGAAGAATAAAACATCTATGAAGCTCGTTGTCATTTTTACTTGTACAATTGATGAGTGGAGTCGAAACAACAAAAAACCTTTAAAAAATATTAATTAAAATGAATTACCTATTTTCCGGAATTTAAGTATTCCGGAAAAAACATTAAAAACACATTCCGGAAAACATTAAAAATTCCGGAAAACATTAAAAATATATTCCGAAAAACATTCCCTAATCCGGAAATTAAAAAGGAAAAATTCTGATTTTTCAAAAATAAACTTGTTCCGGAAAAACATTACATACAACATTCCGGAAAACACAATAAATATAAATTCTGATTTTTGTATTTTTAATTATTTTTTCTCTAATTATTCTCTGTGTCTCTTATTTTAATATATTCTCTCAATTATTACTTGGTGGGTTAATTAATGAATTCTATTATTTCTGGTATTTATTATTTCAGTAATTTAAGTGTTTTTATAAATTCTGATTTTTCAGAAATAAATTTATATTCCAGAAAAATAATGTTGACACACTCACCCAATAATTATGTACAAGTAACACATTCCCCACGTATATCTACCACTAACATGGTTAACTTTTGTTATCATTTTTTGGTTACATGCTGGACAATGAACCTTAGAAATTGAAAAAATATTTTTAAAAAATAAATATTTTTTACCAGATTTGGGCCAGGGCCAAATAATTGAGCATTAGGTATGTAACCATAAGTGTATGATGCATTTTGAAGAACATAATTTTGAGAATGACCATTACCCATTTTATTGCCAATAAGAGATAGAGAAATAGGTAGGTAGAATTATTTAAAAACGGAAAAAACCCCTAAATTAGAATTAAAAAATAAATATAGAAAAATAAAGGCAGAAACACAAAAAATAAAGTCGCAAAAATACAAGTAAAACACAAAAATACAGAAACAAATATAATAATATGTATTTAATACGAAAACACAATAACAAAAACACAATATTAATAGGAATGTGTTTTCCGGTTTTTATAGTGTTTCCGGAATTTTATTTTGTGTTTTCTAAAAATTCTGATTTTTCAGAAACATTCCGGAAAACACAATTAAAAATAAACTTGGATTAAAACATTCCGGAAAACACAATAAATATAAATTCTGATTTTACAAAACATTCCGGAAAAAATGGAATTAAAACATTTCCGGAAAACACAATAAATTCTGATTTTCTAGAAAACTTATTCCGGAAAAACACATTCCGGAAAACACAATAAATTATAAATTCTGATTTTTGTATTTTTATTATTCTCTATTGTCTCTCTTATTATCATACAGTCTCTACTAAATTATTATTCTTGGGTTGATAGACTTTATGTTTATATGATTCTGGTGGCAGTATAACTATAGGTCTTTGAGGGTTTCGTACATATTTGCCCAAATAATTGTTGCAAACACTACAATAATGTTTAGCATCTTTATAAACATCCTGATAAAATGGAGCTAACGAGCAAGCACAAGCAAGAGGCCTAAAGATAAATATTTTTTAATAAAATTTTTATCCATAAACAAACCCCACAATAAGACAAAAAACAAAATAGATGAGTATAAGTGGATCACCACCTTTAGCAATAAGAACATAAAGAAAAAGAATACCGAACGTGCAAGCAACAAAACTTTAAGGAAAAAATAAGATTTTTAATTAAATTTAATATTTAAAATTAACCCAATAAGCAAAGACGCAATACAATTCAACTGAGAATTCCACCCAGCAACAAATTGAAGTTTAGTTTTTGTATTTTGATTGCAGGTTGGACAATGAACCTTTGAAAAAAATTTTTTTAGTTAAAAAATTAATTTTTACAAGTTGTGGTTTAGGCCCAAAATATTGAGCATAGGTAGTTGGACCGTAAATAGCCTGATTCGTAGACATGAACATAATAATAATTGTTAAGAAAGAAATAGAAATACAGTTATCTAAAAACACAGAAAATACAAACTTGAAAATACACAATTAAAAAATAAATTTGTAAAAATACATTTTAAAACAAAAGAAAATACAGAAACACAATAATGTTTAATTAAAAACACAATAATAAATAAAAGGGAAAGAATGTGTTTTCCGGTTTTTATATGTTTCCAGAATTTAAATTGTTTTATAAAAATTCTGATTTTTTAAAGAAATAAACTTTTTCCGGAAAAACATGAATTAATACTTTTCCGGAAAATACAAATAAATTCTGATTTTCTAGAAAAACTTATTCCGGAAAAACACAAATTAAAATATTTCCGGAAAATACAATAAATATAAATTCTGATATTCTGATTTTTGTATTTTTTATTATTCTCTAATTATTTCCTCCACATTAATTATTTTCAGAATGTTTTATAAAAATTCTGATTTTTGTATTTTCTTCTATTTATTCTCTATTCTCTCTTATTTTATTGTACTCTCTCTCCATTTAATTATTGTCTGTTTGGTAGATTTTTATATAATTCTGGTGGTAGTATAACTATAGGCCTTCGACCGTCACGTACATGTTTGCCAATATAAGTATCACAAACACTACAATAATGTTCTACATTTTTACAATCTTCACAATAAAGTGAAAGTGGCGAAAGAGAGCAAATGACAAGTCTAAAAATTTATTTTTTTAAATAAATTTTTATAACATACCCAATAATAAGTATAATAATAGACCCGATTAAACGCCTTTCATGTAAAGGATTATCAAAACCACCTTCTTTAATAATATCGATAATAGCAATGATAACCAATAAAATACCAAAAAAGCTAAATAAACCCCTATAGAAAAATTTTTTAATTAAAGTGTTATTAAAATTCACCCAGCAATTGCTATGATAAAACAATACGCATAAGTATCCGTAACAAATTCGAGTTTAGTTTTTTTATTTTGTTTGCAGGTTGGACAATAAACCTTTGAAAATTGAAAAAAAATTTTTTTAATTTAAGAAAAAAATTTACAAGTTGTGGTTCAGGGCCAAAAAATTGAGCATAACCATAACCATGTTGATAAGTATTAGACATTATTGACAGTAATAATAATTGTTTAGAAAGAAATAGTAGTATTGTTATCTAAAAACAAAACAAACAAAAAAATTAAACTTGAAATACAATAACAAAATAAAGTTGCAAAAATACATTTTAATTAAAATACAGAAACAAATTTAATACAAAAACACAATAAAAACACAAACAAAAACACAATAGAAAGGGAGTAAATGAATGTGTTTTCCGGTTTTTATATGTTTTCCGGAATTTGAGTGTTTTATAAAAATTCTGATTTTTTAAAAATAAACATTTTCCGGAAACTTGAATTATATATAACATTCCGGAAAATACATATATTCTGATTTTTGTATTTTTGTGTTTTATGTAAAAATTCTGATTTTATAAAAAAATAAACTTATTCGGGAAACATTATTAAAAATAAACTTGAATTAAAACATTCCGGAAATGTGTTTTATAAAAATTCTGATATTACAAAAATAAACATTTTCCGGAAAACATGAATTATACACATCATTCCGGAAAACACAATAAATATAAATTCTGATTTTTGTATTTTTATTATTCTGATTATTCTCTGTTGTCTCTCTTCCTATTATACAGTCTGTAATAAATTATCCTTAGGTTGATAGACTTTATGTTTATATGATTCTGGTGGCAGTATAACTACAGGTCTTCGAGGATTTCGTATATATTTACCAACATAATTGTTGCAAACACTACAATAATGTTTAGCATCCTTACTCTTATTCATGTAAAATGGAGCAATCGAAAAACAGCACAAACCAAGCCTTTAAAAAATTTTTTTTGAAAAAATTTTTTTATAACAAACCCAGCACTAAAAAGAATAAAAAAGATGACCATAAAAACCCCACCATCATCAATAGTTTTGAGAAATAAAACAAAACAATTTGCGCTAATAAAAAGCCTTTAAAAAATTAATTTTTTGAATTTAATTTAAATTAAAACCCAAAAAGTAAAATCGCAAAACAATCCAAATAAGTATATCTTCCAGTAATAAATTCAAGTTTAGTTTTTGTATTTTGATTACAGGTTGGGCAATGAACCTTTAAAAATGGGAGAAAGATTTTTGTAATTAAAAAAATTTAATTTTACAAGTTTATTTATTTTATTTATTTATTTATTTACACCACTAGGGTGTGACAGTCAAAAATAAAACAATTTAAAGTGAAATTACGAAAAATAAAAATGCTAATAAAAAATGTCCTTAAAATAAAAATCAAAGCAGCTTAGCAAATAAAATTATCTCATTTGTCATTTAAGATATTGGAAATATCCAACTGTTCAAGAAGTTTAGAAAACATTTTGGGTGTATTTTTTTTAATTTCTATAGGAATTAGTGAATAAATTCTAGCAGTTCGAACAAAAAAGGAGTTGTACCGAATCATGGTTGAACAACGTGTTGGTTGTATTTTATATTTTTCGCCCCTAGTTTTTGTTTGTTTTATGATATAGGAATTATTATGGTTAATTTTAATTTTCCCAAATATATTTTGATGAAATAGCTTTAAATCAGCTTTAAGTCTTCGACTTTCAAGGGATTCTACTTTGAAATGTTGTAAAAGTGTTTTGTATGGTGGAATATCTTCTATTTTTACCTTTGTGATTCTTTTGTAAACAAATCTTAAATATCGTTTTTGTATGTTTTCTATTAATTTAATGTTTTTCTTAGTTAAAGAATTCCAAACCGGTGACCCAAATTCTATAATTGACCTTACGTATATATTAAATGCTTCTATAAGAATTTTAGGATCTTGTGATTTTAGAGATTTAATTAATGCATAGCAGTTTCTATTGGCCCTTAGAGATATTGTTTGAATATGTTTATTAAACTTGAATTTAGAAGTGAAGAAAATTCCGAGATCCCTATTCTTGTCTTCATTACTAATTTGGAATATTTTGTGGTTTCCTATTGAGTATTGTAATTTAGGGTTTGATTTACCTATATATAATACTGAGCATTTATTTAATGATATGTTGAGACCATTGGTGTTACAATATTGAATGAATTTATTAATAAATAATTGTAAAGAATTGTTAGATAAATCGGTTTTTTTTAGAATTTGATAGGCTTTGATGTCATCGGCAAATAATTTTATTTTTATTTCAGGAGTGTAACAGAATGTTGGTAAGTCCGATAAGTATATATTAAAAAGGAGCGGGCCTAAGATAGATCCTTGCGGAACTCCACTAGTAATAGAGAATTGTTCAGAATATTCATTTCCTATTTTAACAACAGATTTTCTGTTGTGTAAGTAATTAGAGATCCATTTTAAGAGTGATTTTTCAATTCCTATTACTTTTAGTTTTGTTAAAAGACGTTCATGGGGTATAGAATCAAAGGCTTTAGCTAGATCGAAATAAACTATGTTTATTAAATTTTTATTATCCAATGCAAATGATATATCATCTTGAACCTCAATTAGTTGGGTAGTGACGGATTTGTTTGGTCTGAATCCATGTTGACAATCTGGTAATATACCATTTTGTTCAACATAAATTGATATATGGTTTGCAATAATTTGTTCAATTACTTTTGTGATTGAACATAGTAATGAAATTGGGCGAAATTCTTCTATTTTGGGTATCTTTAATGTTTTTGGTATTGGTATTATTATACTTTGCTTCCATATTTCAGGAAGTGTTGAAGTCATTAATGAATAAGAAAAAATATAATATAAAGGATAATAAAGACTTTTAGCGCATTTTTTAAGGAATATACATGGTATTGAGTCATAAGAAGAGTTAGTTTTTTCAGGTAGCTTAGAAAGAAGATCAAAGATTTGAAGTTCATTTATGATTACGGATTGACATGTATTTTGATTTGTTATAGAGTTTAGATCTGCATTGTCTAATGAATTTTTATTAAATACAGAACTAAATTGGGTACTTAGAATTTGTGCTATTTTATTATCAGCGTATACTAATTGATTATTTTTATCCAAAATTGAAGTTATTTTCCTGTTTTTGGATTTAAGAAATGAAGAGATGTATGAGAATTTTTGACTGATAGTTTGTGTTTTATGCTTTTCTCTATTTTTTAAAAATTTGTTAGTTTCAGAATCTATTCTTTTTGATACATATGAGATTTTACGTGTTAGCTCTGGCGTGGATTTTTGTTTCCACAGATTTTTTAGATATAATGTCATTTTTTCAATGTGTTCGGGTTTTTTGAGATTGTTAGATTTTACTTTAGATTCGGGAACAAAGGAACAAATAACATTATGTATAATCGATTGGAAAGTGAAATATAGTTGATTTATATCAGAGCATTGTGTGAATACTAGATTCCAGTTTATTGTTGAGAAATGTGCATTAATTATTTCATAGTTAGCTTTACGAAAATTTGGATATGTATAATTATTATCTTGGTAATTGTTAGTAGAAGATATTTCAAATTCTATTGTATTATGGTCAGATTTACTTATAGGCGGATTGATTGTTATAGCCTTTATTAATTCATCCTCATTAGTTAATAGTAAGTCTAATATATTTACTCCTCTAGTGGGTTTATCAATTTTTTGTTTTAGTCCTAAACTTTGAATATATTCTAAAAATAATGTTTCTTTGGTATTTTTGGTTTGAGTACTATAATTTTCCCAATCGATATTGGGTAGGTTAAAGTCTCCTAATAAGATAAGTGGGTAGGATACAGCCGATATATCATACAAGATTTGCAAGATAGATTTAAAATCCTTAATGGTTTCTTTAGTGATTGATCTATAAATCAAAATAATACGAATTTTTTCATCTGGGGTTAATAAATCTATACAAGATATCTCTGATAAAGTTTGGGGGATTTCTATTTTAATAAATGGTATTTTATTTGATATAAATAAGCAAGTTCCTCCACCCCTACCATTGGCCCTATCAGTTCTGATAATATTATATGGGGTACCATGTAGTAAAAGATTATCATCAACTATATCAGTCAACCATGATTCAGTAACCCCTATTAACTTATAACGGTTTTCTAATAACAGAAAGTGTAAATTTGACAATTTGTTTTTTAAACTTCTTGAATTAAAATATAAAAAATTAATAGTATTTAATCTATTTAGATTATTTTTTTGAAGTCAGATTTTTTTATTTTTTCTAAAAATGTGAACCTCCGATCTTAGAATTACTGCTTCTCCATAAACTATCCAGTCCAATTGAGGGTTCTCCATTCTCTTCTTTTTGCACTCTTCAATTAGTTCCCTTCGTCGCTGTAATTGTTCTGGTGTCATTGAAGCACGCATATTGACTTGGGGGAAAGATTTCTTGCCATTTGTTTTCCATTTGTTGAGAAGTTCACGCTGAAATTTTCTGGATGGTAAAACAATCTTTAAAAGACGGGCATGACCATTATTGGGTGGGTTAGACTGACGTCCCATACGGTAAAAAAACCTGGGTGCGCACTCAACCCCCACCGAGTCGAGTAAACTTGTTATTGTTTTGGAGTCATCCGCCATTTTCTCTGATGGAAGTTTTTTTGTAGATTCCGTCAAACCAGTCACAACAACACTTCTTTCGCGCTCTAGCTCCTCTGCTGAAATAGTGTTTAATTTTGTTGTTCCTGAAAAATATCCATAAGGTTTTTCTTGTTGTTTTTCTTTAAGTGAATCGATTGATTTACTAAGAAGGTTAAATTGTTCAGTCAGAGTTTTAATAAAGTTTAATAAAATCGGAGTTTGCTCTGTTGTCATAGACGGAATAAAAGTATTGATTGTTGTTAGTGTTGTTTTCACCAAATTGACTTGACAATCAATAAGAAAATTAAGAGAATTTGGATTTTCGTTGTTGTTGCTATTATTGGAGAGACAAAACAATTTGCGCTAATAAAAAGCCTTTAAAAAATTAATTTTTTGAATTTAATTTAAATTAAAACCCAAAAAGTAAAATCGCAAAACAATCCAAATAAGTATATCTTCCAGTAATAAATTCAAGTTTAGTTTTTGTATTTTGATTACAGGTTGGGCAATGAACCTTTAAAAATGGGAGAAAGATTTTTGTAATTAAAAAAATTTAATTTTACAAGTTGTGGTTTAGGTCCAAAAAATTGAGCATAGGTAGTAGTTGAACCATAACCGTCATTCATATACATTGAAGAAGTAAGCATTAACAAATTAGAACTACTACGCATAGTAGTAATTGTTTAGAGAAATATGTAGTATTGTTATCTAAAAACTAAGAAAGAAAAATAAACTTGAAAACACAAAAAATAAAATTGCAAAAATACATTTAAAAAACAAAAATACAGAAACAAATATAATTATATTTAATATGAAAACACATTAGCAAAAACACAATAGTAAAAAGGAGTATGTGTTTTCCGGTTTTTATATGTTTCCGGAATTTTATGTTGTGTTTTCTAAAAATTCTGATTTTTCAGAAACTTATTCCGGAAAACACATTATTAAAAATAAACTTGAATTAAAACATTCCGGAATTGTGTGTTTTATAAAAATTCTGATTTTATAAAATAAACTTGTTCCGGAAAAAATAGAATTAAAAATTTCCGGAAAACACATAAATATAAATTCTGATTTTTGTATTTTCTGTTAATTATTCTCTATTGTCTCTCTTATTTTATTGTATTCTCTCTCTCTAACTGATTATTCTTAGGTTGATATACTTTATGTTTATATAATTCTGGTGGCAGTATAACTACAGGTCTTCGAGGATTTCGTATATATTTACCAACATAATTGTTGCAAACACTACAATAATGTTCAACATCCTTAGAACTGTCCCAATGAAATAGAATAAACGAAAACCCGCAGATAACAAGTCTAAGAAAAAACTTTTTTAAAAAACTTTTAATTTAATTTTTCATAACAGACCCAAAAATAAGAATAATAAAAGACGCGATTATAAGAGATGCACGAGATTCATCCTTATTGGCAGGTTCTGTAATAGCCCCAATAATAACTATAAACCCCATTACGCAAACAAAAAGCCTTTAAATCAAAAAAATTTTTTTTGGATTACTTGCTAAAATAATAACCCAAATAATGCTATAGCAATACTGTCCAGCCAAGCAGATCTTCCATTAACATATTTAAGTGTAGTTTTTATATTTTGGTTACAAGTTGGGCAGTGAACCTTTGAAAAAATGAGAAATAAAATTTTTAATTAAAAAATTAATATTACAAGTTGTGGTTTAGGTCCAAAAAATTGAGCATAACCATAAGTTGGTTGATGAACATAAACCATTATTAACAATAAGTATAATTGTTAGAGAAATAATAGTATTGCTATCTAAAAACAGAGAAAGAAAAATAAACTTGAAAAACACAATAACAAAATAAAGTTGCAAAAATACATTTTAAAAACACAAAAATACAAAACACAATAAAACATAATTATAATTAAAATAGAAGAGGAAATGAATGTGTTTTCCGGTTTTTATATGTTTCCGGAATTTTTTATGTATAAAAATTCTGATTTTCCAAAAAAAATAAACTTGTTCCGGAAAAAGATTATTAATAAACTTGAATTAAAACAATTCCGGAAAATACATAAATTCTGGTTTTTGTATTTTTATTATTTTCTGATTTTTGTCTCTTTCTTGTATATTCCAGAATGTTTTATAAAAATTCTGATTTTTCAGAATTAAACTTTTTAAACATTTCCGGAAAACACAAATATAAATTTACATCAAGACAACATTATTTTTATACACTAATATTATTCTTCATTTTTCTACTTATCATCCTTTTGGTGCTCTATTTGATGTTTATGACATTCTGGTGGTAATACAACTACAGGCCTTCCACCGAAACGTTCATATCTGCCAATATAAGTATCACAAACACCACAATAATGTTTAGCATCACTACAACAATTACAGAAGATAAGAGGCCAAAGGAGTAGTAGACCGCCTCTAAAAAATTAAAAATTTATTTTAATAATTAAATCTCTTTTTAAAAACATACAAGACTAAAAAAAGTTTAACACAGTCATCATGTTTTGCAATAAAACATTTTTTGACGATAGCCACAACAGTTAAAATTCTGTAAAAAAATTAAGATTTAGGCGTTGCAATAAAAAAAAACAAACACAAAGACAAGATGAAAAATTAAGTAGAACCATGTACACACACCAAAAACAAATTTAAGTTCACTTGTTGTAGTTTGTTTACATTTTGGGCAATGCACCTTTGAAAAAAATATTTTTTCTTTCAATTAAAAAATTATTTCTTTAACTTGTTGTGGATCAGGTCCATAAAATTGAGCATGAGGAGTATGACCATAAGGACCATAGGGCTGTCCATAATATCCATAATTTTGAGAATGACCATTACCCATTGTTTTGATAATTGTTTAGAGAGAAATAGGTAGTATTATCTAAAAACAAAGAAAGAAAAATAAACTTGGAAAAACACAAGTAAAATACATAGGCAAAAATACACTTTAAAAGAAAAACTAAAATACAAAAACACAAAATATTTAATACAAAACACAATGTTTTTATAGTAAAAATACAAGGGAGCAAAAATGTGTTTTTCCGGTTTTTATATATTTCCGGAATTATGTGTTTTATAAAAATTCTGATTTTGTAAAGATAAACTTATTCCGGAAAACATGAAATAAAACATTTCCGGAAAATACAAATAAATTCTGATTTTACAAAACATTCCGGAAAACACATATCTGATTTTTGTATTTTTTATTATCTCTATTGAATGAATGTGTTTTTCTGGTTGTGTGTTTTTCTTTAGTAAAATTTGATTTTTATAAAATAAACACATTCCGGAAAACACGAATTAATAAACACATTAAACATTAAAAACACATAGTAAAATTTGATTTTTATAAAATAAACACATTCCGGAAAACACAAATTAAAACATTTCCGGAAAACACAAATACAAATTTACATCAAAACAACATTAATTATACACTATATTTTCTCAACTATTCTATTTTTTTCTACTTATGATAGTTGGGCATTATTTGATGTTTATGACATTCTGGTGGTAATACAACTACAGGCCTTCCACTGAAACGTTCATATTTGCCAATAAAAGTATCACAACGCCCACAACGATGTTCTGCATTTTTAAGACAATTACAGAAGATAGTAACAGGCACACAAGAGAATAAAACAATTCTAAAATTTTAAAAAGTTAAAAAAATTAAATTTAAACAAACGCGAAGGGAATAAAAATGAAGCATCGCTCATCATTTTTAATACAGGCAGTGACCCCGGCAAAAGCCATGAAAGAGCTTAAAGAATTAATTAATATATTTAGCAATTTTTAAATGAACACAAACCCAAAAACAATAAAAAAGACGACGTAGAACCATGTCCATCCACCGTATACAAATTTAAGTTTGGTTGTTGTATTTTGGTCACATTTTGGGCAATGGACCTTTAAAAGTATAGAAAAAAAATTTTTGTTAAAAAAAATATTTACAAGTTGCGGATCAGGTCCATAAAATTGAGCATGAGGAGTATAACCACCATGATAAGGACCATAGGGCATAAAAGGGTTGTAGCCATAATTATGAGAATAACCATTACCCATTGTTTAAGCAATAATTGTTTAGAGAAATATTATTGTTATCTAAAAACAGAGAAAGAAAAATAAACTTGAAATACATTGTTAAAAATAAAGTTGCGCAAAATACACGCGTTTAAATAAGTAAAATACTAAAAAAACACAAAAATACATTAACAACAACAAAACATTTTCAAACAACAATGTTTTGAAGAAGGGAATAAATAAAAGAGGAATGAATGTGTTTTCCGGTTGTGTGTTTTTCCGGTTTTTATATATTTCCGGAATTTATGTGTTTTAGAAAAATTCTGATTTTATAAAAATAAACTTATTCCGGAAAAATACAATTAAAACATTTCCGGAAAACACATATAAATTCTGATTTTTATAAAATAAACTTTTTCCGGAAAAACATATTAAAAATAAACTTGAATTATAACATTCCGGAAATGTGTTTTATAAAAATTCTGATTTTATAAAAATAAACACATTCCGGAAAAAATACAATTAAAACATTTCCTGAAAACACAAATATAATATAAATTTACATCAAAACAACATTAATTATACACTATATTTTCTCAACTATTCACTTCTTTCTACTTATGATTGTTGGGCATTATTTGATGTTTATGACATTCTGGTGGTAGTATAACTACAGGCCTTCGATGGTCACGCAAATGTTTACCAATATAAGTATCACAACGACCACAATAATGTTCAACATCTTTAAACCAATCACAGCAGAATGAACTAAACATACACCAACAGCAAGTACAAAAGCTATAAAAAAATTTTTAGACAAAATTTTAATTTATAACAAACCAAAAACTAGCAAAAGTAGAGAAAAAGGCTATACGAGCTGCGCGAGAACCTTTAGTTTTTGTTGGGTAGGGGTAGGGGGTATCTGTTGTTGTGTCGTTTTCAGGCTCATTAATAGCCTCGATAAGCCACATAATACCAAGAAAGCCGAACAAACACCTTAAGAAAAAAAATTTTTTAATTAAAGTTAAAATTTGAAGTTAACCCTAAAATTGCTGAAGCAATACAACACGACCAACTACCCTTTCCAGAAACATATTCAAGTTTAGTTGTTTGATTTTGCTTGCATGTTGGGCAATAAACCTTTAAAAATTGAAGAAAAAAATTTTTTTAATTAAAAAATAAATTTTACAAGTTGCGGATCAGGTCCATAAAATTGAGCGGGAAGAGTATAACCACCATAATAAGGACCATAGGGCATAAAGGGGTTGTAGCCATAATTATGAGAATAACCATTACCCATTGTTTTGATAATTGGTTAGAGAGAAATAGGTAGTGCTTTGTTGTCTAAAAAAGAAAGAAAAATAAAATTGAAATACAACAATTAAAAAATAAATATGCAAAAATACAAAATTAAAATACAAGGGAAAATACAATATATAATTTCTATTAAATAAAATACAGAAACATTAAAAACACAAAAATACATTAACAACAACAACAAAATACATTTTTCTAACAAGAGTTATATGTATGTATTATAAATAGGGTTGCCAAAATGGACCGACTCGGACCGAAAGATCGAGTCAGGTCTCGATGTTTGGCCCGAAAAAGTCTCGTACCGGCCCGACTCGATAAAGTTGGGCCCGAAAAAGACTCGTAACGGCCCGACTCGATAAAGTTAGGCCCGAAAGTGACTCGTACCGGCCCGACTCGATAAAAACAGGCCCGAAAAAAATTGTCTCGGAAAAAGTCGGCCCGACTCGAACAAGACTCGATAATATTTTTACCAGATTTGTGGACAAAAATGGGAGAAATCTGGCTCCTTGACATTCCAAAATTCGAAAAATTTTCGCCTGCGGCGCTGAAAAAGGAAGAAATTTGGTCTTTAGCCTTCCGAATATCTCAAAATTTTTGCCTGCGGCGCTGAAATGAAGAATTTTTAGCTCCATACTTTGCTTCACATCTCGAACTTACTGGCTTTAATCGATAAGCTGGATTACTGGGATTTATAGGATATATTCCGCGGGATCCCATCATCATTTGAACTTTTTAAACTCAATCAGTTTTGAGAGTCCACAATTTTCCGCAGTCCGCAATTTTAACTTTAAAATACGCAGTCGTAATCTTCAGTCCACAAGTCAAAAACACACAATCTTACGCAACCCGCAGTCCACCATCCGGGATATAAGGTGTAATCTGGGAATATAAGGCGGTTTGAGAGATTAAGTCAAGGGCGTATCCAGGGGGTCCAAAATTCTCAAAATTTTCGCCTGCGGCGCTAAAAATAGAAGAAATCTGGTTTCCTGACTTTCCAGTAAGCCCTTATCTAAATACGAATAGTTCAATCATGGTACACTGGGATTTTATTAAGGGATTTGGTGATTAACGCACAATATCACTTAAATCTTGCGTTATCCTTCAAATCTCCGATATCCATTTAAATCTCTTCAATCCTTTTAAATCCCATTACAATATAGCACCTTATTATCTTATATGCGATCCTGATCCCCTTAATCATCTGATCTCTTTAATAAAACCAAATCTAGCAATATCTCACACCCATCCTCCGATAATTTAAATCACCTTAATCCCTCAAATCCACTGATCTCCATTTCAATTCTCTTCAGCCCTTCCTTTACCCTCCAGATCCATCGATATACCTTTTAATTCACAGATATCCCTCCAAATCCACTAATTATTTTTAAATAAATCTTTTAAAAAAAGACTCGAAAATGTCTCGATGCCCGACTCGATAAAGTCAGGCCCGAAAGTGACTCGTTCCGGCCCGACTCGATAAAGTTAGGCCCGAAAAAGACTCGAATCGGCCCGACTCGATAAAGTAAGGCCCGAAAAAGACTCGTACCGGCCCGACTCGATAAAAACAAGCCCGAAAAAAAATGCCTCGACCGTCGGCCCGACTCGAAAACGGCAACCCTAATTATAAATAGAAGAATGAATGTGTTTTTCCGGTTTTTATATGTTTCCGGAATTGTGTGTTTTAGAGAAATTCTGATTTTCTAGAAAAATAAACACATTCCGGAAAAAACACGAATTAAAACATTCCGGAAAATACAAATAAATTCTGATTTTACAAAACATTCCGGAAAATACAAATTCTGATTTTACAAAACATTCCGGAAAATACAAATTCTGATTTTACAAAACATTCCGGAAAAACATGAATTACAACTTTTCCGGAAGATACAAATAAATTCTGATTTTTGTATTTTCTTTATTTTTTCTCTATAGTCTCTCCTAATTATTGTATTCTCTCTAATTAATTATTGTTAGGTTGCGCCACATGATCTTTATATAATTCTGGTGGTAATATAACTACAGGCTTGCTATCTCCTTCATATCTACCAACATAAGTGTCGCAAACACTACAATGATGTTCAATATTTTTGCAGAAATCACATAATAGAATATAGCCGCAAAAAACTGCAAATGCGGAGACAAAAGCAAATCTAGGAAAAAAATTTTTTAATTAAAAAAATTTTTAAAAATACCCCACAAAAATAGAAATAAGACACTCTCTTTTAGTGGAGTAAAAGCATGAGTGGATGGCAAGTACAATGTGAAAAAGGCTAAAAAATATTTTTTTAATTTAAATAAAATTTAAACTGGCCCAAAAATTATTAAAGAAAAGCATAAACATTTTGGTGTATAACATTCATCATTAACTAATTTAATTTTAGTTTTTGTATTTTGATTGCAAGTTGGACAATGAACCTTTGAAATGGAAAAAATTTTTTAAATTTAATTAAAAAATTTTTTACAAGCTGTGGTTTTTTTCCAAAATATTGAACAATCATTTTAGTATAAACAAAACCAACAAATAATTATTTAGAGAAATACAGCTAAAATTGTAAAACACTGTTGTAGAAAGAAAAAAATTAAACTTGAAAATACAAACATTTTAAAACATAAAAACACCAATGTTTTAATTATTTTATAAAACCTATAAACAAACAAATAAAAACACAACAAACAAATAAAACACAAATAAAAACGTATTTCATACAAAACACAATAACTAACACACAATAATAATAATACTAGAAGGAATTAATGTGTTTTCCGGTTTTTATATATTTCCGGAATTTATTATTTAATTTATTGAAAGAGGAATAAACTTTTTCCGGAAAAGCATAAGTAAAAATAAACGAATTCAGAATTCCGGAAAGGTGTTTTATAAAAATTCTGATTTTATAAAAAAATAAACTTATTCCGGAAAAACATGAATTAAAACATTTCCGGAAAATACAAATAAATTTTAATTTTTGTATTTTTATTATTCTGATTATTCTCTATTGTCTCTCATACATATTACTGTATTCTCTCTCTAAACATTCTTGTTAGGTTGATAGACCTCATGTTTATACAATTCTGGGGGTAATATAACTACAGGCCTTGTATCGTCATTTACATATTTCCCAACAAAAGTGTTGCAAACACTACAATAATGTTCAGCATGCTTACAACTGTCACAGAACAAAAAAGGCACACAAATAGACATAAAAAAGAATAAACTCAGAACCCTAAAAACTTTTTTTTAATTTTTTAATATTTTTTTGAACATACCCACAACTAGTAAGCATAAAACACTCAGAAAACCTACTATCAGATTTTGTACATGTAATAATGCTACCAACACCAAAGACAATTCTTTAAAAATACTACAGTTAATATTTTTAAGGGTAAAACAACACACATTATAACAACAAACAAAATATACATTACCACCTCCAAACATTTAAGTTGAACATATTTAAGTTTAGTTGTTGTGTTTTGGTTGCAAGTTGGGCAATGGACCTTTAAAAATGGAAGAAAAAAATTTTTTAATTTAAAAAAAATTTTTTTCAACCTGTTGTGGTTTAGGTCCAAAATATTGAGCATAACCATAACGTTGACGATGAACATAAGTCATTATTAACAATAATTGTTTAGAGAAAAATACAGCTAGAATTATAACAAAAAATAAAAACAGAGAAATAATTAAAATTGAAAAAATACAAAACAGATGAAAATACAAAAAAATACAAAACTTATTTTATATTTAATAAAAACACAAAAACAATTAAAAACACACAAAAATACATACTTGGTAATAACAGTTAATAGAAGGTATAATGCGTGTTTTCCGGTTTTTACTAAACATTTCCGGAATTTATGTGTTTTATAAAAATTCTGATTTTTCATAAATAAACTTTTTCCGGAAAAACTTGAATTAAAACATTCCGGAAAAGAAAACACATTATTTTTATAGTAACTTTCCGGAAAACACAAAATTATTACAATAAACATTCCGGAAAAACATTAGAGCTTGTATATATTATTTTAAGAGAAAAACACAACTACAACAACAATGTTTATCTACTCTATCCCTACGTTCGTCCTTTTTATTCTTATCGTGGATACGGCGGCGGACTAGTTGGCGGATACGGCGGCGGACTTGTTGGCGGAGTATAAGCTTGAATTGGAGGAGCAGAAGCAAGTATAACAGGTTGAACTTGAGGTTGAGGAGGCTGACGAGGAGGAATCGGAGGTTGATGAACCACAACAGTTGTCCCTCCATATCTACGGTTTTCCAGTTGACGTACAAATTTGCCAAGATACAAATTGCATACACTACAATGATGTTGAGCATCCTTCCAACAATTAGTAACGAACGGCAAAAAAATGCATGGAAAGAAAATGCAGCAGACAAACGGACTTAAAAATATTTTTTTTGTGTTTAAATTTAGGAACATACTTAACAAGAGTGAACACAATGACCGTATACCATGCCACGGGACCCATAACATAATTAACTCTGGTGAGGGTATATTGGTCGCATTTTGGACAATACGTCTGAGAAAAAAAAATATTTTTAATTTTTGAAAAAAAAATATTTTTTTCTTACCATTTGCGGATCCGGGCTATAAATACCTCCATATTGATGAGAAACTGTCTGCCCCATTTTCTATTGTTTTGTTATTGTTGTTGTACAGCTTTGTTGTTGAAATAATGGTAGTTATGTTGAGGAATACTCGGTTTAATTAGTCCCTTTTATATAGTAAATTTTTAAATTTCAGAAGTAAAGCAAAGAAACAATTAATTTAAAAATAATGAAATGTATTTTAAACATTAAAGTAAAAAACACAAGTTATAATATGTATTATTCAATGAAAATACAGAAACAAAAATACAAATAACAGTTAATAGAAAGTATGTGTTTTCCGGTTATAAAAACACATTTCCGGAAAAACTTGAATAAACATTCAGGAAAAGAAATATTATTTTAACAACTTTTCCGGAAAACACAAACAAAATTTAATTGAAACATTTCCGGAAAAACGTTAAGGCTTATATATATTTTAAGAGAAAAACACAACTACAACAACAATATTTATATATTCGTCCTTATTATTCTTTTCGTGGATACGGCGGTGGACTAGTTGGCGGAGTATAAGTTTGAATTGGAGGAGAAGCAAGTATAACAGGTTGAACTTGAGGTTGAGGAGGCCGACGAGGAGGAATCGGAGGTTGATGAACCACAACAGTTCTTCCTCCATATCCATATCTGTAGTCTTCATATTCACGTACATACTTGCCAAGATAGGTATTGCATACACCACAACGATGTTCGGCATCCTTATAACAATCAAAAACGAACGGCAAAATAATGATTGGAAACAAAAAGCAGCAGAACATCAGACTTGAAATTTTTTGAATTTACAAACTTTTATGGAATTAGTGCAGTTTCCCCCACACGGGGCACTAGTACCCTTTTTAAAGTTAAAAACAAACTTACTTGGCAAGAATGAGAATGATGACATTACAAATTGCATATGCACCCATAACATAAGTAACTCTCGTGAGTGTATATTGGTCGCATTTTGGACAATACGTCTTGAAGAAAAAATTATTTTTAATTTTTGAAAAATATTTTTTCTTACCATTTGCGGGTCCGGGCTATAAATACCTCCGTATTGATGAGAAACTGTCTGCCCCATTTTTTGATTTATTGTTGATGTACGGAAGTTGTAGAAATTGTAGTTATGTTGAGGAATACTCGATTTAATTAGCCCCTTTTATATAGTAAGTTTCAAATTTCAGAAGTAAAGGAAAATAAATTAATTTAAAAATATTGAAATGTATTTTAAACTTGTAAGTAAAAATACAAATTATAATGTTATTCAATAAAAATACAGAAACAAAAATACAGATAACGGTTAATAGAAGGTATGATGTGTGTTTTATATGTGTTTTCCGGTTTTATATAAACACATTTCCGGAATTGTTTTAGAAAATTCTGATTTTTCCGGAAATAAACTTTTTCCGGAAAAACTTGAATAAACATCCAGGAAAAGAAACATTATTTTAACAACTTTTCCGGAAAACACAAACAAAATTAAATTAAAACATTTCCGGAAAAACATTAGTTTGTATACTATATTTTAAGAGAAAACACATGTATTTTCCGGTTTTTTATATAAACATTTCCGGAAGTGTTTTATAAAAATTTCTGATTCTAGAAGTTTAAATAGACATTAAAACAGAAGGAAAACATGCTATTTTATAAACTTCCGGAAAACACAAAATTAAATTACATTTCCGGAAAAAAGTTAAGGCTTATAAATATTTTAAGAGAAAAACATAACAACAACAATGTTTATATACTCTATATATTCAATGTTCGTCCTCATTGTTTTCGTGCATACGGCGGCGGACTAGCTGGTGGATACGGCGGTGGACTAGTTGGCGGAGTATAAGCTTGACCTGGAGGAGCATGAGCCATTATAACAGGTTGAACTTGAGGCTGAGGAGGAGGAGGTTGAATAACCACAACAGTTCTTCGCCTTCCATATCTGTGGTCCTCGTATTCACGTATAAACTTGCCAATATAGGTATTGCATACACCACAACGATGTTCAGCATCCTTCCAAAAATTAAAACAGAACGGCAAAAAAATGAGTGGAAACAAAAAGCAGAAGATAAACAGACTTTAAAAAATTATTATTTTTGATCAAATTTAGGAACATACCTAACAAGAGCGAACATGAAGACCATACACCATGCCAAAGGACCCATAACATAGGTAACTCTAGTGAGGGTATATTCGCCGCATTTTGGACAATAAGTCTATAAAAGACATAAAATTTTAGAAAAATTATTTTTTTCTTACCATTTGCGGATCGGGTCCATAAATACCTCCGTATTGATGAGAAACTGTCTGCCCCATTCTATTGTTTTATTGTTGTGAAGAAGTGGTAGAAATTGAAATTGTGTTGGGGTAGGTGAGAGAACTCCAGTTGTCTTATACCGTTTTTATATGGTAGCTTTAAAATATCCACAATTTAGAAGCTTTGGCGTAATGTTGGAATGAATTGTCTCTTTATGAAAAAGAAAAGACTGTAGGCGAGAGAAAAAGAGAAAATTTTTTTGACATTTTTCTCAATTTTTCGACTCTTTTTTCGGGGTTTCTTCGTGTTTTGTGTGAATGTTTTTAGACTTTTGGTTGTCATATGTTGTTTAAATTAGATCTATAATGAAACTAAGTGGCGCTAACGGGAATAGTCTGTTTCGTCGTACCCCCCTCTTTTTTCTTTCTCAAAGTTTAAAAATGGTCCAGAAGAACCATTTTCTCTCTCCTTATTTCTCTCAGATTTGAGAAGTAGTAATTCTACTCATCAAGCTGCATCGAATGAGTAAACCAACATTTCTAACCATTAAATGACCCCTAAGCAGGGGCCGGTCCCATGTACAAAACGGCACATGGACACTCCAAAATTTTTCTCATGGTCACCAGCGCACTGCCTCCGCACAAACACTATTGGACAGCCACAGAAGCGCACTAAACCAATAGTGCTGCCAGAACGCACAGCCACTGATGTCTATCTACCAATAGTGTCCACTGGCTGCACAGTGACCGAAGTCATGCCCCACCAGCTTTCTGCTAGAGTAGATAGTCCGCCGAAGCGGTCCATGGATAAATTGTGGGAGAATTCCCAAAAAATAAAAGATTTGAGCATAAGTAATTCTTAGACGGTTAATAGAAAGGGTATAGAGAACACTAATTAGATTTCCTTTTTTTAATTATTTCCTTTTCTCTTTTTCTTCTTCTCTCCTATACTTTTCTTCTCTCTCCTTTACTCTCTCTCCTTTACTTTTCTTCTCTCCTTACCTTACTAGCTTTTTAATTTTTCATAATAACAAATCGCTTAAAATAAACAAAATATCTACAGCGCGTTGTATTTAAAAATGGTCAAAAAAGGGAATTTTTGTAAATGTCGAAGGGTCTATATAATATATCCGAAACCCGGACTTTTTTCGACCCGACTACACGAGAAGTTTTCGAAAACCCGACCCGAAACCCGGCATTCAAATCACGTTGATTTTGAGGTCATTCGATGCAGCTCGATTTTGAATACCTTGAGAAAGAAAAAAGAGGGGGGTTACGAAACCGACTATTACCGCGCTAACTGAAATTTTTCCTTTTTTTCGACTTTGTCGAAGAATTTCCTTCGATTTTTTGTAAGGATAAGGTGGAAGACTTACCTTACTATGGCATTTAGATGCCTAAGTAAGAGCTCTTGTAGCTTATTGATGTACCTTCCACAATATAAGTATAAGAGAAGCTCTAGAACTAATCAGAAATTGAAACAAGGGACTAATCAGCAAGTGTCCTTTGCTTCTATTTATGCTTGTTCCGTGGATGATAGAGATCGGACTGGGTCTGGACCAAGGCCTGGGTTTTTCCTGGACCCAGAGTCAAGGCACAGACCTTTTTTGACCTTCTTGGGTTTTTCCTGGACTGCAGGCCATGATGCGGTTCAGGTCATGAATCAAACCCAGAGTCCAGGAACGGGTCCAGGCTTTCTTTATTGAATTTTGATCCTTTTTTCTTATTCATCTTTAAAATAAAATATTTATTTAATTCTTTTTAAAGCCTTTTTGCCATGTTCAAAGTGTAGTCTCTACACAACATAATTTTTTTAAATATATAAATTTTTATTTATTTTTCTTCTTAATTGATTATAGATTTATTCTTGTGTGTAAATAAATTTAAAATGTCAGATTTAATATATGCAGGTTTCTTTTTTGTTTTGTAATTTAAAAATTAAATTTTCTTCAAGTTCGCGGATCTACCGGTTTTGCATTAAAACGAGGACTTGGGAAACCTGAAGAATTGGCTGGAGAAAAATTGTAAGAATTTTTTACTTTTATTGATTTTTCTTTGTTGAATTAATGGAGGGCGAGTAGTTATGACTGTTTAGCTAGGGTGTCGATTTATTGAATTGGGCTGTATTCCGTGTTTAAATCTCGGGAATTCCAAACATGTCAGGAAAAAACGGGGGTAGCTTAGGCTTCTGCTCATGTCAGAAAAAAGCCTGGGGAAGCTCAGTAATGGCCTGCATCTGGATATTGAAATGACCTACCCCTGTGTCAATACCCGGCGCGATCTTTAGTGTGAGCAATTGGGTTTCTGTTCGGTATTTCTGATCTGATTCCAAACAGAAAATTGGTTATCTTTGACGGACACGGTCTATTAGTTAACATTTTGACTAATTCTTTTAATTTTAGAGATCCAAAATATGCAGTTTGTCGTTGTTTTAAATTTAGCAATGATGGAGCCTATTTTGCCTATTGTGACTCTTCAAGGTTTTCTTCTTTAGAAACTCGAAAACTTTTTTTAATTTAAGGACAGTTTTAGTAGAATCTTCAACTGGACGTGAATGTTTTTCTACTGAATTGGTTAAAACTCATTGTATTCTATTCTCACCAAAGGACAAATATATGGTTACTTATGAGCCGTAAGTTTTTTTACAAAATATTTTTTGAGGTTTTTAAATGGGGAAAATAGGGAGGGAGGATTTTTTGGTGTGCTTATGATAGGGAGAGAATTTGTCGTATTTTCAATTTTCCCCTCTTTTTGGGATCTTTTGTCTTTGTCATCAGAGTTGTCGGTAATTGGAAGAGCCGGAATTATAAGTAAAAAACGTCGGAAATCGGAATTCCGACCCACCTCTGTTCGTCATTTTTAAGAAAAGTGAAGATTCATTTAGTTACAATTTACATAAGTCATTTTCGGTAGTCGTATTAACTCCTATTAGGTTTCAAGTTCGATTCAAACCCTGTTAGTTAACTTTCTCCATTATAAATTTTTACTAGTTACCAAGGGCGTAGCCAGGGAGCTGAAGTCCTCGAAATGGGAGAAAGTGAAAAAATTTTGGGAGGTCAATTTCAGGTGTCCAATTTAGACCACTTAAAATTGACCCTTTAGCTACGCCCTTGTTAGTTACGTCTTCAAAATTAAAAATTTTCCTCAATTTTCTAGATATGTAATTTATGGAACAAGAATGAATGCAGACGGAACAGTAAAAACTCCAAATCCAAATCTTCGTATTTTCGAAGTTTCGACTGGTAAACTTTTGGCTACTTTAATTGCTGATAAACAGTCTGTTTGGAAGCCTCATTTTACTGATGATGATTCTATTGCTATTAGAGTTAAAGGCTCTGAAATTTTATTTTACAAAAATGGAGAATTTGGTATTTAATTTTTTTGGTGCTTAAGTTCAAGGCTCTGAAATTTATTGATTCTTGGGTTACTAGTAGGGAACTTAAGTCAAATTTAAAACTAAAATAAACTTGCTTACAAATTTATTTTTTGTTTTTGTTAAGGGCATAACCGACAGTCTTGGCTCCACATTTGGGCTCTCTAGCATTCATATTTACGGGTGCAGGGATCGCACCGACAGAAAACCAAATTCCCGATTTTGGGAATCGTGAATCGGGTCGATGCGATCTCTGGTGTGTAGGAAAAAGTCTGATCTCAGAATGGATTTTCGAGAATTTCTTTGTTCAAATATTGGGTCTAAAGGTGTCCGGGGTTTCGTTTAACTCGTGACATCCGTGCTTTCGTTTTTTTTTTGTGTTTTTTCTAGGCTCTGACACTTACAAAAATTCTTTTTATAATTTAATTAAAACTTTAAAAATTTATTTTTCCAGAAAAATATTCAAACAAGATTGTAATTAAAGATATTGCTCAATTATCTTTAAGTCCAGGTTCATCTCCACATATTGGATGTTTTATTCCGTCAAAGGTTTTTTTTTTAAATTTTTTTAAAAATTTATATTCTCTTTAACTTTTAAGAATCAACCAGCATTAATTCAATTGAGAACATTAAATGATTCATTGGATGTAATTTATACAAAGACTAGTTTTAATTGTGATCGTTGTGTAATGAATTGGAATACGAAAGGTTTTTTGTTTTTTATTCTTAAATTTATTTGTTATTGAGTACAAATAGGAATTCAATTTTTAAAATGTGTACCAATCAATAGGACTGCTTTAGACTTATTGTTTCAATATTTTCAGACATTATTCATAAATGTCTGTAAATTCCTTTTTTGAGTTTTTTATTTTATGATTTGATACATTTATTGAATTGGTGGAGGGAGTCTTCTTTGGGATGTGAGAGAATGTTTTTATGTGGATTTTTGTTTTTTCTGTCTTGGTAGAGGATCTTCTTTTTAGCCAGGCTTATTGTGCTTCCTCTTTTCATTTTATGATTTTGATTTATTCATTATGGGGAGTGTGAGTCTTCATGATACTGCTGCTTCTTTATATCCTTTGGGATAAGTCTCTCTTTAACTTTTTCTCTTTATCTCTACGCATTTTTGCTTTTTGACAAATAATTAAAAAAATTTTTTTTATTAAAGGTTCTGCTTTACTAGTAACAGCATCTGTAGATATTGATAAATCAAATCAATCATATTATGGTGTAAGCCATATTTATTGTATTTTGACAAAAGATGGTGGTTCATGTTTTCAAGTACCTTTGGATAAACAAGGGCCAGTACATTCTGTTGGTAAATAAATTTTTTTATTTTTTAAAAGAAATCAACAATTCTTGTAATTTTAGAATGGGCACCCAATGCAAAAGAATTTTGTGTTTGTTACGGGTTTATGCCTTCAAAGGTTTTGTTTGTTTTTGGAGAAGGGCGATCTAGATTTTATGTAAACACCACTCTTTGATTTTAGACTACCCTTCTTTTTTATATACGATTTTTAATTTTTTTGGTTATTGGTTTGGCTTTGGGTACTGGTTTGGCCCGGTAGCCAAACCTATTTTGGCTACTCGGGAAGAAAATGGGCGTTGTGTCACAAGATACATCCCTGTTGGGCAGTGTTTGGTGATAACTGTCTAATGATACTCTCAAGTTTCTGTAAAATTTTCCTCGTTTTAAAAAATGTTTCTTGTACACCGAGCGATATTTAGATTCAAAATTTATTTTTTTATTTTTTTTTTTCAAAAATAGGTAACAATTTTCAATATGAAGGGTGATATAATTTGGGATATTGGTGAAGGACATCGAAATGAAATTCATTATAATCCCCAATCAACAATTTTGGTAACTTGTGGGTTTGGAAATATTTCTTCTGGAAGAATGGAATTTTGGAATTTGTCAACACGAAAAGAAATTAGTCAATTTTGTGTTCCACATACTACACATTTTGGTTGGGCACCTGATGGACAGCATATTTGGTTTGTTTGTGGGAATTTTTTTGAAAAATCAGAGTTTTTCAGAAATTCTGAAATTTTTTTTTTCTAAAAATAGGAAAAAGAGGAATGTGCCTTAATGGTAAAAATCTGTAATTCCAAACCTTCATAAGCTGATAAAATGCCTAATTGTGGAAATGACTAATAGTAAGTAACGCCACCCATCGAAATGTTGTTCTAATAATGGGGAGTAAGGTTTCAACAAATGGGGAAACAGTTTGTCTAGCGGACCGTCCTCCATTATTGGAACAACATTTGGACATTTGTCAGCGTTTCGAGGGGTTTGTCATCTCGGTCTTTTTTGCAGTAAGGAGGTTTTGGCATCAAGATCCTTGTCAATAGTTCTTTGGCATTTCGGCTTTTTCATACCGGAATTTCCTTCCAAAAATTTATTATTATTTTTATAGCACTTCAACTACCGCACCTCGTTTAAGAACAGATAATGGTTATCGTATATGGACTTATCAGGGGATTAAAGTTGCTGAACATTTGTTTGAAAAGGAAGAATTGTGGGAGGTTTTTTTTTAAATTTTTTTTGAATTTTTAAAAATTTTTCAATAAAAGGTTAAATGGAAGCCTAGCAATTCATATTCAAAATTTGCAATAGAAGAGCCTTCTAAAGAACAAAAAAGTATAAATTCAAGAATGGGATATACTAGCAACAATAATAATTTGGTGGATAGTCTTCCAAAAGGAGCTGTAACTTCTCAAGGTGTTTATGTACCTCCACATTTGAGAGGTTTATATTTTTTGATTTTAGAAAAATTTTTTTTTTCTCAAGGTGTTAGTTTTAATTGTAAGGTTTGGGAGAAGGGCCGAGTCTATTTGAGTTCAGATTAAACTTTTTCGATTCCCCCGGATCCTTTCGTATATATTTGACCAGTTATACAGTAGGTGAGTGAGCTGTGGAGCTATGAGAGTGTGAGATGTGAGTCATCAGATTCACACGGTGAGCTTATGTTAAATGATTTTCATATACTGGGTCAATTCAGCTCTTTGTCCCAGACTATGCTAGTTAGGTAAAGTTGTTTGTCCTTGAGAATCTTTGGATATCCAGAATCGAACTGAAAAATCCTTGGTTATTAAGTTTGGTTCCGAACCTAAAACCCTACTAGTTAAAGTTTAATTAAGTGGTAATCTTGTGATATGGATTAAGCTGTTGGAGAGGATTTTCCCTAGGGGTACTTCCCCCAAAATTCAAAGCTTTATTCATTTTTAAGTTCCCAAAGAGATTTTAAAAATTTTTTTATTTTTAAGGAAAAAATTCTAATCAAAAAGGAGGAGGTGGTGGAGGAGGAAAGCCATCAACAGGAGCAAAAACTTCAACAAATAAAAATGTTTCCAACAATAATAATTCATCAGCAAGTGGACTAAATGAAATTGAAAAGAAAATTCGTTCATGTCAAAAAAAATTGGATGATATTGAAATTTTGAAAGAACGTTCATCTTCTGGACAACGTTTAGAAATTAATCAAATGGAAAAAATTAAAAATGAAGAAAAAATTAAAATTGAATTGGAAAAACTTAAATTAGAAAAACAAGGAAGAGGAGGGGGAGAAGGTGAAGTTGGAAATGAGGATAAGGAAAAGAAGAATTGAAAGGAATTTAAAAAAGGAAGAAAAAAATAAGTATGAAAATTTTTTTAATTAGTTAAATTTTATATATAAATTTAAATTGAGGAGGGGAGGGTTGGATGAGAGAGAAAAAAAGGAGAGGGAAAAAAATTTTTTCAGGTGAAGGGGAATAAAATTTGGGGGGTTTTAAAGTTTGAGAATTTTTTTTTTCAAAAAAAAAAAATATTTTTTTGATTCTTGAATAATAGTTTATTTTTCTGGATAAAAAATTTTTTCAAAAAAATTCTCAAAAAAAATTCTCAAAAAAAATTTTTTTCTCTCATACAATTAATTTTTGTAGTGTGAGACAGGGAGAGAAGAGAATATGGCGCTTTTATTACTATATTTTATTTTTTTTCTGTTTATTAAAAAATTATAGTTTTATTTTTTTAAATTTTCTTTTAAAGAATAAAAATGTTGTCAGATTTTAATTGTTTTTAAAATATTTTCAATTTTTCATTTGTGAAAATACTTTTTTTATGAAATTTAATTTTTATTAGCGCGCGTTTAATTGGGGCAATATTTGGAGATTATTTGACAAGGTTGTTTATTTTAATTTCTGGTTTGTTTTTCTGATATGCGAATGTTTTTCTGATGGGTATGGTTTGTTTTTGTGGTCTTTCCTTGTTTTGTGTTTTTGTCATTTTGTATTTTTCTGGTTAATGTGTTTTAGCTATGTTTTAATGTTTTATATTGTTTTGTGTTTTTCCTTGTGTTTTTCTCTGTGTTTTTGTATTTTTCTGATTTATATGTTTTTCTGATTTCCTTCTGTTTGTGCTTTTCTGGTTAATGTGTTTTAGTTGTGTTCTGGTGTTTTGTGTTGTTTCTTTTGTTTTTGTGTTAACTTTTGTTTGTTTTATGATTTTTGTTTTGCCTATGTTTTACGGTATCTTATGAGTTAATATAATTTACTTTGCTTTAATAAATTTAACAGAATCTCATTTTTCTTGTTCGGTGATTCATCGTGTAACGGTGACTCATCGTGTAACGGTGATTCATCGTGTAACGGTGATTCATTGTGTAACGGTGACTCATCGTGTAACGGTGACTCATCGTGTAACGGTGATTCATCGTGTAACGGTGATTCATCGTGTAACGGTGATTCATCGTGTAACGGTGATTCATCGTGTTCGGTGACTCATCGTGTAACGGTGACTCATCGTGTAACGGTGACTCATCGTGTAACGGTGATTCATCGTGTAACGGTGATTCATCGTGTAACGGTGATTCATCGTGTAACGGTGACTCATCGTGTTCGGTGACTCATCGTGTAACGGTGACTCATCGTGTAACGGTGATTCATCGTGTAACGGTGATTCATCGTGTAACGGTGACTCATCGTGTAACGGTGATTCATCGTGTAACGGTGATTCATCGTGTAACGGTGATTCATCGTGTAACGGTGATTCATCGTGTAACGGTGATTCATCGTGTAACGGTGATTCATCGTGTAACGGTGACTCATCGTGTAACGGTGATTCATCGTGTAACGGTGATTCATCGAGTAACGGTGATTCATCGTGTAACGGTGATTCATCGTGTAACGGTGATTCATCGTGTAACGGTGACTCATCGTGTAACGGTGATTCATCGTGTAACGGTGACTCATCGTGTAACGGTGATTCATCGTGTAACGGTGATTCATCGTGTAACGGTGATTCATCGTGTAACGGTGACTCATCGTGTAACGGTGATTCATCGTGTAACGGTGATTCATCGTGTAACGGTGACTCATTGTGTAACGGTGACTCATCGTGTAACGGTGATTCATCGTGTAACGGTGACTCATCGTGTAACGGTGATTCATCGTGTAACGGTGACTCATCGTGTAACGGTGATTCATCGTGTAACGGTGATTCATCGTGTAACGGTGACTCATCGTGTAACGGTGACTCATCGTGTAACGGTGATTCATCGTGTAACGGTGATTCATCGTGTAACGGTGATTCATCGTGTAACGGTGACTCATCGTGTAACGGTGATTCATCGTGTAACGGTGACTCATCGTGTAACGGTGACTCATCGTGTAACGGTGATTCATCGTGTAACGGTGACTCATCGTGTAACGGTGACTCATCGTGTAACGGTGATTCATCGTGTAACGGTGACTCATCGTGTAACGGTGATTCATCGTGTAACGGTGACTCATCGTGTAACGGTGATTCATCGTGTAACGGTGATTCATCGTGTAACGGTGATTCATCGTGTAACGGTGACTCATCGTGTAACGGTGATTCATCGTGTAACGGTGACTCATCGTGTAACGGTGATTCATCGTGTAACGGTGATTCATCGTGTAACGGTGATTCATCGTGTAACGGTGACTCATCGTGTAACGGTGATTCATCGTGTAACGGTGACTCATCGTGTAACGGTGACTCATCGTGTAACGGTGATTCATCGTGTAACGGTGACTCATCGTGTAACGGTGACTCATCGTGTAACGGTGATTCATCGTGTAACGGTGACTCATCGTGTAACGGTGACTCATCGTGTAACGGTGATTCATCGTGTAACGGTGACTCATCGTGTAACGGTGATTCATCGTGTAACGGTGACTCATCGTGTAACGGTGATTCATCGTGTAACGGTGATTCATCGTGTAACGGTGATTCATCGTGTAACGGTGACTCATCGTGTAACGGTGATTCATCGTGTAACGGTGACTCATCGTGTAACGGTGATTCATCGTGTAACGGTGATTCATCGTGTAACGGTGATTCATCGTGTAACGGTGACTCATCGTGTAACGGTGATTCATCGTGTAACGGTGACTCATCGTGTAACGGTGACTCATCGTGTAACGGTGATTCATCGTGTAACGGTGACTCATCGTGTAACGGTGATTCATCGTGTAACGGTGATTCATCGTGTAACGGTGACTCATCGTGTAACGGTGACTCATCGTGTAACGGTGATTCATCGTGTAACGGTGACTCATCGTGTAACGGTGACTCATCGTGTAACGGTGATTCATCGTGTAACGGTGACTCATCGGTAACGGTGATTCATCGTGTAACGGTGACTCATCGTGTAACGGTGACTCATCGTGTAACGGTGATTCATCGTGTAACGGTGACTCATCGGTAACGGTGATTCATCGTGTAACGGTGACTCATCGTGTAACGGTGACTCATCGTGTAACGGTGACTCATCGTGTAACGGTGACTCATCGTGTAACGGTGATTCATCGTGTAACGGTGATTCATCGTGTAACGGTGATTCATCGTGTAACGGTGATTCATCGTGTAACGGTGATTCATCGTGTAACGGTGACTCATCGTGTAACGGTGATTCATCGTGTAACGGTGACTCATCGTGTAACGGTGACTCATCGTGTAACGGTGATTCATCGTGTAACGGTGATTCATCGTGTAACGGTGATTCATCGTGTAACGGTGATTCATCGTGTAACGGTGACTCATCGTGTAACGGTGACTCATCGTGTAACGGTGACTCATCGTGTAACGGTGATTCATCGTGTAACGGTGACTCATCGTGTAACGGTGATTCATCGTGTAACGGTGATTCATCGTGTAACGGTGACTCATCGTGTAACGGTGACTCATCGTGTAACGGTGACTCATCGTGTAACGGTGACTCATCGTGTAACGGTGATTCATCGTGTAACGGTGACTCATCGTGTAACGGTGACTCATCGTGTAACGGTGATTCATCGTGTAACGGTGACTCATCGTGTAACGGTGATTCATCGTGTAACGGTGACTCATCGTGTAACGGTGATTCATCGTGTAACGGTGATTCATCGTGTAACGGTGATTCATCGTGTAACAGTGACTCATCGTGTAACGGTGACTCATCGTGTAACGGTGACTCATCGTGTAACGGTGATTCATCGTGTAACGGTGACTCATCGTGTAACGGTGACTCATCGTGTAACGGTGATTCATCGTGTAACGGTGACTCATCGTGTAACGGTGATTCATCGTGTAACGGTGATTCATCGTGTAACGGTGATTCATCGTGTAACGGTGATTCATCGTGTAACGGTGATTCATCGTGTAACGGTGATTCATCGTGTAACGGTGACTCATCGTGTAACGGTGATTCATCGTGTAACGGTGACTCATCGTGTAACGGTGACTCATCGTGTAACGGTGATTCATCGTGTAACGGTGACTCATCGTGTAACGGTGACTCATCGTGTAACGGTGATTCATCGTGTAACGGTGACTCATCGTGTAACGGTGATTCATCGTGTAACGGTGATTCATCGTGTAACGGTGATTCATCGTGTAACGGTGATTCATCGTGTAACAGTGACTCATCGTGTAACGGTGATTCATCGTGTAACGGTGACTCATCGTGTAACGGTGATTCATCGTGTAACGGTGATTCATCGTGTAACGGTGATTCATCGTGTAACGGTGACTCATCGTGTAACGGTGACTCATCGTGTAACGGTGACTCATCGTGTAACGGTGATTCATCGTGTAACGGTGACTCATCGTGTAACGGTGACTCATCGTGTAACGGTGACTCATCGTGTAACGGTGATTCATCGTGTAATTGTGATTCATCGTGTAACGGTGATTCATCGTGTAACGGTGACTCATCGTGTAACGGTGATTCATCGTGTAACGGTGACTCATCGTGTAACGGTGATTCATCGTGTAACGGTGACTCATCGTGTAACGGTGATTCATCGTGTAACGGTGACTCATCGTGTAACGGTGACTCATCGTGTAACGGTGACTCATCGTGTAACGGTGATTCATCGTGTAACGGTGACTCATCGTGTAACGGTGATTCATCGTGTAACGGTGATTCATCGTGTAACGGTGATTCATCGTGTAACGGTGATTCATCGTGTAACGGTGATTCATCGTGTAACGGTGACTCATCGTGTAACGGTGATTCATCGTGTAACGGTGACTCATCGTGTAACGGTGACTCATCGTGTAACGGTGATTCATCGTGTAACGGTGATTCATCGTGTAACGGTGATTCATCGTGTAACGGTGATTCATCGTGTAACGGTGACTCATCGTGTAACGGTGACTCATCGTGTAACGGTGATTCATCGTGTAACGGTGACTCATCGTGTAACGGTGATTCATCGTGTAACGGTGATTCATCGTGTAACGGTGACTCATCGTGTAACGGTGACTCATCGTATAACGGTGATTCATCGTGTAACGGTGACTCATCGTGTAACGGTGACTCATCGTGTAACGGTGATTCATCGTGTAACGGTGACTCATCGTGTAACGGTGATTCATCGTGTAACGGTGACTCATCGTGTAACGGTGATTCATCGTGTAACGGTGATTCATCGTGTAACGGTGATTCATCGTGTAACGGTGATTCATCGTGTAACAGTGACTCATCGTGTAACGGTGATTCATCGTGTAACGGTGACTCATCGTGTAACGGTGATTCATCGTGTAACGGTGATTCATCGTGTAACGGTGATTCATCGTGTAACGGTGACTCATCGTGTAACGGTGACTCATCGTGTAACGGTGACTCATCGTGTAACGGTGATTCATCGTGTAACGGTGACTCATCGTGTAACGGTGACTCATCGTGTAACGGTGACTCATCGTGTAACGGTGATTCATCGTGTAACGGTGACTCATCGTGTAACGGTGATTCATCGTGTAACGGTGATTCATCGTGTAACGGTGATTCATCGTGTAACGGTGATTCATCGTGTAACGGTGATTCATCGTGTAACGGTGATTCATCGTGTAACGGTGATTCATCGTGTAACGGTGACTCATCGTGTAACGGTGACTCATCGTGTAACGGTGATTCATCGTGTAACGGTGACTCATCGTGTAACGGTGACTCATCGTGTAACGGTGATTCATCGTGTAACGGTGACTCATCGTGTAACGGTGATTCATCGTGTAACGGTGATTCATCGTGTAACGGTGATTCATCGTGTAACAGTGACTCATCGTGTAACGGTGATTCATCGTGTAACGGTGACTCATCGTGTAACGGTGATTCATCGTGTAACGGTGATTCATCGTGTAACGGTGATTCATCGTGTAACGGTGACTCATCGTGTAACGGTGACTCATCGTGTAACGGTGACTCATCGTGTAACGGTGATTCATCGTGTAACGGTGACTCATCGTGTAACGGTGACTCATCGTGTAACGGTGACTCATCGTGTAACGGTGATTCATCGTGTAATTGTGATTCATCGTGTAACGGTGATTCATCGTGTAACGGTGACTCATCGTGTAACGGTGATTCATCGTGTAACGGTGACTCATCGTGTAACGGTGATTCATCGTGTAACGGTGACTCATCGTGTAACGGTGATTCATCGTGTAACGGTGACTCATCGTGTAACGGTGACTCATCGTGTAACGGTGACTCATCGTGTAACGGTGATTCATCGTGTAACGGTGACTCATCGTGTAACGGTGATTCATCGTGTAACGGTGACTCATCGTGTAACGGTGATTCATCGAGTAACGGTGATTCATCGTGTAACGGTGATTCATCGTGTAACGGTGATTCATCGTGTAACGGTGATTCATCGTGTAACAGTGACTCATCGTGTAACGGTGATTCATCGTGTAACGGTGACTCATCGTGTAACGGTGATTCATCGTGTAACGGTGATTCATCGTGTAACGGTGACTCATCGTGTAACGGTGATTCATCGTGTAACGGTGACTCATCGTGTAACGGTGATTCATCGTGTAACGGTGATTCATCGTGTAACGGTGATTCATCGTGTAACGGTGATTCATCGTGTAACAGTGATTCATCGTGTAACGGTGACTCATCGTGTAACGGTGATTCATCGTGTAACGGTGATTCATCGTGTAACGGTGACTCATCGTGTAACGGTGATTCATCGTGTAACGGTGACTCATCGTGTAACGGTGATTCATCGTGTAACGGTGATTCATCGTGTAACGGTGATTCATCGTGTAACGGTGATTCATCGTGTAACAGTGACTCATCGTGTAACGGTGATTCATCGTGTAACGGTGACTCATCGTGTAACGGTGATTCATCGTGTAACGGTGATTCATCGTGTAACGGTGATTCATCGTGTAACGGTGACTCATCGTGTAACGGTGACTCATCGTGTAACGGTGACTCATCGTGTAACGGTGATTCATCGTGTAACGGTGACTCATCGTGTAACGGTGACTCATCGTGTAACGGTGACTCATCGTGTAACGGTGATTCATCGTGTAATTGTGATTCATCGTGTAACGGTGATTCATCGTGTAACGGTGACTCATCGTGTAACGGTGATTCATCGTGTAACGGTGACTCATCGTGTAACGGTGATTCATCGTGTAACGGTGACTCATCGTGTAACGGTGATTCATCGTGTAACGGTGACTCATCGTGTAACGGTGACTCATCGTGTAACGGTGACTCATCGTGTAACGGTGATTCATCGTGTAACGGTGACTCATCGTGTAACGGTGATTCATCGTGTAACGGTGACTCATCGTGTAACGGTGATTCATCGAGTAACGGTGATTCATCGTGTAACGGTGATTCATCGTGTAACGGTGATTCATCGTGTAACGGTGATTCATCGTGTAACAGTGACTCATCGTGTAACGGTGATTCATCGTGTAACGGTGACTCATCGTGTAACGGTGATTCATCGTGTAACGGTGATTCATCGTGTAACGGTGATTCATCGTGTAACGGTGACTCATCGTGTAACGGTGACTCATCGTGTAACGGTGACTCATCGTGTAACGGTGATTCATCGTGTAACGGTGACTCATCGTGTAACGGTGACTCATCGTGTAACGGTGATTCATCGTGTAACGGTGATTCATCGTGTAACGGTGATTCATCGTGTAACGGTGACTCATCGTGTAACGGTGACTCATCGTGTAACGGTGACTCATCGTGTAACGGTGATTCATCGTGTAACGGTGACTCATCGTGTAACGGTGACTCATCGTGTAACGGTGACTCATCGTGTAACGGTGACTCATCGTGTAACGGTGACTCATCGTGTAACGGTGATTCATCGTGTAACGGTGATTCATCGTGTAACGGTGATTCATCGTGTAACGGTGACTCATCGTGTAACGGTGACTCATCGTGTAACGGTGACTCATCGTGTAACGGTGATTCATCGTGTAACGGTGACTCATCGTGTAACGGTGACTCATCGTGTAACGGTGACTCATCGTGTAACGGTGACTCATCGTGTAACGGTGACTCATCGTGTAACGGTGACTCATCGTGTAACGGTGACTCATCGTGTAACGGTGACTCATCGTGTAACGGTGACTCATCGTGTAAGGGTGATTCATCGTGTAACGGTGACTCATCGTGTAACGGTGTTTCATTTTGTAACGGTGATTCATCGTGTAACGGTGACTCATCGTGTTCGGTGAAATAACTGGGGCAATATTATTGGCGATTATTTGACAAGGTTGTTTTCTTTTAATTCTGATTTGTTTTTCTGAATTCAAATGTTTTTCTGATGGGTGTGGTTTGTTTTTGTGTTTTTCCTTCTGTATTTTTATGTTTTTCTGATTTTCTGTTTTTCTGATTTTGTGTTTTTCTGTTTGTGTTTTTTCTGTTTTCTTGTTAATGTGTTTTTATGTTTTTCTGGTTGATGTGTTTTAGTTATGTTCTGGTATCGTTTTGCGTTTTTCCTTCTCTTTGTGTTTTTTATATTTCTCTGATTTTGTGTTTTTCTGATTTCTTACTGTTTGTGCTTTTCTGGTTAATGTGTTTTAGTGGCTCCCCCATAAAATGTCGAATCCATATAATGGGAATCCACAAAATGGCGCTAAGTTTAAAAACCCACAAAATGTCGCTACATATAATGGGAATCCATAAAATGGCGTTAAGGGCAAACACCCACAAAATGTCGACTCCATAAAATGGCGTTAAGGCCAAAACCACTCATGGAGAGGTGGTAGCTCAGCTTCATCTGAATTGTTACTGTTCTTGATTAAATTTTGACGATTCATCGATTGGAAATCGCCGTTTTCTAGACTTCTGTAACTCGGCGAGTTTAAGCCTGATATTCATCTAAAATTATCCGTCTTGGAAAAATTATTATAACAAATATGTTAGGAAACAATTAATAACCTTTAATTGTCAAAAAACTATCAAAACAAACAAACAAAACAAATAAAAACAAAAAATAAAAATTTTAGCGACATTTTGTGGGTATTTAGCCTTAACGCCATTTTATGGATTCCCATTATATGTAGCGACATTTTGTGGGTTTTTGCCCTTAACGCCATTTTATGGATTTTTACCACTTTCGACATTTTGTGGGTGTTTAAACTTAGCGCCATTTTGTGGATTCGACATTTTATGGGGGGGGCGGTTTTAGTTGTGTTCTGGTGTTTTGTGTTGTTTCTTTTGTTTTTGTGTTAACTTTTGTTTGTTTTATGATTTTTGTTTTGCCTATGTTTTACGGTATCTATGAGTTAATATAATTTACTTTTGCTTTAATAAATTTAACAGAATCTCATTTTTCTTTTTTGTTTAAAATTTTTCCATGACAACATTGTTTGCTGGGAAAATTTGGAATTTTTTGGATGTGCCATTTTGCATATTAAAAAAAAAATTTTAACAAGTTGAATTGGGATTGGCATTCCAGTATTTGTGGGTGTATGTAAATTATATGTACCTATGTATTTTTGTTTTATTTATTTATGTTTTTGGAGGATACCACACGCATTTTAATTTTATGTTTTTCTGATTTTCTCTAACTTGATTTATTAAAATCAGAATTTTTAATTGTTTTTAGGATCTCTGTTTTTCTGGTTTTATTAGGTTTGTTTTTCTGCGATGTTTTTCTGATTTGTTTTTGCTGTGTTTTTCTGGGATGTTTTTCTGTTGCATGTTTTTCTGATTTGTTTTTGCTATGTTTTTCTGGGATGTTTTTCTTTTCTCTAATGCATGTTTTTCTGATTTTTCTAACAATGTTTGTTTTTTGATTGTTTTTCTGTTTTATTTTTCCTTTTCCTTATTTACTGTTTCTCTTTGATTTGTTTGCTGTTGTTTATTTTCTCTGAACAAAGTTCATTTTCTCTGACCTTCCCAGAAAAATCAATAAATTCAAATTAATTAGTACTCTATTAACTAATTAAATTATTCTTTTTACTCTTTGCTTATTTAAACCCAATATTCTTTTTTAAAATTCCTTCTTCCTTCCTCTTTCCTTTTTCATTAAAAATTCACAGCACCCTCGGGAAGAGAATTGGTTTTCACAAAACAAAAAGTTAATCCTTCCCTCATTTTTCTTTTAACTAGTAAATTGTATACTCAAAAATTGGCCAATTTATTATTTTAAATAATTCTCTCCCCTATTCTTTTCCCGCATATTTAACTATTTAAGGTATTTAACTATTTATTTTGACTAATTGATTTTAGCTTTTTGCCCCTTTAAATACTTAATATTGTTTTGTGTTCTGTTTAGTTTATTGTTTTCTTGTTTTAATTTAATTCTGATTTTCTTTTTTGATATTTTCTTGTTTTAATTTTATTCTGATTTTCTGTTTTGTTATTTTCGGTGTTTTAATTTTATTCTGATTTTCTGTTTTGATGTTTTAATTTTATTCTGATTCTGTGATCTTTTCTTGTTTTAATTTTATTCTGATTTGTTTCTAATTTTTCTTTTGTGTGTTTGTTATGTATGTTTTGATGTTTTTACAAAATCAGAATTTCCCTATGTTTTTTATTTATTCTGATTTGTTTTTCTTTTTGCTGTGTTTGTTTTTTTTCTGTTTTTGCTCTTTCTTTTTTAAAAATATTTAAATTTAGCTAGCTAATCCCTTTTATCTTTATTTAATTCTTTTATTTTTTATTAGCTCTAAATTGAAAAATAAGAAATTGGGGATTAATTTTATGAAGCCCCTAAACGTGAGGGGATCACATTTCATTTTAATTCAAATTGTTTTAGGAAATGAAAGATTGTTTGGGAGAATTTTATAAAGCTAAAGTGAAGCTACTAAATTTAATTAATTTTTTAAATTATTTTTCGACTTTGGTTACTTGTTTTGATTTTATTCTGGTTTCTGGTAATTGTGCTTTGGTTGTGAAATATTTTTGTGTTTTTCTGATTTTTAATTCTGATTTTTGTGTTTCTGTTTTATAATTCTGGTTTGTGTGTTTCTGTTTTATTTATTATGTATTTTTTTTGGTTTGTATTTTTTAATGTTTTGATTTTATTCTGATCTGTTTGTTTGTGTTTCTGATTTTTTATTTTGATTCTGGTCTGTTTGTTTGTGATTCTGATTTGTTTTAATTTAATTCTTATTTATTTATTCAAGTTTATTTTTAGAATTAAATTAAAACACAAACTTTATTTTTACCTTTGATGTTTTAAAAACACAAAATATATCCCCCTCAACATGTTTTAAAATAATTCTGAAATTTTTAGCAGAGGTTTAGCAAATGACTTAAGTTTATAAATATATTAAATCAGAGTTATGTAATTTAATATCCGTCCAAACCACCAAGTTTCTATTAATAGAATATTTATTTTTGTGTTTTTAAAACATGTCAAATCTTTTTAAGTAACTTGAAAAAATCAGAAAAATTACATATTACAAATTGTTTTTCTACACCTTTCTTCTACCTACTTACCTCAATTCAACATCTGTCACTCAAAAATCATCATCATTTATTATATTTCCAACTTGTCATGTTATTAATATACTAAATGCTTGTCTCCATCAAATTTAATACTTTAAAATATTTTATATTTTTTGATTTGCAGGCAAATAAAATATAAATATAAAATATTTTTTAATGGCAAATTTTAACGTCAATTGGATATATATTTTATTAAATGTCTTTGACAACAACAATAAAAAAATTTTAACAACACACCTGGCTATATGTATTAATATTACTTTTGTGCATCACAATTAGTGAGTTTTAACTTTTTTTACTATAAAAGTACAAGTTTTGTGAAACAAGTTTTATTTTTAATAATTCTGGTTTTGAAGTTTTACAATTGTAAAATAGGCATTAAACCCTGTAAAAACAAACTTGTTTTAATTTTATTCTGATTTGTTTATTCTGTTTTGTTTTGTGTTTATGTCATGTTTGTTGAATGTTTTTACGAACCAGAATTTTCCCATGTATTTTTATTTATTTTGATTTGTTGGGTTGTTTTTACAATTGTAAAATGAACTTTAAAACTTGTTTGCTATTTATTCAAACATTAACATTTGATGTTTTTACAACTTGTTTTTTTTTCAGAATTCAGTTTGACTACAAAACATGTTTTGGATTGTTTCTCCTCTCAAACTTGACAAATTATTCACAACAACAAACAACAATTATTTGCAGCATTATTTTAATTACAACATGTTTTGGATTGTTTCATTCTGAAGGATTTGGTTTTGCTCTGTTTGGATTGGTGGTTAGGAGGTGGGGAGTTTAATTTAAATTTTTTTGAGCATTTTGTGAGAATTTTTTTTTCAATTTTTTTAGTTTTAAGAATTTTATTAATTTATTTATTAAATTTGAGATCAAAAAATTTTTTTAATTTCAAAAATTATTTTTCATTTTTTAAAATTTTAAATAGATTATTTATTCATTCCCATTTATATTTTAATTTTAATTTTATTTATTTTTTCCCATTACCTTCTAATTTTTCACTCTTATTTTTTCCAAATCCTATCAACCTCTTTCTTTTTTTAAAAATCTTTTCCGGCTGAACTTTTAATTTTAAAATTTCCGTTCCTCAATTTATTTTATTTTTCTTCTCATTAATTTTTAAATTATTTTCCCAAAACAAATTTGCCTCAATTTAATTTAAATTTCTTCCTTAAATGCGCAAAAGACAATAAAAAATTCTTTTTTTTTTACCTTCTAATTAAATAATTTTTTTCTGTTACATTTTTTGTGTGGGGTTATAATTTAGGGACGTTTCATTGCGAAGCCTTGTAATTATTTATGTTTTTGTTCTTGTAATTTTCAAACATATTTACAAATTCTGATTTTTATTGTAATTCTAATTTTGTTTTAATTTATATTTCTGAGCTTAATTCTGAATTTATTTGTTTTACATTTTCAATTTTTCGATTGCAACTTTTTTTACAATTGTTGCTAGTCTTCTAATTTCTACTGTAGCTTTGTAACAAGTTTAATATTAAGTTTTTCCGGAAACAATATTTATAGCTCAAAGACTAACACACACATTAAAAAAATACTAATAATTTTTGTAATTTAATATTTTTTTCTATCAATTTAATATATTATTTTTAGCAACATTATTACCTAGATATATACACTTATTTTTAGCCATTAGCAAAAAAAGTTTCTGAAACTTTTTTTTATTTTTGATGGCCTTAGAAACGACAAGTTCGCCTCCAAAAACATTCTTTTCTCTTCTTCCGGCCCTTTAAAAAATTTTTTTATTTAACAAAAATAACAAATCCACACTCCCACTTTTTCTATATTTTGTTACACGCTTCTTTTACCTAAAAATTATTATTTTTTACTCGATTTAAGTGTTATTTTATTTAAACGATTACTATAATGTAGTTGAGCTTGAGTAGATATTCTTCATATATCTTTTGATTTTTTAAAATATTTTTTGATGGTTTTTTATCGAGAATTAATGAGACTATAGAACGCTAAAAATTGGAATTTTTAAAATTATTTTAATTAAAGTTGTTACAGGAAAACTATCAAAAATATCCAAAAAATGATTTACGGAATATTGGGCACTGGAATAATGTCACCTATATTTTTCGGAACTTTGGTCACAAATTTTTTGGAATTTTGGTCACCAGCAGGATTTTGGACACCAAACGGAAAAAACGGATCTTATCTAAAATTGAAATCAAAGTCTTGGTGTCTTGATCCAAATCCAAAATTCCGGTACCTCCCAAAGAATACCCGAAAAATGCCAGTTTTTCTTGTACAATTTTCTTGTCCTTTTTATTAAAATTTATTATCTTCTATTAAGTGATAACCTATTTAATTCTGTATTTAATTTTTTATCAATATGTACTATTCATTAATTTTTTTGAGATCCAATTTGTGATCCAAATCTTAGACTCAAATAAGCATTAATTACCGTCTACCTTTTTTACCTCCTTTTTGAGGCTATTTTTTTCTACAACAGATTTTTTCCTTTTTTCCTATTTTGGTAGTATATGTCCAATATGGCCCACTCAATCATTTAGAAAAATACAAGTAAAACAAGTATTTATTCATTTTTCTACAAAAATGCCGACGGCCAAAAAATTGAGAAGGGTTAAAAAAGTGTGTCTGGGGTTGTGGTGGTGGTGCTCATCCAGAAAATGTTATTATTTTTATAAAATAATAATTTGGGGCAATAAACGGAAATTGACTATCGAAAAAATTCTAATTTAAATGAACCTCCAAAAATGGCAAAATAATAATATTTTCTGTGTTGATTCACACTATAGGGTAATTTTGGGGGAGAGAGAGAGACAGGAAACTGAGGGACATAGAAGGGCGATTTAACTTTTGTTTAAGGAAAGGGATTTAAAGGTGATATTGAGCTTATAATTCTGTTAAATTGGAGTTATCAAATGATACAAAAAAATTTTTTTAATTTGGATTTTTTTTTAATTCTGGAAATAAATTTAGGTGAGAATCCCAACTAAAAATACATACTGAATTCATTTAAAAATTCACTACTTTTTGTAAATTTAATTTAAAAATTTAATTTTTGGATATATTATAGCTCAGACTCTCCTCTATCTTTTGATATAAAATTTAAATTTTTATCTTTATCTCCTGAAGAGATATAGGATTTTAAATTAAAGGCTTCTTAGTGCTTTTTGATAATTCAAAAATTAAACTTAAATATGTCCAACCTTTTCTAACTTTTTTGTTTAATTTTGAAACTTTTTCCAACTTAACCAACTTTTTTTTCCAAATTTTTTCTCAATCAACGCCAAAGTTTCTAAATATATTTTTTAAATTGTGTTAAAATATGCGTTTATTAAATATTTTCCCATTACATTAAAATGATCATCCAATTTTTTAAAAAAAAAACCTGAGTCAATATATATTTTATGCTTTTTTTAAATTTTTTACAGCCTTCTTTCTCTTCTTTTTTTATTACGGTATTTTTTGTTAAAAATTAATTTATATAGGTCGTTTCATTTCAAGATTTATAACTTGAAAATAAATGAATCATTTTTAATGCTTTTCATACCATTTGATAGAGAATTAAAAATTTTATTTGGAATGATTGGAGAAAAAAATTGAAATTTAAAATGATTAATGAAATAAAAGTTGGGGGTAAAAAACTACAACATTTTTGGCGTTTTATTTGAAGATTTTATTTTAAATCTTTTTAAATTTAATTAAAAATTATTTTTTAAATTTTTTATGGCATATTTAATTCTTTATCGAAATGATCATTTAATTAAAAAAAAATTTTTGTTGAAAAAAAATTTAAATTTTTGAAATACAAAGAAAAGCAATGAAACGATGATTTTTCCTATAAGACTTTTCCGATATTTTCTTTCAAGTTTGTAATTTTACAAAAGTTTCAAGTTTATTTTCAAGTTTTAAGTTTTGTATATATTTACAATTGTAAAACTTCAAAAAAAAGTTTATTTTTAAGTTTGTAAAAACAAGTTTATATTTAAGGTTTTAAATTTACAATTGTAAAGTTTTTAAAACTTCATTTAGATATTCAAGGTAATTTGAGTACTCGTTTTTGTGGAAGAGGGGGAGAGGGCGAGGGGCTTTGTACAGTATAAATTTTGTATTATTACCTAATAATCTACTAGGTCGTTTGTATTTATTTTTATATTTTTATTATTTAATTTTTGTATTTTCGGCATATTTTGTTTTGATTTTTGCGATTATTTCATAAAGTTGCAAATATAAAAATAAATTTTTTTTACCTGTAAATAAACACCATAAATAGGGGGATATATGTATTATATTATTATTTTATGCTCGCGCGCCATATTTTTTAACTACTTGTTTGTTCTAATTTTTTTTATTTGATAAATGCCGACTTGTTTAATATTCTTTTAATTTTAATATCATCATCTTGTAAATAAATATATTTTTAATATATTTTTAATTTTATAAATGTGTCCTTGTTTTTGAAAAATTTTTTTTTAATTTTTATATTTTATTGCATTAACGGGAAAAAGAGATGGGGCGGGAGTATGTGGGGGGAAAGGGGATTTATAAAAGGTGACACGGTTGTCTTTTAATTTTAGGGCATATTTTTTTATTATTATTTATTACATTTTTTAATTTTTTAAATTTATTATTTTGTTCTATTAAATTTTTAATTTGCCTGTATTTCATTTTACTTAACTACTTGGTCACGAAAATTAACACAAAATAAAAATATTATTTTTTTTCTTCAGCTGCTTCAATTTTTAAATTATAATTTTCTTTATTAAATTTTAAGAATTTAATAATAAATTTTTCTCTTAAAATTAAAAAAAGAAAGTTCATTTTAAGTTTTATTAAAGCAAATAAATGAATAAATTCTCTCTCTTTTTCTTTCAAAAATTATTTGCATGTTTAATTATTCTTATTAAAAATTTTCTATTTAATTTTTGTCTAAACCAATAATAATGAAGAATGAAAATTTTTTTTATTCGTTTTCCATTTTTTAATTAAAAAAACTGAATTTTTTAAATATGCAATTAAATTTTTTGTGAGTCTTTACAAAATTTTGTGTCTTTCAATATTTTTTTTCTCTTCAAAAATTTGTTAAAAATTAAATGTTTTCTCTTTAAAAATATGTTGCCAGATGGAGGAAGGGGAAGGTCTGTGGATTTCTAAATTTTCCACTCGTATTTTTTTTATTACTCTAATTAAATTTTAAATTTTCTACCTTCTACTATACTATATTTATTTTTTAAGCAATAATAAACTGACAGTATTCTTCCTCATTTTGGGTGGTTTAAATTAAATGTTATTGGTGGGTGGGTGCTTTTTCTTTTTTTGACTTTTTTCTTTCCTTTTCTCCCTTTAAATTTAATATAATAATATTTGGGGGTTTATTTTTATGCCACACCCACAAAGAAAAAATTTGGGGGGGGGGTCTATTTATGCCACACCCACAAAATAAAAATTTTTTAATAAATATTTTTAAAAACTTTCATTATTTTATTATTATTTACACCTACCTATTGTAAGAAAAAAGAGATGAGGGATTTTTATTGTTATTTCTGGACCTAGTTTTCACTATTAAAAAATTTTTTTCCAAATTTTTTTTCTTTAGTTTTAATCATATACCTATTTATATTTATATTTAGTTTCATTTTTATAATTTTTTTATTTTATTATTATTTTTGAGGAAATTGAAAAGGAATCAAAAAAAATTTTGTGAATCATATTAAATTTATTATTATATTTTTTATTTCTATTATTAATCCCTTAAACTATATTTTTTGGGGGAAGAAGAAATAAATAAAATATTGTGTGTGTGAAATGCATGAAATAAAAAAAAATTTTTTGGGAGGGGGGACAAAATTAAGATTAAAAAATAAAGCAAATTAAATGAGACGTAAATATTGTTGTTGTGGCCATTTTATCTCCTCAAATAAAAATTTTTTTTGTAAACGTGTGTGTGTGTTTGAGTGAGGGTATAGTAATATAAATATTTAGCAGGAGAATGAGGAAAAAAATGGGGGAGGAGGAGGAAGTAGGAGGAAGGAGGAAGAAAGAAGTAATTGAGATGATGAGTATTTATTTTATTTATTTAAATCCGAAAATTGGTTCCTTTATTGAAAATTAAATATTTTTTTTAATTTTAGTTAAGTTAAGATGATGAAGATTGGGGAAAGGTGGATGTATGGTGAAGGAATGGGAGGGGGCGAAGAGGGAGGGGGAGGGGGTAATACTACTACTACATATTTTAGTTCCTTCCAATTATCTTTCAATTTGTTTTGTTGTTTTTTTTAATCTCTTATCTTTTATAAAATCAAAAAAAGATTTTTTTATTTGTTAATTCATCTATTTAAATTGCCTTTTTTCATTTTTAAAATTTTCTCCAACTTTTACCAATTAAATTATTGAAATTTTTCATTTTGGGCGTATTTTTTTATTTTTATTTTTTGCGTAAAATACTTGTTCAAAATACTATAAAAAA